GAAGGAGGGAAGAGCCACAGGAAGGGATGGATGTTGACAGGAAGAATGGGGGAAGGGATGCAAGGGTTTACTAAAAACACTCCATTTGAAGGGTGGAATATATCAGAACTCTGCGTGACAATCCAAAAAGAAGGAAGAGGAGTGGAATGAGGGCCCCATCCTCACAACAACTTTATACTGGAGCTAATTAAATGTGAATCTCTTAGCTCTTGGTTCACTGATGTGAGGAAAGACTGACTGAAGACAGTTTTGGCTTTTGAAGGGAGTTTTGTGTATATATATGTCAACATCCAGTTGGAGGTGAAAAGGTTAGCACTTGACCCAGGAAGTATCCATGTTTGTTTCAAAAATAAATCTGCTTCATAAATTTCTTCATCAGTCTTTTTTTTCCATTATGAGCTTTGATTATAATAAAGGAGCTGTTACTAACTTTTATTCAAGAAAAGGCCCATCTCTTTGAAAATATTTACCACCCTTCTCCCTTTCCCCTCATGAAATATGCCAACTTCGTAAGAATTAACAAATTGTAGCCCAGCCAAATACGTGGATGCTTAAGCATACCTGAAACTTGAGTATATTTATTTATTACAGACATCCTAAGACCCGTAAACTCTGCTCTGGATCATATCTCTCCAGGATCTCAGAGCTGTTCATGATTGTACAGGAAATGGGGAATATCATAGGCTCACAAAGGATAACTGATAGAACTCAGTGTGGTACTTCGGGGACATCAAACATTGTGCGACATGCAAAAGACTATTCACGAATCACACAAAATATACATTCATTGTGCCATCCATCACATTAACAATTGACCTGAAAATACATTATATCCAACTAAGATAACTGTGGAAGGAAGAAGTTGGTTTGAATAATACTTTTAGGTTCTGAATAACCCAGCACAAATTTTAAACAGAGGGTGGCCCAAGAAGAAAGGAGTGGGGATTGGGAAAGACTTAGCACAGGAAGCTGGATTTCTGAACTTTGTGCTCTGCAGGGCTTCTTAACTGTAAGAACAAATTGAGGCTACCCTCTGAGGCATCTGATTGGATTTAAATGAGGGAATTTGTTCTTTCACTTATAAAATTGTACCAGTTTTGAGAGTTTGCCCACCCTGTTTTAGTAACCTAAACATTTCTAGAAAATCTGTATAAAGATAAATCTCTTAGGACAAAGTATTCACAACCAGCAAACTCACACACATGAAAATGACTTAAGAGATGAATTAATTGTGTAAACACACAGTGTATCTCTTCTTCTTGAGCTCCTGGACTCTCCTTTCACTATATCCTACTTTCAAGGACAAGGGAGGAGAGAACTGTACATATAGTTAGATAAAAGATGAAAAGATTCCTTCTGGCATGTTTCTGTTGGCAAAGGGAACTATTTTCCAAAAAGTCATCTGAAAGGAACAGTAGGTTCTGTGAATTCTCCTAAAATCAAGAGGGATGTTAAGGCCCACCAGAAAATGTATGCTGGCACCCAATCTGGATTAAGGTGTTAACCCGGCACCAAGTCTCTGGTCCAGAATTATCTGCAAACATATTATCCTGGCCAGGAGCTCCCCAGATAGGATCAGAAAGGAAGAGACTGTAAATGGAAAGAAAGATAAGCTAAGCATGTGCTTTGGGTAAGACGTCCCAGCCCAAGGAGATGCCTGGGCTGTGGTCTGGGACTGGAGCCGCCTTAGTGGGAGGTAGTCAGAGTGTCTGAGGTAGAAGACCCCGGGGAAGGAACGCAGGGCGAAGAGCTGGACTTCTCTGAGGATTCCTCGGCCTTCTCGTCGTTTCCTGGCGGGGTGGCTGGAGAGATGGGCAAGAGACCCTCCTTCTCACGTTTCTTTTGCTTCATTCGGCGGTTCTGGAACCAGATCTTCACTTGGGTCTCATTAAGCTGCAGGGATGCAGCGATCTCCACCCTGCGGGCGCGCGTCAGGTACTTGTTGAAGTGGAACTCCTTCTCCAGCTCCGTGAGCTGCTTGGTAGTGAAGTTGGTGCGCACCGCGTTGGGTTGACCCAGGTAGCCATACTCTCCAACTTTCCCTGGGGCAAAGTGGGAAGCCATGAGATGGAAAGGTAAAAATTTTTAAACCGACTTGAGATTACCTACACGCTTCATGGCAACACTCAGGTAAAGAAAAGATCAAGAACTCAACACAAATCGGGCTGTGGAGGGTGAGTGATGAGGTGTAAAGTGTTAACCTGAAGTCAACCATTAGCGTGGTCAGATCGGGGATTAATGGAGCCTTAAGATATTGACAGAACACTACCGTCACAATAACCACCCCCACACACTTCCTACTTCCCAAATGTATAAAATCCTTGAAAGCACGCCAATCCCTGAGGCTTCTTTGCCCCAACACCTCTGGGCACCCTCTCCATGCACTACAACACTAGTCTTAAAGCCTTTAAAAATAATAATAATAATAATTATTAATTTTCCTTGGAAATTAAGCATACGAGCTCCTTCCAGATTAATCAAGGAGCATCCACCAACCAGCAGGACTGACCTGTTTTGGGAGGGTTTCTTTTGACTTTCATCCAGTCAAAAGTCTGCGCTGGAGAAGATGTCTCCGATGCAGGGGAGCGACAGGCTTCTTGGTGGCTGGCGTGGAGAGGGGACAAGGAGTTATTATACGTAGCCAGGGCCAGGCTCTGGTGCTCTTGTCCATATGAGTGGTGAATGTACTGAGGCGAGCCCACCGCGCCCCCGGCATAACCCTGGTGGTGGTGGTGATGCTGGACCATGGGAGATGAGAGATTTCCAGAGTAAACAGCGGGAGCGCACTGGGGGTACCCACCACTTACGTCTGCTTCCTGATTTAACGCGTAGGGGCTGTAAGGCGCACTGAAGTTCTGTGAGCCATAGCTTGGACCACAACTCGAGTGGGAGTAGGACACCCCCAGGTTCCCGGAAGTCTGGTAGGTAGCCGGCTGGGGGTGGTGATGGTGGTGGTGGTGGTGTTGGTGAGGCGAACCGATCTGCACCCCCCTGCCCACTAGGAAGCGGTCGTCGCCGCCGCAGCTGTTGGTACTGACCGCGCACGACTGGAAAGTTGTAATCCCATGGTCCGAGGGGTAGGCTCGGGCTGAGCAGGTCCCCGAGTCGCCACTGCTAAGGATGGGGTATTCCAGGAAGGAGTTCATTCTTGCATTGTCCATCTGTCACTGAGTGACCTGGTCCTGCGAAGCCCTGGGTGACCGTGCCAACTTTCTCACTTCCTCCATGGGGCCTGAGAAGAAAAATGATATGAATGTACAGTGCGCAAGGGCGGGGGGGGCGGGAGGGCGGAGGACGCTAGGGGAGGGGCACGTGATGGTGTCAGCCAATGGCTGAGCCTCCTGCAAAAGTTTGCCGGCTTCCGCGGTGATGGATCACCGTTTCAGTGGCATTTAAATCCCCGGCGCTCCGCCGTCTAGGTGACGCGCAGTCGCCCCCCCAGGCAGCCAAGGCGGCGGCAGCTGCTGCGGCGACTGCAACGGCCGATTTGGAGTGCTGGAGCGAAGAAGAGCAAAGGCTGCCTTCTGCGCGCGCTGGACTCCGCTGCCCGCCCCGCCAGGCCTCCGGGAGGTGGGGGCTGAGAGGCGTCCCCGGCTCCCGCCCCCTCCCCACTGTGCACTGAAAGATGAACTGGCGAGAGGTGAGAAGGGAAGAGGGCTCCCGGCTCTCTCGGGGCGTGAGTTAGTGGGCCTGAGTTCGCCGGGTGGCCGCAGGTTCGCGGGCCCAGCCCGGAGCGCGCCCAACCGGAAGGCGGGGAATCCGGCTGACACCGAGCCCCGGGTTCCCAGGCCGCCTTCTCTGCTCTGAGGCTGGGCTGGGAGACCATGGGGCTGTGAGGAGCGCACAGAACCGTGACAGAGGGCGAGGCTGCGCCACCGGCTCTCCAAGCGCGGAATGGAGAGGGAAGAGCGCAGAGGGCTGGCTGGGAGGAACTCGGATGGGGGTGAAGGAGACGAGGGCAAGAAAAGAAACTTCCCTTGTTCCAGAAGAGTCTCCGAAACCCTCTCCCCACAGCCCCCGCTCTTCATTAGCATGGCAATGAGGAGTTTCTGTAATTCGACCGGGGAAGGGGGGGTGCGGAAGAGCCCTGGAAACAGGGATCGCCGGAAAAGGCCGGGGGCGGCCGGGCTCTTCTTCCCCACCCTCCCTCTCTCCTCGCTCTCCGCCGTTTCTTTCCCACTCAGTTTTGCACCGGGAGCCCTCCGGGATGCGGAGCTACTCGACCGCCGGATTTTTAGGGGTAGGAGGCGGGGGAGAGAGATGACGCTGGCGGACGTGGCCAGCGTGGGGGCCGGGCGGTGCGCTGCAGGCCATCTGCCGGCGCCCGAGACCCAGGAGCCTCCGCTCCCGCGTGGGCCTCGCAGGGCCGGTCCACAGCTCCAACAAAGTAGCTGAACTCCCTTCGTTGCGTTCCTCTTTTTCTGGAGGGGAATGTTAGAAGAGAGAGAGAGCTTCCTTTTGTAACCTTCCTCATTCTGCTGCGCGTCTAGAGTGGGTGTGGGGACTGGCAGGTGGGAGGAGCGGTGGACAGATGGCTGATGGTGGACAGAACACTATACCCCAACGACACCTCCTCCCCTTTCCAACTGGCTGGGTAGTTGCTTATGAGAACCTTCAAGTCTTTCCTTAGAGAGACACGTGAAAATCTGAGCGTCATCCCAGGCCAAGGGTCCTGTTCCCCATTACCCTCCTTCTACCCTGACGTTGCTGAGATCGTTAATTGTTGCTTACTATTAGGTTTCACGTCAACCCTGGGCTTGTAGAGAGGAAAAAGCCAAACGGAGACCAATAATTGATGCAGTCTTGGGTAGGAGAAATCGAGAGCTCGTCCAGGAAGCTTTGCAGCCAATGCTGTATAAATTTTACTCCAACCATGTGTACAATGTTGGAATCAGATGAAATTTATAGTGAGGAATGTATGTGGGTTTGGGGTTTCCACTCCCCTTCAGCCTTTCCTCCCCTGTTAGAACAAGGAAGGTTTTTTTTTTTTCCAAGGCAGGCACATTTCAAATATGTTAGTCACCCTTTCAGTCTTCTGTATTCTGTTCTCCACCTACCGAAGCTCCCCTAAACCTGTCCCCTCAAGAGGGAAAACCCATGCTGACTCTGGACTCCCTCAGTAACAATGAAACATTCTCCCCAAACATTTCCTTTCAGGTTGGTATTTCTCTGTGACTTTGATCCATTCCAAGCATGGTTAAGAGGGAGCAGGGGCAGGAAAGAGCCGCTTCCTGGGGTTGGGCAGCCACCCCTGCCCCAGTTTCGGCTCCTGGGAATCCTCCTTCTGGAGAAGGGGAAAGGCAAGGCTGTCCTCCTGGAGGTGGCTTCCTTGGGAGCGCCAGCTTCCAGCGGCAGGGAGCAGGGCGCCTGCCACAAAGCCGACCCTGGCAGGAGCCACTCTCCCTCTGCTAGTTCGCTGCTTCGGCGCTGCTCTCCCTCAGCCTCTCTTCTCTCCTGGCCTCTTTTCGGGGGTATCCTGGGTGGAGTGTTTTTCTTGGGATCACGAGCTTGCTCTCGCACACAGGCCCGCAGACACACAGGCCCGCGGCCGCCCTCCTCCGTTTACTGTTCCCGGCTCCCCGCAGGCCGGGCGCTCGCAGCCGGGCTGGCTATGCCTCGGCTGGCAGCCCAGAGCGCCGCTCTCCGGGAACCGCACACAAAGGCAGCCTCCCCTGGCCTCGAGCCCTTAGGCTTCTGTAGCTCGGTTCTTTCCCCACACCCCTCCCCCAAGAAATTCTGGGGGCTGTTCCACCGAGTAGGAGATCCTTGGCCCTCTAGGCAAGTAGGTCAGCGCCCCAAGACTCTTTCAACGCCTTGGGAGACTGGGTGAAAGGCGAGCTTGGTTACGCTTAAAATGATCGCCTACAAGCGGTTCTCTTGGCTCGAAACGCCTCTTTCAGGGCTCATATACTAGAAAGGAAAGGAATGAGGAGGAGACAAAACGCCGCCGAGGCCCTGAACTGTTCATGGCATACGCGGCTCAGCCAAGCTGTTGTTTTAAAAGAGCAATAAAAATGAATTATGACTAAACGCCTTCTAACTTAATGCTTTCAGACGGGGATCCCCGGCAAATACGTAAGAGGATTTTTATTTGTGCATGTGTTCCTGCAATTGATCTCTTTGATGACATTTTCATTCATAGAAAGCGTTTGATTTATGAGCGTAGGACGAATCGCATCCAGGAGCTGCGCAGCCCTGGCCGCGACCGGGATGCCCTGCTCTGCAATGAGCTTGGGGCCGGAAACCAGCCATAGTCCCCACACTCCGCCGCGGCAGCTGGGATTTAGCAGAGGAAGGGGCAAGGGAAGGTAGGGAGCAAACCTATGAAGAAACATCGCGTTGTCATTGGAACTTCCAAGCCTTTGCTGTTAAGAGCCAGGTTCTTAAATCAACCCGTCCCACACACATGTTGCTTACATGCTGCGTTTTCTCACGGTAAGTAAGTAGGCATCAGAAGAGAGCTCAGAAAGGGAAAAATAAACGTGGAGAGACCTAACAAGGGAGGGGGAAAAAAGCAACAACCCAGTGACACACCCTAGATCACATTTTATTGATATTTCATTTAAAGTGCTTTTCTCTCTCTCTAGAACCTGGGTTAATTTATAACCTAGGGTGTAGAAACACACCATTTTAAATCTCAACTTGCTAACCTGACTTCGAAGCATTAATGATCCATTATTAGCAATGTAAACAGATTTAAGAATGAAATATTGATTTTTCTGACCCTGAAAAACAAAAAAAAAAGAATCCTAGAGTGACTGAACCAGAGGATTGGAAAGAACATTTTCTGGGGTGCATTTTCCAGATAGTAATCACTGTTTTGTTTTATTTTTGTTTTTCTCTGTCTTTTAGGTCTGTTTTGCCTGAACCCATCAAGAGCTGGGAGATTAATCAACCACACTGAAAATGTGGAGAGATTTATGGGGGAGAGGGTTGAAATGTGGATGTTTGAAACAAAAGTGTATAAATAAATGAATTGTTGATAACTTAGTTATTGACCTGGAGACTGGTAGCTTATTAAAGAAACTCCATGTTACTCATTCCTGGAGTTGGAGGTTTCTGTAGGCACTTTATTTCTCCACTTTCAAGAGCTTGGGCTTGGCCCAAATCTTAGACTGCCCAATTCTGTCTCTATTACCAATTTAAATCTATGGCTTGAACCTGTGCACCGAAAATCAAATCTATTCCCTTTAAAAAGAAGGAGGAGAAGAAGCAAAAAAGCAAAAACAAACAAACAAACAACAACAACAAAAACACTTATTAGAAGCCCTAGTCATTTTTTGGCTTTCTGTTTTGTTGCTGTCCATTGAAGACTTTGAACATGCCGCCTTAATAAATGTATTAAAATTGAAAAAGAGGATAAATTGTGACTAGAATTTTATTTACCAAGTTAGACTAAAAGAAGAAAAAGAAACTGTTATGAGCCTTGAAAAAGGGGAGAAAAATAAGAAAGCTATTTATAGGAAAGGAGAATTTATTCTACAAAAAATATGCATGACAATGCATCCTAATGTAATACAAAAATAAAAAGAAAGTGAAGATACAATTAAATGATCACTTTCTTGCAGGTCTCATATTGCTCTCAGGAAATCACATAAAGGGTGGTTGAGTTAGGTTTAAAACAACTAAAACTCCAAAATAATCTGTAAAAGATGGCTGTGTTTGGAACTGGGTCAGGGAATCACTAAACAGAAAATCCTCAACATTTAAAGGAGGGAAGGGTAGGTCAAGAAGAAAATAAAAATAAACTCCAGAATAAAAGAAAGCAAAACCACCTGGTCAAAGGGGTTTTTGTTTTGTGATGCTTTGTTTTGCTTTAATGTTTTTAGTAATTCAGATGCTGCAAGTCGATTGTGGTGAGTGTGTCTGTAAAAAAGTCAAAGCTGTCAGCTGAAATATCTACGGGACTGTCGAGGGAACCTGGCAAACTGGGTGAAACTGTGTCTGAAAGCTGCAGGCAGGAATCTGTGGAGAAAACGTTAAAGTCCTGCAAAGAGGGGACCTCGAGGGCCTCAGGACTGTCATTGTTTAGGCCAGCTCCACAGTTCTGGCCCATTGTTGACAAGCAGTTAGGAACAGTGGGTGACTGGTGCTGAAAATGTTTCAGATTTTTCTCATTGCTGGTTAAAGGCGAGACTGGGAAACTTTGGGAGTCGCCATTGTGTCCATTGGGAGCCTGCTGCTGAGAGAGGGCATTTTGCTGAAAAGTGTAGCCTTCCCTCTCCAGAAGGGCCCCAGAGACGCTAAGGGCTTGCTCAAAGAGCGTCTTCTCTTCCTCGTCCTCCTCTACTTTCTCGGAGTCCTCAAGGCTTTTACATTTCCCTTCGCTGTTTTGGTTTTCCTTGCACTGGGTCTGCCTCTTGTGCTTCATCCTCCGGTTCTGAAACCACACTTTCACTTGTCTCTCAGTCAAATCCAGTAGCGCTGCAATCTCCACCCTTCGGGGTCTGCAAAGGTACTTGTTGAAATGAAATTCTTTTTCCAGCTCTAGAAGCTGTGTGTTGGTGTAAGCAGTTCTCAGGCGCCGCGATCCCCCGCCGCTGCCATCGGCGATTTCCAGGGATTCTGCGGAAAGGGAAACCAACAAGAGACACACGCACAGTTGGAGGTGGAGGGGTCCGAGCGGGGTTATTCCACTGGAGAATAAATATAGCAGAAAAGATCAACTGCAACAAAATGGCCGCCCCTGGATGCAGTAGAGCTATTGTGCTGCCTTTCCTGGGAGCCCAGCCTGGGTAGACCCGGTCTCCTCCTCCTCTATTGAATTCATGCCTATGACTCCCCTCAACCTCTTCATCCAGGAGCAAACTTTATATTAGTCACAACACAATTTATAATTAATGCATCAGCTGCTTAGCTGAGCAAGAGCGATCTATCACTCTTCATTACTGTCAAAAAGCCAAACTCTAGGACAACTAGACAGGAGGAGGTCAGTTTCAACTCAAATAAATCATCCCACATTACACAAGTTCGGGAAAGTTTCCCCCCACTTCCTAAAAATATATATGTCTCATTGTAGAGCACAGGATCCCCTTTCCTCCCCATCAAACCCACTCCTGAGCCCACAGGGGCAAGGACAAGGCAACCAAGCATCTCTCCCTCTCCTCCTTCTCTCCCAGCCCACTCTCCCCTCCCCCAACAGCCACTCTCGGGGCAGCCCGGAGAAGGAAGAGGGTCCCGGAGACCTGGGGCCAAGTCTTTGGACTGACCTTTGTGGCTGAGGCAAGCAGGGCCGGTGGCTGCGGCGGCGGCGGCGGCCGGCGGAAGTGCGGTTTTCTTGGCCGCCTTCTTCTCCTTCATCCAGGGGTACTCAGGCGGCTGCAGGGCGCCGGCGGGCACCGGGCTGCCGCGGCTGCCCGCGGGGCTCGGCTTGGGGCGGCCGCCAGCGCCGTGGCGAGGGTGATTGCCGGGGTTCAGGCTGGGAATGGTCTGCTCAAAAGGAGGAGGAATCAGTGTCGAGTGTGAAAGCGTCGAGGTCTTGATTGATGAACTTTGAAATGTATCAGCGACAGGGGGAAAAGATGTCAGGCACTCAGCGAGCGACGGCTGGCTATTGATAAAACCAATCTCTCGCTCAAATTCGTAATTCATGGCCTTCTCCTTGGAGCCCCCTCAGAGAAAAAGTTCCCTCTTTTGGAGGGGCTTTGGGGGGGCAAGGCCCAGGAAAAAGGCGAGCGCAGAGGAAAAAAAAAATCTATCATAGAATATCGCTGCTAGGGTGTTTTTTTTCTAATTCACTGATTACAGCCGTATGGGGACCGCGCTACTATTAAACTATTGAATTCATGGAGACAAGGTTGAAATTGGACCGAATTGGCTGTCACATGATTGCTTCTGCCCAATGACAATTTGGGCTTTAATCAAAAGAAGCCACTGTCTGTTTGATTGATCCAAAAAAGTCGGGAAGGAACGCCTCATTGGGGGCCAGCGAGGCTTTATTTACACTTTTTTCAGGGCAAAAATACATATATGTTGGTGTGGGTGGGGATGTCCCGGAGTACGTGGGGGCGAGGGTGCCTGAGCGCCTCCTGATCTGCAAGGATCTGGTGTGTGCGCCTGGGAGTATATGTGTGTGTGAATGTGCGAGAGTGTAAGCCCTGCTGTCGGTCCCGCCGGCGGCTGCCCTCTGCCTCCCCCGCACACTCCGCGCATTGTTTGGGACTGTCGGGAAGACGCCTCGCACCTCACAAATCATTTAAGCACCTCAGTCTGACGCCTGCAGTCATTAACAAAGTAATCCATTAATCTTCAAAGTTTTGACACCCGAGGGCCCTGCATCCCAGCCACATAAGTTCTGTTAAAGCAGGAGAAAGGAGCAGAGGGAGAGAGGAGATGCGAGAGGGAGAATAAAGAGAGAGGGAAGAAGAGAGAGATGGAGAGATGGAAAAAGAGAAGACAGAAAAGAGAGAAGAAAAGAAAGATTTTGGTTGGGAGGGGGTCCTCCTTTTCTTTCACTTTTCCTGAAACCAGTTCCTGGATCTCAAAACTGATCTCTCTCGGTCTGTTTTGCTTCCTGCTTGTCTCTTTCCCTCTTTTTCCTCTTCTCCCCCTTTCTCCCTCCCTCTCTCTTATGTCCGCCTCCCCTTCTTCCCGCAGCCTCTCGCCCCCCTCCCAGTGTCCAGCCCAGAGTCTGTGCCCCCGGCCCATTGTTAGCAGGCTATTCCACGGCAGCTTTGCATCTGGCTCCGGCGGGAAGCGGAAAACGGGAGGCGGCTCTCAAAGCTTCCCGACCTTCCTGCGCCATCAACTTCTCAGGAGTGGCTGGAGAAAGATGCATGTGCCAAGCGAGACAACAACCCCAGGTCCATGTGTCCAAATCCCCGTAGCCAGGGCGGCGGCCAGCCAAAGAAATGCCGCCCCGAGCAGGCGCGTGCGGCTCCTGGCATTCTGGGTTTCATACCCGTAGGGCTCGGGTGCGGTGAGTATTTCCGATTTCCAGAAAGTCTGTTGGAAGTTACCAGCAAGGAAAGAGAAGATGTTTGTTCCTCTCTCTCCCTCCCTCTCTCTTTTTTTCTACCCTTCTTCTTGTCCTTGACGCTCTGGTTGGGGGCTGGTTGGTTTAGATACAGCGAGTGCTCCCTGGCAGCCTGAACTGCCTCCCACACCTTCCTGATCCTTGGGCACCGGGGATGTTTGCTTCCGGGTTCTGTTGTGGGAAACAGCACTGCGGGGGAGAGGAGGTGACCCAAGGAGGAATTATAAAGATTCTCGTTCTCCTTCATTCTCTTTTTTCCAATTCGGAGACTTGAGACTGAGCGCATCTTGGACGGTGCTAGAGGGTTCAAAAGATAACACCTTTAGGTACCAAAAAATAATTTTTTAAAAATCCACCAAGCCAGAAAGAGGTAAGGAGGCTGAGAGGTAGATCTGGAGGTACCTCTTTCCCCCGCGCCCAAACCCTGAGGATGGTGATTCGCTTTTGCTTCCTTTGAAATAGACGAAGTGATCAGAGTCCCCCAGGCCGGCAGGCATCAGTGGCAGGAAAATAAATCATTCTGATGGCCAGGGAGAGAGAGGTTGGAGGGGGAGAAAAATCTACGTAGAAAACAAGAAAGGCCAACCAAGGAGCAAAGGCAGGACCCCATCTCTGAGGCCGGCATCAAAGAGGGTTTGGGGTGGAAATCAGATATAAGTGGCCTATATCATTGACCAGCCCAGAGCATTGCCTTGCAGATGGAGATGCTATTTCGGAAAATGTGAGGTTTTTTAGTTTTCTTGCTTTTATTCCAAACAAAGCTCCGAAGGAAGTCTGGGCGCGATCAATCTTGCTCACCAAAAGCCTTGACAGCTTCTAGCCCTTAAGAACACATTTCAGCTTCCAGCTCCTTCCAAGATAAAATGTGACCGAGCAAAGAGGAGAGCAGGAAATGCAAGTAAATAAGGAAAACTAGTCTTTAAAAATATATATTTTGGCAGTGAAAAGGATTAGGGCTCCTTTTAGGAAGGGTGCTTTGCGGACTCTGGGATGGCGGCTTTTGGCATTTGTTTTTACCAGAAAATATTATAGGCTTAAGGGAAGGGGGGTGCAGAGAGGGAGCAGCGCTGCCCCCATATCTCTGAGGCTTTGTCAGGGGCTGCGTGGGTGAGAGCTTTCTGCCGCCTCAGCCGCCTTAATTCAAATACCATCTGGAAGAAAACCCTTTTCTTTGACCACTCAACACTGAAATCTTCCCCAAGTCTATTACTTTAACTCATGAGATATTTTAATAAGGATTTCTTTTTAATATCTAGGAAACTGGGGGGTGAAGTCAATACTTTTTTCTTTGAAAGCCAAAATGAATGTCTTGACTGGTAAGATATGGGAAATCACATTAGAATCTCATTTTAAAATCTTAGCCCTGGGGGAAGGAGGAAGCCTCCAAACCATCCCTCCCTCAGCTAAAGAGTAGATTTCAGAAGTGGGTTCAAATAGTGATATCCCTGAAAGATCTTCATCCTTAGATGAAGATCTTTATTTTTCTAGGTAATTTTACTAGCTGTTCCTTATTTTTCCAGGTAATTTTACACGTGTCTCTAAACTGATTACTTAAAAGAAGACTCCTGTATCTGCTCAGCGTGACCAAAAGGTGGAAGCTCTAGTCCTCACAAAGCCTGGTTTTGCAGCCTCTGCATTTCTGAGGTGCGCCATATTTTGGCACAGAGGTTGAGGTGCGGAGAGCAAATCTATTTCTCCCATAGCCCAAACTCTTTAAAAAGGATATATATAATATTGTATATATGTATATATGTTATATATATACACACACACACACACACACACATATATATATATTTCAACAGCCTTAGGACAGATATGGGGAAAGCACCTCTGGGTGTGAGAGAAACACTGAGCTCTCCGCAGCAGCCTGGCTTGGCATCCTCCAAGTCTTTTCCTTAAACTGAGGAGTTTCTCTAAAAGCAGCTCGTTGGTACCCAGCAGTACCCAGAAATGGCTCCAGCGCCTGCTTCTAAGAATAATCCGAGGGAGCTTCACTGGGGGAAGATAATGGCCATGATGATGGATATTTTGGATTGCAAACAAAATGGCGACATTTTCCTCTTCTGCCTCTGAAAGATACAATCCAGGGAGAATAGGGATTTATTTCTCACATCCGATGCTCTTGATCCCCAGACGAAAGCGGTTCCTCACTTCCAGCTCTGAAGTGCGTGATGATGGGATGCAGGTCTGAGGTTTGCATTTTCTGAATTTGGTTCCTTTCTCGAGGAATCCTTAAATCTGAAGATGAAAATATTTCCCTTTACTGTGCCTTCTTTTGCCTCTACCAGCCAGTCAGTAAGCAGCCCTATCTTAAATCCAGGAGTGGGAATGTAATATTTAGCTCCTGTAACATCAAATCAAAAAAGTACTTATAAAATTGCATTTTTATTACAAAGATACCGATCTCCTTGCTCTCTCCCCCTCCCCCTGGGGCCATAAAAAGAAAGCTGGGAGGGAAGGAGAGGAAATAAATTCAGAGAGTGCCAAATACTACATTCAGTAGGAAGCTGATGCTGGGATTCAGGCAGTCCAGGGAAGGACTGGCTCAGGTGACTCTCCCCAGCTCAGTCCTCCGTTTGCTGGAGACCCGGGTGAGCCTCAGTCCCTTTCAAACTGTTTCGCTCCGCGTGCAGATTTTAGGAACCATTCTTTCCTTCTGACACTGTAATAGACTGCAAAGCATCCCAGAGGAGACCAGGAGTCCGATTGCTCCCGTAAAGTGCTCGGCATCCTCTGCGCGGCTGGCTAATCCCGAGGTTTAGACGTTAGTTGGTCCACTTTGACCCGAGCAAGAGCGTGGAGCAGAAGACCGCCCTGCGTTATCCCCCGGCTCGGCCGCGGGGCACCTGTGCGCTCCCGCTGCGCCTTGGGCCGGGCTGCCTTTGTTTCTTTAGAGCACAGCACTCGGCAGCCCCTGCGCCCTCGGCCTACCTCCGCAGCAGCTGGGAACCGGGCAGCCCAGCGGGCCGGCCGCACGGCGTTACCAGAGCTGCCGCAGCCGCCTGGAGCCCCAGCCGCCATCCTGAGAATTCGCCGAGCTTCCAGGCGAATAGCCTGGCCAGGCCCCATGCTGGAGCCGGAGGGCTGCTAAGCCCGGCCTGCTCTGCCGGCTCGCCTCGGCCTGAATTCCACGCAGACCCACGTCTTCAGCCAAGGAACCCCTTCTTAACACGTATATTATTCAGAATAAAAACTTTATTTCTTTTTGTTTCTCAGAATGTGAGCAGCAAGGAATGTAGAATTCTCAAAACAAATCTAGTATTTTTCGCGTTTACAGATTTTTTTTTTTTCAGTTATGCCGGATGTTACAAACCTAAATCACTGTTTTCAAAAGCTGGATCTTCTCTGGTTTTATTGCATCATTACCGTTTAAAGGAATTATACTTCCCTTTGAAATAAAAAAAAAATTCTAAGTACGCCAATACACAATTGAACAAAAGGCCCAAGAACCCTCTGAACCATCAGGGTACAGAATTTCTTTAATATAAATATGAACGGATGGGGATAAATAATATTTAGAACTTAGATTATTCAATGCTTGCAAAAAAATATAAATAAATCTGACTTCACCAGCATACACACACGGAAAGACGTACACTTAGTCATCCTTGCACAGGGAGCCCCTGTTTCAAAGCGCCTTTGATTTTTTTTTCTCATTCTTTATAAGAAGTGCAATTAAAAAAATTAAAATTAAAAAAAGTAATCGCTTCCCCTCGGGAGCCATAATGTACGAACAAATTCACATTGAAAACTCGACTAGAAAATTTGTTCATATACCCTGTTTCTGATCAAAGAGTGGAGAAGGTAAAGGGTGCAGGGCCAGTGGCCTATCGAGGAGCAGGAAGAGATAAATATCGCTACTGATACAGCCATTCCAGCAACCAAGATTGCTACGTCACATAAACTATAAAAACGCCTTCCCAACGAGGGGGGAAACCGGGAAAGGAGTGCGGGGGCGGAGAAGAGAGAAAAGGAAGGAAGGAAGGAAAGGGCAGGAAGAACCTAAAAAAAAAAAAAAAAAAAAAGCAACCAAAGAAAAAAGGTGGGTGGGGGGAGACTCTCCTGGCGCATAGCACCAGCCCACCATCACAGGTGGGTGAGCTTGGGTGCTTCCTGAATTCTTCCCTGAGAAGGATGGTGGGCAGTAAGGTCCGTGTAGGTGGGGTGCGGCTCCCCAGGCCCGGGCCCGTGGTGGTGGCCGCTGCCCAGCGGCCCGGCGCCCCCATAGTCCATGGCGCCCGAGGCAGCGTGGGGGAGGTGAGTTAGACCAAAGAGGGCTGGCCCAGAGTTGCTCATGGGCTCCACGTAGCTGCCCCCCACGAAGACGGGGCTTCCCTGTATGTGTGGGGTCCCATAGCTGCCGTTGCCCTGCAGGCCATGAGCGTGTGGGTCATAGTCGGGGGTGCCCCCTGCGCCCGCCCCTGCCGCCGTGTAGCGCTTCTGTGGGGGTGGTGGGGGTGCACAGCTGGGCAGGGAAGCAGGGTAGGAGGCGGGGGGCAGCCCGTAGGTACCCTGGGGGGGCTTGGAGAAGGGCGGGGGCGACTGGGGCTCGTACGGGACGCTGTTGACCAACGAATGCATAGAGTTCAGATAGCCACCGGCGCCGGGGGGCACGGGACTGCGACTTGGAGACTGGCCCCCCGATGAGGTTAGCATGCCCTTGCCCTTCTGATCCTTTTTGTACTTCATGCGGCGATTCTGGAACCAGATCTTGATCTGGCGCTCAGTGAGGTTCAGCAGATTGGCCATCTCCACCCTGCGCGGCCGGCACAGGTAGCGGTTGAAGTGGAACTCTTTTTCCAGCTCCACCAGCTGCGCACTCGTGTAGGCCGTGCGCGCGCGCTTGGACGAAGCCTGCCCCGGCGGGCTCTTGTCGCCAGCGCAGCTCTCGCCTGCGAGGACAGAGAGAGGAAGAGCGGCGTCAGGGGAAGCCGCGGCCCCGCCCAGCCCCTGACCCAGCCCGGCCCCTCCTTCCACCAGGCCCCAAAGGTTCCTGAATCTGTCAGGTCCCAGAGAGAAGAAGGAACTAGGTGCTCTTCTCTTCTCCTGGTGGGTAAAACAGCGGTACTCCCCATTCAGCCAAGGAACAAATCACAGGCTTCTCAAGGGGGAAAGGACAGAGAAGTAGAACTCCCGGTTTGCCTTCCTGGTCTGGATTTTCTTTTTAGAGCTATTAACTTTCTGACTCATTTACTGGTCCCTTTGGCCTATCGGACAACAGCCTCCCTGTGGGCCAGTCTCAGCATCTCAATTCCCTTCACAGTAACTGAAATGTGGGAAACCTAATGTACACACTCATTCCCCTCCCACACTGTCCGACAATAATTAGGCAGTAGCTTCAACTGGCCACTTTTTTCTCTCTACCCAGAGGAGATGGGCAGACTGGAAACCTCAAACTTTGGGCAGAGAAGGCCCAAAGAAGAGATCCCATTGAAGGTATTTCTGGTGGGGAGGCCTAGGCCCTTCATGCCGAGTCCTATTCTTTAGGGTTCCCTATGTCATCAAGCAGCCTGCCCCGGCTTTTGTCCACTAATCTTGTACCCTTCTGTCCTCCCTGGCCCCCCAGATCCTAGCTATGGAGGTCCCAGATGCTCAGGCTCAGAGCAGGGCACTGGCAACTGGAGAAGGGAGGGGCAAAGGTAACCAAAATGCTAGGAAGCCTAAGGCCTGGGGCCTTTCCTCTACTGGAGCCTGCTTCCAGGAGGCCCATGTGGTTCCCATTAGGATGACAAGTCTGCATCCCCCTCCTCCAGGAGATCTTTGGCTGCTTTCATTGTACTAAGTCTGAGTAAGGTCTTCCCAGAGGTAAGGCAGCCACTCCATCTGCTGGAGCAAAAATTGGCTCTGATTATAGGCAAAGCATTGATTCTGTCTTGGAGGGTGATTAGGCCTGTTTTTATTCTGCCACATTGTAGTATGGAGAGGATGTCACTGTTTTATTAGAAGAGCTATGCTAAAAAGATAGACAGTGGAGCTCAGGTTGTTTCTGCACAGAGGTCCTAACTCCAAGAGTGGAGCAAGAAGGGATTCCAACTGCACTAGACCCTACTTGCCCTTGGAGAAGTCCAGAGGGACTCCCAGCAAGTCTCTGGGGTTTTCCAGCCTACAGAGACCTATCACCTCCCTAAGTTGCAAAGACTCTGAAAACCTTTTTGGTGGGCAGTGGTGTGGGAGTAGTGAATTCCAGATATGCCCCATCGCTCCTAGGTTGTGCTAGATGTCGTGGGCAGTAGCTCTGGGACCGGGAGCCAGGCCAGAGGACCCTCTTCCAGAAGGCACTCCTTTACCTGAGCTAGAGCTGCTGGTTTTCTGCTTTGTGTTTTGTCGAGATTCTTTCATCCAGGGGAAGATTTGTTTGGCCACTGTGGGTGAGTTGAGCAGGGGGCTCTTGGCCGCGTTGGCGGGGGTGGGGTTGCTGCTGGCATTCTGAGGTGGGGAGACAGAAGAGGGAGGCGGGGGCGCGGCAGGGGTAGGTGCAGGGGGCTGAGGTGGGGGCTGAGGCGGCTGTGGGGCAGGGGGCGCGGCCTGGGTCGGCGGCGGGTGCAGGGGCGGCTCGCCCAGGCTTGGAGGCTGGCTAGGTGGGGCACTCAGGGTGCGCAGGCACGCGTCACTCAGTTCGTGTGCCTTGGGGTGGCCCCCGGCGCTGGAGGGAGACTGGAGGGAGCAGGCGGGTCGATGGTACTCGCCGTCGGCACCCAAAGCGACGGACGCCGGGTACGGCTGCTGATTGGCATTATAAGCGAACCCGTTGGCTGCCTGGTAGGGGTAGCCACCGTAGATCGCCGAGCTGTCGTAGTAGGTCGCTTTTTGCATCGCGTTGTTTCACGATCTTGATCGCACACTCTGACAGGGGTTTGACACTCGTGAGGGCGCACATTGGCACGCCCCCGCGGTCACGTGACACTCCGCCGCCAATGGCCGCCCCGCGCAGACCTAGGGGGGCGAGAAGCGCAGCGCGGTGAGGGCTCCGCGCAAATCCATCTTACTCTCAATAGCTAAGTGACATGAAAGCCATAAAAGAAAAAGTGGTCAGCAATATTTAGCAGCACGACTTGGCCCCGGGCGCAGGGAGCCGCGCTATAAAAAAACCGCTGGAATTTACTGGCAGCTACAAATATTTGCTTAACTTGCGTCTGGAGTTGGGGGATTTCCCGGGGAGAGAGAAGGAGAATGAGTGAGGGCTGGAAGCCGACTCTCAGGAGCCGGGGTCCAAAAGGAGAAAGGCTTGATAGGCTAGAAAGGAACAAGGCTGGGAGCTTTCTTTTCCAGGGAAGAAGAAACTTGGGGTGTCGCTTAGTTTCTGCTCCTTGGCCTCCTCCAGAGGGACCAAGACTCCTCCACTCTGGGAACCTTGGGAAGGGAACGAGGAGGCAAAGGGGAGCTTGGGTTGCCAATGTTTTCTCGGCTTTAGGACTGATGTTTGCCAAAAGAGCCCTGACATGGAGTAACTTCCCACCCAGCTCCTTCTTGGACCTTCCTGCTCCCAAAAGAGGTTTGCACAAAAAATTTTCAGGCAATTTGCCCCATCCAACCATGTTGGATTTCAGAAGCTGAGCTTGTTAGGCAGTTAATCCACCTTGTTGGGGATATGACTCACCTCCCCCAAATGAACCCCTTGTGGCCAAGAAGAAGGGAGGGAAAACTTTGGTTGGAACACATTGTGTGTGTGTGTGTGTGTGTGTGTGTGTGTGTGTGTGTGTTTGCAGGAGGGACCAACAGTAACACCCCACCCAGCAAGTCACAACTAAAATCCTGGAGAGTTCTTTACTCCTTTCCTCTCCCTGTTTCTTAGGCACTTCCCAGCAAGCCACCCCCACTTCTTTACTTCTTTCCCCCGGTTACAGGAGGTTCCCAGAACCTCCTATCTTGGACTTTCTGAGGTGCTGTTATTCGGGGCAACTATCAAATTCTACCTGTTAAAACATGATGGATTAGAGAGGAAAAAAAAACCCTCCAGGAACCTGAAAAACCAGCGTTCATCTCCATGACCACGGCTTGAACTCTCCTTCCAACTTAACGATAATAGGTTCTGTCTTAGAAACTGCTATGTAATTTGATGTATGGGGGTCATTTGGCTCCGGACGAGGGATGGAAGCACAAGCCATAAAATCCTGCCAGAGTTTCCTGATCTTTGTGTACTGTTGTTGTTGTTGATATTTGTTACTTGGCCTATTTACCTGCTTCAGAAATTCCAAGTAAAGGATAACCCTGAAAATCTAAAAAGCAGTTGAAAACCCCTTCAACCCTCTTTCATTTAGAAAGCAGTTTGCAAAAGTTCAATCTGTTTTCTTTTTGTTTTCAACCATTGCATGGTCAACCTCTAGTTCTCAGCAAAGAAAAGTTCCATGTGAGTTTCAAATATTCACCCCCACACACACTGGGAATGTTAGTCCCTCTGACCACTTAAGAAAATTATAACAAATTCAAAAGAAAATGATTAACATTCAGTCCAACTATATATATTGAGTCCCAGAATTATTCACATTTTCCAGGAATATTAGATGCTTTGTTAACTAGAAAAAAAAAGATAATGTATTGCATCTACCAGTAGATGATTATAATTCCATTGCTAATAATGGACTCCTTTAGATTTAATTATTAAGCCAACAATCTGACCAACATCTGCAAAACAGGCACAATTAATTTTCCAGAACCTCAATTAAAAATTACAGCATCCCTTATCCAGAGTTATTGTCAGTGATCATGAGCCCCGGAGCATTGTTCCTCTTTTGGAAATAGGAAGCTACACATACCATGGTTGAAAGTAAATAAAGTATAAAATAAAACTGAATAGCAATTTAATGTATCAATTTCCTTTTCTTTTACTGAAAACAGTTCCGATTACATTTGGCAGAGTTAATGTCGGCCATTATAAATTTTTTAGATACCAGGCTTGTGTAAAATAAAATGTCAGGTTAAGAAAATTAGACACTCGAACAGCAAGATATTAGATAAAACAAAATTAAGTTGATTTTGCACATGCAATATTTCTAGTGACTTGCTAATCCATTATCACAGGTTATACCAGCCTACTACTTACTTAAGTCTTTTTATCAAGTTGTGCATTGTTTTTCAAAATAACAAAAATATCTTTGAAAATCAAAGAGCATACAACAGCCCCCATAAACTTAAAATATGAATTCGATTCTGGAATCCCACCAAAATCCTTCCCATTGTTTGAGGTCAGCAGACCACTACCTTGGAGCTCATACATCCCCACACCCCAACCCAGCCCCCAAAGTTTGCAACCTAGTAAAGAAGTTGGAGATTTGCCAGTCAGGAAACTTTGCTTTGCACTGCCAAGCAAGGGCTGGGGATGAGGGGAGATTCCTCCACAAAGATCTGTTTCTGGACAATAATCTCCAGGTGCAAGAGCCGAAAAAGAGTTGAAGAGGCTAAATTGAGTGCAAGAAGCAAGCCCTATTGCTTCTTTGGAAGATGTGTCCAAATTCACCCTCCGTCCTTCAGACATCGCTCCCTCTTCCCGTTCCCTCCTCTTCCTTAGCCTTCCCTCACCCCAAATCTGAGCGGGTTCGTCGGATAGGAGCCCCGAGTCCCCTGCCCACCTCTCCTTCTCTCTGCAACCCAGAAAAGTTAAGGCTGGGCTAGGGGAGAGACAAGAGGTGGGGGCGGGGATGGGAAAGCGGCCTGAACTCGAAGTGTAAGGGTATCAGTCACTGCCGGGAAGGAAGCTCCGGCTTGTGAACTCTTCTTGAACCGAGATTTAAGTCTGCAGCCATAAATCACCGAGACGTAAACTCCGCCATTCAGCGCCGGGAGCGGCCGGTTGCGGCCCTGCTTACCTTAACTTCTGACGAGCGCCGCAAGCGCAGGCTCGGGCTCAGGCTCAGACACCGGCTCCGGCCCCCGGCCTGGCTCGGCGGCCCGGCCGGGTCCCCTCCGCGCGGGATGGGCACCGACCCTCAGCATCAGCTGATACGGTAGGCGGGCGGGAGACCCTGAGGCCCGGTCACCGCCGCGCAGAGCGTGGCCGCCTCGCTGCTCCAGCACAGCTTGTCCAGGGCCGACTGGGGCGGCTTGGACCCCCTCCCACCCACCCCACCCACCCACCCACCCCTCCCCCACACCCCCGCCCTCTGCCCTTCCCGAGGGCAGCAGCCGCGGCCCGGAGATAAGCGCTAGCGCGGCGCCGGGCTCTGCCTGGGCTAGTGGCACCGACTTGGGTATGTTTCTTATGAATATTACACGCGGAGTAGCGTCTGGTCCGGGGGTGCGGTGGGGGGTGCTGGGGCGGGCGGGAGGGGAGACCAAGGCGCCTGGGGAAGCGCGGGCCGGTGTGGGGGATGGGGCTGAGGCAAGGGGAGGGACCGGAGGGAGAAGGGGAGCTCGGCTGTGGCGGGAGGAGGGCAGCCTGCCCCCACCCCCCAACGCCCTCCCTCTCCTGCTCCCAGGCGTCACTAAAGTCCAGGAAAATTATGCTAATGAGGACAAACGGCTCTCACAAAGGGGCTATCTTGCTGGGCTCTATTTCTTAGAAATTCGTTTGAGAATAGAATAGAACCACATATTCCTCTGCCCTGGACACTTCCAATTGTGGGGTGAGGGGAAAAAGAACCAAGAAAAGTGAGTTTCCCAGACTTTGCCCAGTTTATTTCACCTGCAACCCCCAAACAGATCTTTGGGTGGGGGTGTGGGGAGCTGGGATAAGGCTTTTCTCTAGGGACCCCAAAGAGCCAACTGGGCTCTCTTTGGTTATATTTTTAGGCAGAAATTGCTGACATCTTAGCAGCCAGGAGGGAAGTGTCCTGGGAGAGACAGACACTTGTTCCAGCAGTGAAATGGGATGCTCCAGGCTCAGGTACACACAAGGGTGTTTAGAAATGCGGATCTCCAGGGCTCGTGTGCCCATTTCACAGTGCAGACACGCAGCTCACCCGCAGGGAAGACAGAGAAAGCTCTGACCCCAACAGAAACTGATATCATATATATATATAAACACACACACACAGGGCAGAGGAATATGTGGTTTTTCATACACACACATATACATATTTTCCTCATTAGTGGGATAGAGTAACGCTGAGCTGGGCAAAAGAAAGGTTCGAATTTGCCTGGTAATATTGCCACAACTTGAAAGAGGATGATTTTCCTCCTAAAGCCTCCTTTGCTCCCCAGCTTCAGAAGCAAACTCTGCAAGGGTTATGAGTGTGGCAAAAAGAGAGAAATGGAGATTTCCTGCAATCCCAAGGCGTCAACGGCGGGTCCTTCTCAAAGGAAGGTGTTAAAAATATAAGTAGTATGTTTAAACTGTCAAGGAGCCAAAGTGTCACCTTAGAGCAAAAACAAAGCCAGGGGAAAAGGGAGAAATCAAAAAGCACTCCGGGCCAGGGTGGCCTCATGCATACCAATGGTTTTTGTCATTTATGGCTGGGCAAGATTTATGACTCGGCGCCCCAAAGCTGTAAACAGAGCACAAAACAGCAAACACTTGCTCCTTATGGCATATTGCAGAGCAACTTGAAAGGGGGAGCCGGCCGCGTAGGAGGTGAGAGCCAGCCGCAAAAATCCGTTCGGCGGCATTTTCTCTTCAAACCCGCCCGGTCGGATGTGGCATTTGAAGAAAGAAGGCGTGGGTCAATAATCAACCCGCACTTTCTCCTCCAAACTGCTGACGCGACTCTCACCGCCTTCTCAGCTAAGCCAGCTGCCGGGAAGGCCAGCTCTCCGTGAGAACCTGCCGGGAGAAGGGATTCTCTGGGCCATAGTGACCGAGGGCGCCCGAGCTAGGGCTGGGTCGCCCGGAATGCATACCTTTCCACTGGCGCCAAGACCCTGCCGGGCAAAACGCGGGGACCGGACCTGAGGAGCCGCGGGAGCCCAGGGAGATCTGGGGCTGGAGCTTCGTTCCGGCCAGGGCCTCTATCCGCCCCGATACGTGGCTCGCGGGCCGCGGGCCTCAGCGGGCAGAAGTGGGGCTCCGACCTCAAGACGAAGGTCCGGCGTCCTGGCACGCAGATGTTCGGTGCCCCAGCCTCAAGCCGCTCTGCTGAAATCCAAAGGACTGGCTTTGGAGCAAACGTAGGCGAGAGGATTTTAAAATAATAATTTATACTGGTGGAATGTTTTTATTTGTCGGTTTGTTACTGGTGTTTTGTTTTGTTTTTTAAGCGAAAATGCCGGTTGTTGATTTCCACCTCCAGAAATTACCGGCCGCCGTCTCTGAGCCCTTTCTAGACAAATCCCACAGCAGTTCACCCGGCTCCGCCAAAACCGCAGAGCTTTTCTTTACTGAGAAGACCCCTTGGTTCCACCAATTCCCCCAAATCCCCATGGCTCCCGATCTCTCATCTAGGGGAACTAGAAGAAAAGATTTTTCTCAGCACTAGAAGAATACTTGGAGCAGCAAAGGTGCCCGTGGTGCCTTTCTACCGTTCAAGGGGGTGTCCTCCTGAAGGCGTCTAAGAGGGCCTCTGGCGGTTCCAAGGCTGTGCAGCCAGGGAGGAAGGTGAGGAATATCGTGGGTAAGAAGAGGTATCAAAATCACAGAATAAGGAGGAATATTATTGAGGAAATGTACTTGCTTGTGAGGGTGAAGCTGGCATTTTGAGGTAGAAGGGAACCAGCCTTTTTTGATATCTCATAGTTTATACATAATGGACTGACTTTAGCACTTTCATGGGAGGAAAAAACAATCTGAGCTCTATAAATGTGGCTCTTGGCTTCTCACTGTGCATGCTTTTATATAGAACCAGAGTCCATCCTTAGATATTTATTCAGCTTGCTGGCACTGAAGCAACAATAAAAAGATGCCTCTAACAGACCTCTATTCTCTCTCTCATTCTTTCTAGCAAAACTATATTATTTATGAGTCTTTAACTGGGTCAAAAATGCGCCAGAACTAGGTCATAAATCATATGAAATGCTGACAAGTAATTGAACAGCAATTAAAGCTTACATTTTATTTCCAAGGGGTGTTTTAGAGCACTTGAAAGGGCCTCAGTTAAACATGGTTACTGCTGAGGCCGGCACTGGGGAGAGCAGAAGGGCCCTTTCGTTCTGGGGTAGTAAATCCCACTCAAGTAGGGGATGCCTGATTTGATTTTTTTTTTCAAGTACGGAAAGAAATAATCTATATTTTAAGAAGTCAAAGGGGCAAATCCAACCTCTGACTCCTTATAAGCATCCCTTTCCCTACTCCAAGGAGCAGAATAAAGTAGAGTTTCCTGCACTTTCCAGGGAGTTTCCACCCTTCCCTGGAGTGTGGGGTCCCCAAAGCCCAATTAGCTGGGGCATTCCCAATAATCTGGAAACATGCAGTTTAACTTTCATCTGCCTCCACCCTGGCTACAGCTCTGTTTTGGGGGCTATGAAGTGGAGAGATGTCTGCCTCTGCTTCCTGAGGATTCTTGTCTCTGGACTTCCCTCCAACCCAGGCCCCACTGGCCAGTTCTGGAACTCTCCAAGCTAGCTGGGGGTATACAAGGAATGCCCAGATCAGGCACACTGATGAAGTCCAAACCTAATCCTGGCTCCCTCCTTCCTCTGTCTCCTGAATGTTAGAATAAGGAGCCCCTGGGCATCCAGCATGCTCACCCCACCCCAAGGCTCTCCTAGGTCTGAGCTGTCTTTCTTCAGCCCTCTGGGGCAGAGGGTGCTCAGGGAAACAATGGCGGGCCCTCCAGTTCAGATCCTTGGGGCCGGCTTGTGGGGAAGCATGCTCTGCAATCTGGCACTAAACAAAGTGCCTGGAAGCATCATCAATAAAATGGCAGCGCATCTGCACATTTCCCTCATCGATTTCCCTCTTCCAGCTGCTCAGGCTGCTCAGGTCAGCCCTAACCCTCCATCCCCTGCCTGAAAACACCACCATGGAGGAGAGATTCCTCTTCTCACCCACCCATCCCCCATGCCTCCCAGGCAGTCTAGCCCTACAAGCCGATCCACCTCAGCCTGCACCTGGCTTCGGTACCCTCTTTCTGCCTGGGGATCAGCTCCTGAGACTCCAGCCGTGCCCTGCTACAATGGACAAAGCCACCCTTGCACTGGGGGCCATTGGGCCCACCTCGGTGCCCCCCTAGTGCCCCCTCCTTTACACCCCCAACACTTTCCAGGGAATTAAACTCAGAGTCTGAGGCGCTACCGGGAATCTTTCATATGGTTTCGGTTCTAAAAGAGAAACAAAGGAAGAGAGAGGCTGAGGGTCCTGTCCATGAGCCAGGGTCTCCTCGCCTGACCTTTGTCTCTCACAGCCATAACTCACTCTAGATATGAACAATCAGCGGAAATACCTTAAAATAAATTCCATCCTCCTGGTATGGCCTCGACTTCCATCGGCTAACTCGCCCAGAACCGCTCCATGAGTGCTGAAAACTGCAATCGGCTCAGAGAGCGCTCTCCGGAGAAGGGGAAGAAGAAGGAGGAGGTGGGTGCGTGGGGGTTGGGGGAAAGCTCTGGCTCTGTAGAGAATCTAGAAAACGTAATCACAGGCGAAGCCTGCCTGGGTCTCCGCTCCAAATGCCACAATAATGCGCTGTATTATGTGCTCACGTGGTCATACGTCAACTTAAATCCTTTTATTTGAAATATGGAACCACTGAAGGAACTAGGTTGCCAAACAGAATATTTAGCTTTGGGGGAGGGTAGGTGGGGAACCTTGACCAGCAGTTTTGAGTTTAAGAGTTCTGTCTAAGCAATAGGATGCTGGGAGCCATCTCCCTATGAATGCCATGCAAGACATACAAGCTTATCTCCACTTACATTTCTTTACACACATTCCAAATACAAGGGTACAGCAATGCTATTCACATTTTAAAAATCCTTTTAACTTTCCTTACAGCCTCCCACCCACGGACAAGCTGGATCCTGCACACCCATGCACCCCAGTCTCCTCTGGCCGGCAGGCCAGTATATCAAAAGGCAAGGGGCAGGCCCAGAAATAACTGACCTGGACAGCGGACTTCCTCACAGCCTGCCATTGTATGGAATTTGCTAACACGCACACCATACACCACAGCCACTAGAGAAACCAAAAAGGACAATAATTACCTGACAAAAGGTTAAAGCATCTCCTCCAAGTCCAGTTGGTTCTGTTCAGTGGGAGCCCACTAGGAAAGATGTGCTTGGCTATAGAGTGGCGGGTCTGGGTTTTGCAAAATCTAGAGAAACCTAGTGCCCTGACCAAACTTGCACTTAAGCATTTCCTCAGTACACAGCTGAGTGATACATGGAATTATAGGTTTCTAAATATGAAAAATATCAGAGGAAATGATCTAATTGCTCTGCAAGAGACCCTCCCCCCACCCCCCAAAAAAAAGAAAATAAAAGGAAAAGAAAGAATCAACCTTCACCGGAGTGCCTTAAGTTAACAAGGCAAGGCAATCTGGGACCTCTCCACAGGCAGGTCTGTCCACCCACTTTTCCAAGACAATTCTGTGTCCACCAGCAAATTCTACCCCCATCCCCACACAAGTTCCTATAGAGACATAAACTCAAAGATGAGAAAGAGCCCCCTTCAGAACTCTCAAAATAATCTTGAGCAGAAAACCAGTAGAGAACCAACTGTGCTCAGGAAGAACCTAACTGAAACAAATAAGCTGCTCCCACCCCTGATTCCACCCCTACTCCTGCCTTCTGCCTAGTGACTTTGCTCACTAATTTCAACACTGTACCCTTTCATGAGCCGTCTAAAAATCTTCTCTTTTCTGGTCTTAGTTTCTGAACTTCTGAGAATGCTCTGAGGCTAGTGAGATCCTCAGGCCATATTCTTTTGTTCCTGGAGAATGGGTCTTCAGCTGGCTGTGCCTAAGTGTGAGGACTCACAGCAGCTGCAGGCGGCTGTGCATGATGTGATTCCTCCCCTTCACTCCTCCCCTGCAGAGGAACAGAAGGGGTCTGATGAAAATGCAAGGTCCTTAATAAGAGAACCTGGTCATGGGTTGTCCAAATCAGAAGGGCAATAAAAGAAGAGACCTAATCCCTTGGAAGCAAGTCCTGGCCTAAGCTGGTGACAGTATTTCAGTAAGGTTCAATCTGTGGTGTAGCTGGAAGAGAACCTCCATGTGAACTTTTCCAGCTCTTATCTAAGTTACAAGCTGGAAAGTAAGAACTCCAAGTGAAAACCTGTCTCTCTCAGGTTTGGGGGATAGAGGACAGGAGTAAGAGCTGGTTTCCAAAAAGCATTCTCCTGTCCCCCAAAAACTCACTCCTCTCTTTCTCACTGCTGCCTCCCTCATACCCCTCACCAATCATTCACATTGAGCTCTCCAGATACCCTAGAAAGGAACCTGGAGGTATTACTGGCAAATTCCTCCCCACCCCCAAGTTTCTGAAGAGGCATCAACTCAAAGATGGGAAGGGGTCCCCTTAAAAACTCTCAGAACAGTCAAGCAAATGAAAACTCTTAAAGCCATAAATTGGCCGGGTACGGTGGCTCATGCCTGTAATCCCAGCACTTTGGGAGACCGAGGTAGGTGGTCACGAGGTCAGGAGTTCGAGACCAGCCTGAACATGGTGCAACCCCTGTCTGTACTAAAAATACAAAAATTAGCCAGGCATGGTGGTGCATGCCTGTAATCCCAGCTAGCTGGGAGGATGAGGCAGGAAAATCACTTGAAACCAGAAGACAGAGGTGGCAGTGAGCTGAGATTACACCACTGCACTCCAGCCTGGGACAGAGCGAGACTCTGTCTAAAAAAAAAAAAAAAAAAAAAAGCAAAGCCATAAATCAATGAGAGAAGTCATTGGTACTGCTTCAGAGAAATGCCTTAACGCTAGCAAAGCTCAGAGGCATCTCAGCTCCAGCCTGGGGCCTCCACAGGGCTGCTAACATCCCAGTTAATGCTCCAACTGCTGTTTAACAATTAACATTAACGACTTGGGGTGGGATGGGGTGATTTGGTGGGATGAGAAGGGAAAAATCTGCGAAGTCAAAAGACATTTAACTTTTGAGGTTAAAAAAAAAAAAAAAAAAGCAGCTTCTCTATGAGAGGTCTTGGCCTGGGCAGCCTATCTGGGGAACCAGCAGCTGAGAGTTCTCCTTTGCCACTCTGCAATCCACTTTCCTGGAGCAAAGCTACAGGCCTTTTAAAAACCCAGCTGCCAGTCCCTCTTCACTCACTTCACTGGCCTCCAACTTGGCCTGGGCTGGGACTCATGCTGTGGTCCTGGTCACCAGAGCCAAAATAGGGGGAAAGTTGGCTTGGAAAAAGCAGGCAACCAAGGATACAGACCGTTAGTCAATATTTGCAAGGCTGTTGGCAGATTAGATATATCTGTACTCAAACACTGTAATCTGATTTCTCTGTCAAAAGTACACTTAACATTTTTGTCCCATTTCTTAAATCTAGTGGATTTTCTACTCAGCATCAGGTAAGGCTCTCTTAGCCCACTGTGTGTGTGTGTGTGTGTGTGTGTGTGTGTGTGTGTGTATGATAGATTCTTATTTAACATGAGATATTTCCTATGGGTGCAAGGGTAGTACAAATGGGCCAAGTTCTCTGGACACGTGTGGATGTGTATATTGTGTTTACATAAGGCCCCAAACTCCTGCAACTATTTGTACATGTAATTGTTCTGTTGTTTGCTGAGATGGAAATCATATACACAGAGTTACAAATTCCTGAAACGTTCCATCTATATTTGATATAAACAGACATACAGTAGCTGAGAAAGTAACCCAGGTTGACTATTGCTCTGTTTACCTTCTATTGGAAAAAATAATTGTATCCAGAACACCATATCAGCCTTAAAGCACCACTGAATATCATGTTGCAATTAATTAACAACCTGATATCTATTTGGGGGCAAATTTAAGGGAAGACTGAGGCCAGGGAATAGAATACAAAATCTCAAAACTTTTTAAAAAGAAGTAATTACGGAAAGAACAAAGCAAACCCATTCCTTCATACCATGCTTTTGAAAGCTATTCCAGCAGCCCCTCCCCCAAACAGGCACGTAATTTATGGATCTTTTACAAGGTAATAAACCACAGTAATTGCCTCCCTGCATCCCAAACTAAGACTACAAATTAAGTCAGAACTTGAAAATAACTTAAAAGAGTTTTCCCTTGTTTCGAATAGGAAAAGAAAATGTCAAGACAGAAAACCATGCTTTTCCCGTAGGAAGAACCCATGATGAGCCCCGATGAAAGAGGGGAGAAGACCCGCTGTCTGCTAAGTCCTAAAGGTTAGAAATACAGCAATCTTTCTCATGCCGAAGGAAAGTCAAAAGGACCTAAGAAACTGCAAGGCAGTGATACAAGTTTTCCTCAACAGCGGGGCTGGGGCTGTCGACAATTTCTTAACTCACAGCCTCCTCAGTCGCCTCAGTCGACAAGGAAAGCAGCCCACGCAGCGGCCGCCGCGCCCGTGCCCGTGGCCTTTACTTGCTTTTGCCCTGAAGTTCAGTGTGGTGGTTTGGAGCTTGCAGGAAGAAACAAGCACACCCCCTCTGACTCTCCACAACCCATCTTTGCCTTCTGCAACCGCTTCTCCTGCCCATCGCTAGCTTTGGGGTAGGCTCTTTGTCTGCCTGACGCCCCGCATTCGCAGGGCAAGAAGCTTAAAGGAATCCAATTCCAAACTCCTCTGAAGTTAAATATTGACCAGAACCTCTTTCAACAGGCCGCAGTTGCCAGGAACCGTGGAGGGCCAACTCCTCCCAGCCGCCCTGGTGCAAAGTCCCACGCGGCGAAGAGTTTTGGAGCAGCGCTTACCTAGAAAGATGTTTAAATCTGAACCAGAAATTGTCTCCAACTCCAGGCGCTCAGGGAATCGCCTTTTCCGGTGTCCAGGCGCTCTGCAGACAAATAAACAGCAGAAGGTGAATGGCGGCTGCGAGGGAAGGGAGTTGGAGGCCGGGAGTGGGAAGCGCGGCTCCTGTGGGCGCCAAGGTGGCCCTGGAGGTGACGCGAACACCAAGAAGTCGCCAGGGCACTCGTCCATGCGGCGCACTCATTGCTCGAAATGTTCCAGTCTACAAATGGCCCGAAGATGGTGATTTATTTTTGTAAAATAAATACATACTCCATCTCCACACCCATACTTTCTCCTTTTTCTTTCTTTTTTTTGGGGGAGGGGGGTGCGGGGGGTAGAATGGGGAAGACAAGAAAATGAAGTAGAGGAAGCTGAGAGGGTGGAAGTGGCTTTACTGGTGGTGTGGACTGCTCTCAGAGAGCTCTCTCCTCAGGCACCCCAACTTGGAGAATGTGAATGCTCGCTTGATTTTCCTTTCCTAACAAAAGGAAGCCTTGTCTGAGAGCATTCAATCACGGACTCTCCTGAAACCTCACTAATAGTGTTCATTTCTGTTGGCGCGAAATCAGACCCGAACTCAGTCCACTGGCCAGAGGCAGTCTTGGGAGGTTTTGTCTTCTGGTTTATTCAACTCTAGGTGCGTTCCTTCTAGGTCCTAGTGGGCTGGCGGGGCTACCGCAGCACCTAGTCCCTCAGAGCAGGCCAGCTAAGACTGCTGGAAACTGGAAGGGACGCCGGCTGGTACAATACCTGCTCAGGGGCCCTGCTCCTGCCTGGCCTTGCGCAGCGGCCACAGGCCGATTTGATGCCTTGATTCTGCTCAAATCTCGTCCCTCACAATGTTTGCAACCCTCTCTTGCCCTCTAACCAACAAATGGGTCACCGAGCCAGCAGTCAGCTTTCTGGGAGTGGGAGACGCTGGGAAAGGGGCAAAGAATCGTCCACTCGCCGGACCCTGGCTTGGAGAAGTTCTGCGCTCCGCTGGGACTCTGCGAGCCCTTTGCGTCTACAGACCTATCCCTGCCCCCACTACCCCTTCACTCAGACCCAGGTAACCTCTTACCCCAGCCTGCCCCAAACCAGCCCTCCGCTGTCTGTCTGCCTTCATGCAATTTTGTAGATAGCACTAAGAGGGGCTATCAAATAGCCGAGGAGTCTCCTGACCCCTGGCTTCGGAGCCCCCACCCCAGCACGTTGAACAAGTGGCCGCACACCAGCAGCTGCGCTCTGCCACCATTCGACCCGCAGCCCCCACAAAGCAAAGGAAAAGGACTTAAGATCCACGCTGCGCCCCCTTTCTCTTGTTCAAACTTGTTTTCTGTGTCCCCAAAGGGAGTGCCCACTGGTCTTGGGGATCCTGGCATGACCGTGAGCAAGGTGGACTCAGCCATCCCGCACTTTGCCTCTCAATTTCACCCGATAAAGATCCGCTATGCCTCCATCCAGCACTCCCCTGCGTGACACTTAGGAGTATGTAATTATTATGGTTATTATTATTTTTGCTGTTTCCTTATCCCCAAGTCTAATATTCATGGCTGCTGTCCCCCATAAATCGTTCAGACTAATGAGTCACAGAGAGATGCTGCCCAGGTCTCTCACTCTGCAATGGCCGCCACCGCCGCCGTGGCCTCGCTCTCCGCGTTTTTGGCGCTCGCTTGCTCCCTCGCTCGCCCGGCGCGGGTGATTTATGAACGCCGGGAAAATTGAACAAAGCCGCGCGCCCTTCCTGTGGTATCTCTGCAGCCTTCCCCAGCGTGAATCAGAACATTACCAACTGTCTGCGCATCCGTCCCACTTCATCACCAAAGCCAGGATGTGACCGCAGAAAACCCAAGCCCGAACTCACGATTCCCCGGACGCGGCGCGCTCCCCGGACTCGCAGAACCCTGCGGAAAAAGCCCCAAGACCTGGCGAGGGCCCGCCAGCTCCGTCCTTCCTGCCGAAGGGCTGTCTCCTGCCTTCCTGAAGGAGTTAAAAGCTTTTGGAGATAAATCTGAGGGTGTGTGTTTTTAAAAATCAAATGGTAAGTTGGAGTCTCACTTCTGAGAGATTCATTCCTAGTGAGGCCCTGACGACTCCGATCCATTCCTGACGATCTGCATTAATTATTTAATGAATCACGTGACCTCAAAGATTACAATTTCAATATCTCCCTCGAACAGACGCTACACCTTTATCAGCTGCAACCAGGGTCCTTGTTTGGCTCTGCAGGCCTCCGGGGCACATTCATCCTTGCCCTGGTCCGAGGCAAGCCACCACCATCGAAATAGCAGGGCAAGCCTGACAGAATTAGTCATCCTGGGATTATGACCGTTGTGGACAGTGGGGAGTCCTCTCCTCTCCTAGGCGCCCTGACATCTGTCCCCTCCTGAGCCCAGTGGCCAGTCCACCTGTCTGAGCTTCATGACTAGGGTGGCTTGGTTACAAAATCTCCCCAACAGCTTTGATGGCCCATGAGGCAAGAACCCATCCTTCTTCTCTGGATGTACACACCTGTGACCACCCAGGTCAAGTGTAAGCTTAGATGCATACCTCCATTCCTGGCAGAATACCTTCCTAAGAGGAAAGGATGTCTGTGCCCTTACTGCTCTCTAGAGTGAGACTAAAGGTTGCATTCCACCCCATACTCATTAACATAAGGAACGGTGGAGGGAGGATCATTCAGCTGCCTCAGTTTTCTCATCTGTAAATTAAGAAGACTGAAGCAAAATGGCCTCCAGATCTCCTTCACTTTGGACAGTCTTTCAATCTGGGAATCTCTTTCAATTCCAGGAATCAATCCCAGAGAAAGTGGGGCTGGCTTGAAAGGGAGGGGGTTTCCCCATGAGTTTGGAGTCTTCAGAAGAGGTGCCAGTTCTGTAAGTTGCAGACTAGAGGGTTTCAAGACAGCCACAGCAGCCTCCCTCATACCACCAAGGGAACAGAACACAAGTCTCTTCCTCCTATTGTTTCCAACCCATGTGTTTCTTTGAAACACAAAGCAGAATTATTCTTGGGACAGTGTATAATATAGAGAAGGGGCAACAGAGCAGCAGTTGAGAAAGGTGAGCCTGTGTTCTTCTATACAAGACTGTGTCTAGGGATGCAGAAACCAAGGGAGTGCCAAGGAAAGCCTACTGCCTGCACAGAACCCACTCATTCAGATGGGAAGCCCCAGGCCTTTTTGCTACATTGATTCTTTGGGTTTTTTTCTCTTTCATTCTAAAGAGTCATTGATCTGTTTCTATGCGGGAACTGCTAGACGGAAGGCAACAGTGAGGAGAGAAGCAGAGTTTGGAAGCTTAGGGGAACAGGGGGACAGAGGAAAGATAGGGATATCCACCCCACCCCACCCCACGGGGAGGAGGCTGAGATGTAGGGGAATGGGGCCCCCTGGGACAACTGGGTATGAAGTCGGAGATGCTATGCAAAGGGACTTCCCTCCTCCCCCATCCATCTAGGTAATCTTCCCATGAGCTCCATCCTGGGTATTAAGTACTCTACTATGCCTGTCACAGTTGAATTCCTGCTGTAATAAAACACCGGGTATATCGTAGATTTCAACAAAACTAGGGAAGGAAGCCTGCAAAGTGCCATTTTTCTTCAAGGGGGAGAGTGTTAAGTACTTAATTCAAACTGTGACCATTAAAGTGTCTCCTATCCGATTTAGGTTGATTTCAGATGTTGACAAAACTTTTATCTCCAGAGTTATGCCCAACTTGGCTCTGTGACTAAAGCAGATGAGTGTGTATTGGAGGGAGGGAGAAAGAGAGAAGAGGAGAGCACATGTAAGGCTTATTTTGGTAAAATTATAGAGTTTACACAAAATACTGTCTTTAAAGGTCAAGGGTTTGAGGGGCCAGTAGGGTTTGCTTAAAACAAAACAAAACAAAACAAAAAACAATTAATGAGATAGAAAATTTGTCCTCTCAGTGAACTCTTAAGGTTGCCCCAGCAAAGGGCAGACAATGCATGATTTTGAAGTGCAAAGTAGGATTTTCCAATCTCTTATAACAAGCTCCCTTAAAGGACAATTTGAAGCAGGCAAAACAACACTAAAGAAATGACAATCATTTGGATCATTTTCTATAATCTTGGTTTTGTAAAACTCACCAATACCTTAATAATCAATACAGTTGGGACAAAAAAGCCATCTTGTCCTGTAATATCAGAAAAAATGATCTCAATCCTCTATCTTCCCTTTCTGGGTAGACTTATAAGTGCAAGTGAAAGAAAGTCACCCCCCTTCATCCTCATATAACTGCCTCCAGCATGAAGCTAATGAATGTTCCCATACCCCTCTTTTCCCACAAAGGAGAAATGTAAGAATTTACCTTAAATGATGATAGTCTGCCATTTGAGATTTTGCAGCTTGACACTCAATTTCCACTGAGAGTCTAGGCATTTTTTTTTTTTAGCAGACAGCCAAGATGCTGTGTCCTTGCCTGAGACCACATTATTTGCAAGAAGATCCCTCTCTCTTCCACAGACTTTTCCCAGAGAATGCCTTTCAGAATTGCTGTTGAATTACAAAGAAGTATTTATTGTTTGAGGTGATTAATGATTCCTGGGAAAATTGCTATTTTCAGCGTGATTTAATTTTGTTTTACAAGTGTGTGTAGTAGGGGGAGGGTTAATAAGTTTCAGCAGCAGTTACATTGCCTCCAGAAATTCCTGGCACCCGTTCACACCTTATAAAATGCACTTTATGCCAGGTTTCTCCTGATTTGGGAAGGTATGTGTGTATTTGTTTGCTCCCAAATTTTCTTGGCTCCTCAGAGACTGGTATCTATCACTTTCCTCTCAAATCTGATTTGTGGGTATAGAACTGATCACCCTTGTTTGTATCATACACAGGGCAGCAGGGGTGAAAGGGGTAACAGCTCTGACAGTGGTTAAAGGGTTTTGCCACTAATGAAAAAAAAATGTGTTTAAAAACTCTCTGATGTTGCAGAGGCAGGTGAGTACCTACTCCCATCTATGCTAAAATTACTACATAACCTAAAAGCTGCACTTTATCAAGGCCAGGTGACAGTTCTAATATTCTGGGGCTAGTGCGCACTGGTTTTTGCTGTCTTATTGTAGGGAACTCCCTGCAGTAAGCACCAAATCTAAATCAGTAAACAAATACTAGGGTTATAGAGATTGAGAAGTGGGTTTTGATTTTCAGCCTTTTGGATCTAGATCTCTGGAATTGAGCAGAAAAATCACAAAGCATTTGAGGAAAGTGACCCTAATTCAGAGTTTGGCTATTTTCCAGCAGTAAACTCTCCCAGGTCTACTTTGCATGGGGTGAACTTTGGGGGTATATTATGCTTTTTCTTTCCTCAGGAGAAACTTTGGAGAGTGTCCTTGTAAAATTCAGTTTATTTGAAAGCTCCTTCTTCAAAAAAGAGAAACAACCAAGCAAACAAACAAAAATTCCTAGTCTGTAGTTAGTGAAGAGGACCTTAAGAACAGCCAAGAAACAAAAAGTAATCTCAACCCTTTGCACGAACTATTTTTTATCTCCAGGGAAACAGGCAGATTAAGTGTGAAGGTGCAATAAATACCAAAGAGACCACTTCTTTCCAAGTGTGCTCAGAGTTCAGTGTGTAGAACAGCTGCAGAAACTCCTGGGCCCACAGCACTGCACGGTTTCAACTTTCATTGCAGAGAAGGACACGTTTCTATGCCTTACAGAGACTTGAAGCCTGAAAGACTGGCCAAGTTTGGGAAGAAGAGGAGCCCTCTCAGAGCTCAAGAGCCTTCCTGCTCTTTGGAACTTTTCCACAGTAGGCCAAGCTTGACAAGAGTTCAGCTCAAGTTGAGCATACATACATACACTCTCACACACAAATTATGGGAGCTGTCAGAATCCAAGTGAATACAGCTCAAGCTATCTACAAGGTTTTTACATGAAAGGTCAAGTATCTCAATCCAGAGGACTTTTGTTTTCTTAATGAAAAGCTTAGAAAACACATGAATCTTAGATTTTTAATGTTTTTTAAATGGAGTTTATTCTTAGCACATGGCTTTCTATATAGCCACATCACAATTTGTACAGTTCCACATAAGTCTAAATGCACTCCCCTCTCCCCAAAGACTGTGTCCCAGAAGGGGACAACAGTATCTCTGTAACAGTATCTTAAATAAATGCAAGTAAGGAAAACTAACATGTCACACCTACCATCAAGGTCTACACATCTTAAGAATTAAATAATCTTGTGAGGTCCACAGTGTCTACTCATTTATTCAGTTCAATACAAGCTTGGATGAGCTGCCTTAATGGGGGAGGAGGAGGTAAGGAAGGTGGGGAAAGAGTCTGTTTTCTTCTGCTTTCAACAAAGATGCAAGTATACATCCCCAGTCAGCATGGGCTGTCCAGCTAGCTGACTGTAGCCATCTCAAAAGTATTTGATACCAAGCAGTCCTTCTCAGGTATCCACACCTGGCAGCCTTGTTTCAGGCCAGCAGGTTGTTCCACCAACCAGCATCCTGGACAACTGTCCTCTCTTGGGTGGCAACCAGCACACACTCTTACCCGGATAATGTCTTCTTTTTGGTTATCCTTTTCACCAATTTGGGTTTGTTTTGGTGTGTATTATGGTCCGGATGGGGAGGGGTGGATGAGGAAAGGAGCAAGAGAAGAGAAGAGAAAAGCAAGTAAGGGATAGAAACTGGTCAAGGTCTCTAGAAGATTATATGGAGGAGGGAACCTGTGTGGAGGTACTCGGGTGGGGGTGGGGATGGAGGTGAGGGCTCTCAGTTTGTGCTTTCCCTGGTGGGCCGGCAGAGGCCGAGGCTGAATTGGAGGATCGCATCTTGGTGTTGGGCAGTTTGTGGTCTTTCTTCCACTTCATCCTCCGGTTCTGAAACCAGATCTTGACCTGGCGCTCGGACAAGCAGAGCGTGTGGGCGATCTCGATGCGGCGCCGCCGGGTCAGGTAGCGATTGAAGTGGAACTCCTTCTCCAGCTCCAAAACCTGCTGCCGGGTGTAGGCGGTTCGAGAGCGCTTAGGCTCCCCTCCGTTATAACTGGGGTTGACTGAAAACCCAGAACCCCGAAAGAGAAGGCCAAGGAAGAGGGAGCGGAAGAGAGAGAAAGGAGGAGGAGAGAGAAGGTGGGGTGGGGAAGAGCAATTGGACATCATCATTATATAATAACCTGACACCAAGTTCACGCAAGATACATAAAACGGCAAAGAAAATGTTTCACAGGCTATTGACAACGGGAAACACCCGAGAGCCATAAAGAATGGTGCTGGGCATTGGGGCTGAAGAAAAGCTTCAAAGACACATGGCCTGAAGCCTCTGCCAGGGCAATTAAATTTATGGGGGCTATAATTACTGCCCTAACAGTTTGGCGTCTCGTAAATCTCCTGATAAAGGGACCCTGGGTACAAAAGGGTTCTCACGTTGGGATCAGGCGGCTAGCTGGCGCACACATACCCACATCTCACCGCAGCCCGGGCCAGATGGGGGCTCCCCTCCCGAGGACCCCTTCCCCTGAGCTTCTCCCTCCTGACCCCGACCCTCGAACCCAGGCCCAGCCCCGGCCCACCTCCCGCGCCTCCCCAGCGGCGCCACGTACCGGCGCTGACATGGATCTTCTTCATCCAGGGGTACACTACGGGCTCCTTGCCCTTCAGGCCCAGCGGGCTCTTGTCGGCCAAGAGCAGCGGGCACGCGGGGGCGCTGCCCCCTGCCGGGACGCCAGGGGTGGCGGGGGCCGCCTCGCAGCGCCGCGGGGCCGCTGGGGGCACAGCGCGAGGCTGCAGGGGCGGCGGCGGCTGGGGCTGCAGGACGTGGCTCGCATGCAGGCCGTGCGCCGGGCCCTTGGCGTGCGCCAGGGGCTGCTCAGGCTGGGGCGGCCGCCCGGGGCTCGCGCCGCCACGGTAGCCATAGGGGTAGGCGGTGTCCGCGGCCCCTTGCGAGGGGTACAGCGCGGCGGCAGGGTAGACGGGCTCGCGGGCGGTCCGCGGCGCGTAGTAGGAGGCAGGGGGCTCTCGGCCGCCGCCCGCGTGAGGGAGCTGGGGCTGCTGCGGCGGCAGGTGCTGGGTCGGGGGCGCCAGGGGCTGCTGGTAGCCGGGGCCCCCGCCCGGGCCGCCGTCTTCGCCGCCCGGGCCGCTGTGCTGCGCGTACTCCTCAAAGGGAGGGAACTTGGGCTCGATGTAGTTGGAGTTTATCAAAAACGAGCTCATGGTCATTAATTTGTGAAGTGCAAAAATACTAATTTTTCTCGCGTTGTCGTTTTTTCTGGGCTCGCCGAGGCCCCTCCCCCTCCTGCCTCGCTTCCCATCCCCCTTTCCTCTGCGCCCTTCCCCTCCCCCCGCTGTCAAGTGCCCACCCTTCCCCCTCCCGCAGACGCCGCCACCAAAGTTCGAGCCGCTCCTCCCCAGCCCAGCGCGCGCCCCGCCCCGTGCCCCACGTGCAGCGCCCCCACCAATGGGCGCACCGCGCGCGCGGACCCGGATCAGGAAACGCGCGGGTGCGTGATGGATGCTGCTGTCCTGTCCCTGGGCTGGGGGAGGGAGCAGGAGCTTTGGACCCCAGCCCCCCAACTTTGGTTCCCCCTGGGAATTCGGGCCCTGTCAGGCTGTAGGTCCTCTTGGGAGCCCTCTGCTTGCCCTACTGCTGGCTTAGGCCTCGGGCAGTCTGGCAGCCGCGACTCAGCGCTGACCTCGGGCGCAACCCCGTCAGGCTTCGCGTCCTTCAGGGGTTCTAGGCTAACGGGGGAAAGGAGGGCGTTGGGACCAAGGGGCATCCTGGCTTTTATGTACGCCCCTGAGAGGCCACCAGACACATTCTCCCAACCGCAGATCCCCCTTCCCCACACCCTGCTCCTTGCGTGTCGGCGTGAGAGCCCTTGTTTTGAGAAGCTTGGCAGAAGCTGCAAAGGGTGGGTGGGCAGCTAAGAGAAATCGACCCAAGGATGTAAAGCGAGGCCTTTCCATTATAACTGGATGGACGCTTTTCCTTTTTTCCTTCTTTCAGAGACAATCTGTTTCGCGTTTTCCTAAGAAAAATTGGAACCTTCGTAATAGCATCTAATTTGATGGGGTTGTCGATGTGAGAGCTAAATATGCCCGCGATTGCAAGGTGCGATTGTGAGAGAGAAGGTGGCCCAAGGATGGGAATGGATAGAAGCAATACCTCCACAGAACCGAGCTTTGAAAACAATAACTTCCTATTTCAGAACAATCCCCAAACAAAAACAAGCTAAGGGTAGAATAAACGCCTTGCCGGTCTGATTGCTGATGGGTCTTTTCCAGCTAAGAATCTCAAGTTTTCTCTTTTAGATCCTGCTTTCTCAGGCAGTATCTGAGACTAGAGTTATATTTACAGGACAGTCTATAATTTCTTAATTGCTGAAAATTAGCGTATTAACGATATCAGAAGCTCCGGAAAGGAGGGAGAGGAGACTGTTGCCTGCCATTTGGTAATTGAAATTTGATGGGTACACTAATTACGCCATTATTAACAAATAAATTACTTATTCCACCTAATGTTGATCTTTGAAGTAAATACTTATGCCTTATTTGTACTGTGTACTTTCTCCCTTTCTTTTCTAAGAGACATATCTAGATCCTCTATTTTTCTGCCTAGATTAAAGCAGTGCAAACTAGCATAGTCACCATTCTAAAAATATTTTCATATTGGCAAGCAAAAACAAGCATTTTTCAGCTGGTGCACCTTAGTTGATTTTTCAAAGAGCAGTATAAACAACCTTCTCACAACTGAGTCTGGAACGCAGACAAGGAAAATTATTTCCTAAGCCTGGAGACACTTCAAAAGGAATGTCAATTCTATCTTCATTCATATTGGTTACTCATAGGAGTTACTAAATGCTGGAATATATCCATTTGATGGATAGTCATTTAATGCTTAGCCACATAAAGCCTATTATATGGGACTAATCTTTAAACTAATTTAGGAAAAGAGGTTAAAAAGGGGATCATATTAGCTTTCTAACTGGAATCACCCTGAAGTGGTACAAAGAGATTTTCCATATTAGGTGTATGTGTGTGTGAAGAGTGCTGTCCATTCACATGAGGCACCCTGAAAATTTGTTTTTAATGAAATCTGAGCCACAGACAGAAATCAACACTGAGTGTAATATTTAGCCATCCTCTCTAGACTGGAGGAAAAATTCAGCCTGTGATACATCTACCTGAACCAATATCTCTCCCTAGCAAGAAAAAATAATATATACATAGGTTGTATACAATGTAATATAAATAATATATAGTTATATGTATTACAAATCTGAACCCTATAAGTTTCAGGGGGACAAAAAGCATGACAAGGAAATCTTCCCTCCTCATTTCATCAACCTTGAGTACCAGGGTCTTAACCATATCTGTTTAATATTTACAGACACTAAAACACAAAAATTCTGTTGTTTAGCCTCAGAACCTTGTACCAAGTTTCTATTTTTAAGTATTAATGAGACATAAGCACTGTTTTGTATATGGTTAACCCAAACGAGTTAGCTGTGCCTGTGTTTTGTGTGGTTCTATTACTTTAGGAAGATGGCCTTACACAGAATCCCTCAAGGCCTGTAACTTGTCTTTGTGGTTCGTATCATAAACACAAACGGAGCCAGGACCACCAAGTGTTATCTCACACACCGACATTTTGACATTTTACTGCAAGATTTATGGCTGTAATAAACAATCTCAGTACCTTTTCTGAACCTTCCTCAATCTCCCTTTGCAAACTGTAGCATCATTCCATTGAATCAAATAATCTTTTGAAAAACATTTTTTAAAATACCTCTTGCCTTTACACAATATCCAAGACACCAAAGTAAAGCCAGGAAGAAACTAACTCAATTAATAAACAAACTGAAGTTTACCAGCAGCATCTCGCCTGAGAAAAGATGGGATGCCCTGAAATGTAGCAGAGAGGGAGCATGCAAATCCTCGCACACCAACTGGCTCCAGTCCCAAGCGGGGTGGAAGCGTTATCCTTTCCTTAGGAAACTGGTGAGCACATTTGCTCATTTCCACGTGCAGGGGTAACATATTGCCAACAAAACCTTTCTTAAAATCCCATTAGGTAAAATAACTTTTCGTCATGTCCTCGAATCCCAGATGGAGAAGAGTGAAGGGAGTTGGAGGGAGAGGGAGGGGGAGAGGGAGGCAATGTTTTGCAGCTTGGTTTGAATCTGATTTGAATCATTTTGAATATATTTGTAACAGCCTTCCCTCTTGAATGCAATCCTGTCCCAAGTTTCAAAGTGACCGAACAGTGACACCGTGTGCATTTTGTTTCTTATTAATCTTACACATTGACAGTCTTTGTTAAATCACAAGGCGCGCCCTTCACCAGCCGACATTTTCATATTTGTTAGACGCACTGACCTGAAGTTCACCTCGGCCTTGGACTTTGCGCTTGTAAAAGGTCTATACAGTGTCTTTTAGCGAGCAGGGTGCTTTGCCCAGGTCACTCCTTCTCAGGAAAAACCAAGGGGAAAAGCCAAAGGAAATGTAAATGTTATGGAATGTATTGACTGTATTTGTCCTTTGTTCTTTAGAGCGAGAGTCCACCAGACTGTTCTCTATCTGATGCGTGTTTCTGGAGCTGAACAGTGGAGTGGCAGAATTTCAAAATGCCTGATGGTAGCATTTGAAGGCTTACCCTCCAACACCTACACTAGACACAAGATTTGAGAGGAACAACACTTTACCAGCCATTTGACCAATTAATAGTTTGGGGGTAATTTTCTTGTAGTAGTTTAAAATAATGCACACAACCCAGGGATGAGGACTGATATTCATATTGGGATTACACATGAATTTTAACTTGGATTGTATGAGAGGCCTGAGGTTCAAAATCCTCCAAATAAAGAAGCAAGCACTCTAAAAGCAATAACTTCTGCGAGTACCCTTTTCTTTTACTTTGAAGACTAACTAAGAGATATCTATGGTTTTTGAAGTTGACATGTTTCTAAGGTGTGTCACATGTTTTTAACAAAAAACACAATAAAAAGGTTTTTCCCAAAGAGACACATAATTGTCTTGTTGACTCATCGAGGGGTTTCAGTTTTCTTCATTTCACTAGCCCAAATGTGGTGAAATGTTCACTGCTGCAACAGCAATCACCACAGTTGTTTCCTTTCTTCTGTTTCATCTGGCAAACCCCCATTTGGCTTCAAGCTCTTGGCCAGAGTGAAAACTTTACACGTTGCACAGAAGCACCCTGATTACTTCCATGAAGGCAGTGTTTGGGAAATATTTATTTTAAAACTGAACATACCTGGCACTGTTAAATCCAATCAACCAAGATATATTGGGATGATCTTAAACATTCCCGCAAGAGTCTACATTCTGAGTAGTTGAATTATCTCCAAAGTTAAAAAAGAAAAACCTAGGGAAAATATTTCACCTTTCTCTTCTCTGTTTTCCTATACTGATCCCTTGAAGGTCAATTCATAGAAAAGAGAAATATGTCCTCTGGAAAATAGATTATTATAGCACCAACACTTAAAGCCATTCTAGATGCATGAAAAATAAAATACTGTGTAGCTCTTCAGTTGCAACTCACACATGAGGCATGGTTCCAGTCGGCTTCCTTAATACACTATTCCCTTTCTTTTCTGCTCTCCTACCCTTCTGCTTAGGTTTCTTTCTCTTCTCCTTGACTTTTTCTTCAATTCCACGTGTGTTATTAAAAAGTACATTCTGAAGAATAGAAAATATTCTATTCTGTCCTGGTTGTCTTACACAGTGGCCTGGTATTTGTGGATTTCACCTTTCTGCATTCCCTACAGTCTAGTTATTCACTTATAGCTTGTAGTACTTCTCTTACATTCAATTGTGGTTTAATAATAAACAACAAAAATTTCCAAACAGGAACATTTTCATGGCACCAATAAGCATTTTGTCACTGGTAGTGCTGGTGGAAGGGGTGAAGGGAGAATTCTGTGTCTTTCAGGAGGGTGTCCACTTCCTTCCTTCCCCTTCTCAGATCTCAGAACGCTTTGCATTCAGCGGACTGTAGTTTCACAAAAAGCATATTCTATGTTTGAAAACTGCAAAGATTACATTTTGCAAGAAGTGCCTGTGTTTGCATTTGTTCTTACACACTTTAGGGGTCATGATATGTACTAAAAAGACAAAAAACTGGCCAATCAAAATCCCTCTTTTCAAATAAAGGAGGTTTCCTGCACCATTCTGTTGCCTTTGAAGGCATAATGAAATATTGGAAACTTGCGACATTAGTTTTTAAAGCTCCATAGATGAGTTTTTAGCATTTTTATTTTGTGACAAACCCACAGACTCCTGGTTCGCCAACACCTAAGGTGTTGGTGTTTCAGTAATCTATGCCTATTTACCTGCTGCTATTCCCTCAGAACAGGAGCGATAATTCAAGATGAAATACAGCGTGTATTACTCTTGAAAAGAGGAATTTTCTATCCTTTCCTCCGTAATTGAGGTCATTCAACCACTAGGGTTCACCTGGAGTCCATACCGTGATACACGCGTCACTCCGAGCCATTTTATCTTTTGTGCTGATAGTCAAGATCACAGCTCTAACATTGACATCAAACTCTGTCTGGGCAGATGACTAAGAGCACTGCACAATGTAAACTTTTGACCCTCAACTTTTTGACCTGCAGTTGTAACGCACTAACCACAAAGATACACAAAGCTGAGCCTCTTCTTTCAGGGAAAAGGGGCCCCCCTAGCATCTCAGGACACCCTGCTTCTGCCACTGCCATTTGAAATTGGAGGGTGAAATGGATATTTTTTCTCAGTGTTTGTGACTGGACTTTTTGTTAAATCAGCCTACGACCCCTTTGTCAGCAACTAGGTACTAGATTAACTTGAAATCACTCGTGATTCTATTTTACGAGGAAAATTTGGAGCAGAATAGGAGAACCTTGCAAAAAGTGAAAGAAAAGAGGAGATGGGGGAAAGCAAGCCATGGGAGGTGGAGACACTTTTTCCCTTTATTTAAAACTAAAGACGCAGCCCTAATTGTTAGGAGAGCTGGCCCAGGCGGGTGAGTTGACTGTGAACTTGTACTAAAGCGTGCTCTGCTGGCGATTCCTAGGGTGTGCAGATTTATCTTCTCTGCATTTACTTAACCCGGCAGTGAACTGCGCGGGCGTCATTTGTTAGGCGATGACAGACTTCACCTCCAGCAAGGGCTGCTTCACAAAATCGCAATAATTATCTAATAACCTTCATAACAAATATTATTATTGAAAAGACTGGCTTGTGGGGAGGGGATCTGGTGGGAGAAGAACAAATTTATTGTGAACAACACCAAACAAAACAAACCTGGGCAGACCTTCAAGTTCTGGGGCTTAGAATGGCTGGGGCTGTGGATCCCCTCCCCTATGTGGGTGGGAGCTTAGGCTGACCCCCTCAGCCCTGCCTGGGAGCCCCGTTTATAGTTTTGCCATTGACTAGAAGGAAATTCCTCCTTAGAAACCAAAGGGATGGAGCCCACAATGCTCTGCACTCTCCATGGTGGGCAAGCCATGGACAGACCCCCAGCCAAGTCAGGGGAGAGGCTGAGAAGGGCATCTTTTAAGCTAAAAAGATTGTTTTCCTCCTTAATTGCCCATCTTTTAAGATGTGATTTGCTTTCCACTCACTAATTATTTCAATATAGTCCTCTCAGAATCTCAGCAAATGAACAGGACTCTATTTTTGGTAGGAAATTCTGTCTTGCTCTCCCAGAGTCGCCAACAATGAAGCAGGAGAAAGAGCAGGAGAAAAGGAATCTTGGCATAATGTTGTGAAATTAGACCATGGAAACCCTAACAAACCCCTAAGTAAGTGTGACCAGAAGCTTCCTGTTGTATTTATAGTTCAGAAATATTGTCTCTTCAGCTTGTGGGAACAAACGAGCCCCTGCACATTGCCGCTGAGGAGGAGCACACACACGCACTTCTGCCACCGGCTGAGGCTGGATGTCTTCATAAAGCCCTCAGTGACAGACATATTTTTTCTTAGAAAGTTCCTCTGCAAGAACAACCCAAAAGAATCCACAAAGGAAATAACTTATCTACAGAATGAGCAGAAAACCAGCCATCCTCTTTATTATGCTTTCTATGAAAATAGGAAGAAAAAAAATTCTCCAATAACATATAGGTCTGACTGCATGATGTATTTTTAAAGTCATTTAATTCCATGTGGCCATGTGGGTTCGCCTGCTCTCTTAAATTCTACCTAAGTTTTGTGAAGATTAAAACAGACAGAAATAAGCAAGCTGACAATATTTACAGCCTGTAATTTTTCTCATTCCTTGGAAAGATTCTCTATGTTCTGTGGTGCTGGATATGACTTCAACAGGCTTTCTGCTCATTCCCACACCCCAAGGTGGAATATGGCCATGAAGTAGTGTGGATATTTTCTGTGTAAGTTACTCAAACTAAACTGGCAGAATCCCTGTCACTTTTTTTTTTTTTTCTAATTTCAATCAACAAGAAATCACTCAAGCAAGATCACCAAATGAGCAACTAAAATGGAACCCTAACCCAATATTTTCAATAAGGAGCCCACAATTCAGAGCAGCAAAACAAGGAATCCAGTATTCTAACAGACACATAACATTATAAAAGAGAACCCATACCCATGTAGAGTTTATATCCTTGTTCCCACTAAGATGTGGACACATCTTCTCGATTGCTGAAGTACCAATGTTTACTTTAATAGGTTACATACAATTACTTCAGAATTCTTCACCTTGCCACTATTCATGAGAAGTAGCACTTGTGGGAGGGTTTCTATTTTTCAAAAAAAAACTTTCCAGGGTTTGCTTTCTGGACCTCTGACTTTGGGGACATCTGTTGGACTTATGTTGAGTGTAGGTGGCCTCTGCACAATAAAGTTTATTGAAAATCCAAATCTATACTTTCAATTTTTTCACTTTAAGCACTTAATAGGTATCTTTACCAATTAATACTTGCTGAAAACTGCCCAGCTCCTAAGGAGAAAAGCAGATCCTATTTTTTGTTTCATTTCTGAATGCAGTAGGAGAAATTGGCTTAATTCCTAAAATAGGATTGAGGGAAATCTACTGGGTCCCTTGTGGGTACCCATCCAGAAAAAGATCCCGGGACAGGCCACAGTCCCCAGTCACTGGGCTTGGGTTTTGCCATTGAAGAATATGGGGGGTTGGGGCCAAAAGGGGTGACTGGGGCCAATATGGAATTGTACCCAGGATAAACTTATTTCATCTTACTTCACCCATTGGTGCAATCTTGGAGATTGTTCTGGAAATCATAGATTATGTAAATTTCCTGGGATCAAACAGAAAGAGCAGCTAACAAAAGAAAGGCGGAAATCTCCTACTGACAAAGGACCAATTTCTTCCCTAAACTACCGTTTATGATGTGTCAGGAAAAACAACCTAATGGCTCTGGGGACTTTTAAGTTGGGCATTGAAGACACCTCAATTTCCCCCAAAAACTTTAGAGCACAGTTTGGAACACAGAATTCGCCTGCATGTTGAGGGGGAGTGAATTTCTCCAATCTTAGTGTTATCTAGGGGGCCGCCTAAGGTGCCTTCTGAGGGTCCTGTGCCTAGATGTTTTTAATTCTACAAAGAAGGAGAGGAAAAGGAAAGAAGAGAGGGAGAAGAAAGGCAAAGCGGAAGAAAAGAAAGCGCTTTAACCCCTTTCAATTAGCCTGGGGATTCAAAGACTAAAGTTAAATCCGGCCATAAAGTTTATTGCTTCAGACTCACAGGCGGGTGAGAACAGTCCCACCGAAATAAAAAGAACGTGGAGGCTAACAGGGTTCAGGGCCTGGTCCCGGGTGCGGGGGAGGGGGTGCTGAACACCCCCACACACGAGGGTGAGGACCCTTGGTCCTCAGGGTCCAGTGGGCGCTAGCAGCCCAGGATCCACCTTGCAACCCGGGAGCCCAGGCTGGAGGTGCAGCCCCCGCCTCGCCGGCCTCTGCCACCCTCCCGCTCTAGCGAGCTAGCCTGAAACCCAGCCCCGAAGGCCGCTGCCTCAATTCAGCCCTGCCAGATGACCCCGGCCCGCGAAGACATATTGCCACAGCCCCGTAAGGAATCCCGCCAGAGTCCGCCTCGGCCCTGCCCGGGCCTTTCTTTCAAACTCCTGAGCGCAGCGCGGCCTTGGCGCCCGCAGCCGGCGCCCCCCTGTCTCCCAGCCCCCACCCCAGGGCTCCGCGACCCCCAGGAGCCGGCCCCGGCCGGCCCAGCAATTGCGCGGGGGACTGGGGATGCGGCCTTGCCAGGTTCCCACACACAGGCCCATTCGCACACAAAAAATCATCTTTTTGCACGCCGGCGGGAGCAGCGGAAGTCATTAACATCCGCGGTTGTGCAGCAATTAAAGTTAGGCCTGGGGATGCGGCGCGGCCACAGGCGCTGCTCACCCTGCTGCCTCCGCAGAGCTGGTTCCTGGCGCTGCTCTTTTGGGCAGAGGGAAAGTTTGCTCTGCCTTTTCGAATTCAGAGGCAGCCTCACAGTTATTGAACCAGAGAGAGAGAGAGACAGAGAGAGAGAGAAAGTTTCCAAAGTACAAATAAACTTGAAAGCGCTCAGGAGGCGAGCTTACCTTAACTCGGAGGGAGCCATTTTTCAGAGTTTTGAGAACTTGTGGTTTGGACACTTCTGGACCTAAAATTGACAGTTTGAATGGCCAGGCGGCACACGTAGCCTGCAAAAGAGTCAAATGGAGTCCAGCGTTAGTGAGATTATATGTTATGTGGTATATAATGTTGGATGTCAACTCCCCAAAACCATAAAACTTACTTTAATGGCCCCACGTGACGTTTTATAGCCAGTAAGCCGATCTGTCTGTGCTATGGATGATTTTACGATCTAATTCATAGACAAAACCCTATTCATTTGGCACCCAAATGTCATATAGCCGGAACTGGGGCTTATAAAGTTTACTGTTTTATAACTTTTAAAAGGAAAGACGGCATCAGTGTAAGCAGTCGGTAAATGTGCAAATCTCTAGTTGCGCTTTAGCTGCTCTGAGGAGTTTCCCATTCGAGCTAGGATGGGGTAAGTACCTTCCATTTGTAGCAAATTAATAGTAGCAAAAGAAGCCAACGGGGTCCAGGATGAAGAGTGGGGAAGGGGTGCTGGGATGGGTTAAGGGCAGAGGGTTTGGGGTCCACAGCCAGACAGAGCAGCATCTTCAGCAAGTGGAGGCCTAGGACAGCCTTAGGAAAGAGGCAGGATCTGTGTGGCCTGAGGGTGGCTAACAAAGCCCTGGGCTTTTTCTCCTTTTTTCTTGCTCTTTCTCTCTTTTTTTTTTGTACCCAACAAGTTAACTTGGTTTCCTCAGAGATGGGCATGGTGGCCTGGAGCTTTGGAACCGCCTACAGCTTTTTCCACCTTCTGCCCTGAACTTTGTGATGGGTCAGAGTTAGGGAAGCTATGGGCCAGTCTTGGCATGAGGTCTCCCTGCACAGGTCATCTGCTCAGGTAGCCTCAAACCCAACGGTTTCCAGGACTGGACAGACAGACAGAAAAGCAGACAGAGCCACTCACTATTTGGCACAAACCAGACCAAACGAACTTACAATAGAAAGTTTATTTTTTGTTCCAGTCAGTATTTTTTCCTTAAAAACAAATTAAAAAAAAAAAAAAAAAGCTGATCACAGTTTGCTTAAAACAGACAGACTTGGACAATATTTGTAACTTTGTTCACAAAAACATACATCACTGAAGCTGCACTTATAAGAGCCACTTCCAGAGTTCGTGCAAAGGGTCCTACAAAGGCACGCAGGGACACATCGCTTGGAGTCACAGTTTTCATCACAGAGTCACTATTCACTACACGTCGAACAAGTTGTGTCTCATCAAGTCACCTCTACAACAGCATTAATTACACAAGGAATATAGGTAGTTTGAATAAAAATATCTTTAACAGCTTGGAGCTATTGAGACAGGAACACTTCCACGCACATGCACAGTTAAACAACTTGAGTGCAACACACAACATTGGCACTAAACGAGATTGAAGGGGGACTTTTTGTGTGTTTTTTTCTCTTTTTTTGTTATAGTTACTTCAAGTAACACAGCTTGCTTCATATAAATAAGTTAAAACATCTATTTTTTTTTTTCTTCAAGACAAAGCCATTCAGGACAAAGAGATGAACAGAAAGCAGATCTACTTATACAGGCGCTATAATGGCAATAAACAGGCTCATGATTAAAAGATGAATTAGGGCAAAGAGAACAGGGCTTCTTCACAGAAGGAACACAAGGGAGTTTCAGAAAGTCACCTTAGTACTGACACTACGCGGGATCCGCTAATACTGCTCAGTACTTTAAACGCTCAGATACTCAGGGACGGAAGGCCCCTCCTGCCGCGGCCATGCTCATGCTTTTCAGCTTATTATCTTTTTTCCACTTCATTCTCCGGTTTTGGAACCAGATTTTAATTTGTCTCTCGGAGAGGCAAAGAGCATGTGCTATTTCAATCCTTCTTCGGCGTGTCAGGTAACGGTTGAAGTGGAACTCCTTCTCCAGCTCCAGGGTCTGGTAGCGCGTGTAGGCCGTCCGGGCCCTTTTGCCTTCCGGGCCGCCTATGTTGTCTGCAATAGAAAAGTCAGCGGTTTAGCCACCAACTCCTGTCTTCCAAAGTCCTCCAGGGGGACAAGCTTGGGTCCTGAGCAGGGAACCCAGGCGAAAAGCTCAACAAGTTCTCCCTACCAGCCCGCACACCCCTCCCGAATTTCCTTCCCTCTTCCTTTCTAGAGAGAAAACAATACGATTTGGATCCTGGGAACAATCTGCCCATCTGAGGCTGGGGCCGTGTCCCGGAGGACTCCGGCGTTCCCTGGCCCCTCTCCTGCCCTCTGCGCCCTGCCCCGGGCGCCCCGATCGGGAGGCACAGCCCTCCCAGGCTGCCCACCGCACAGAAACCCAGGAAGCAAGGCCCTTTCCTGAGCGCCCAAGTGGCCTTCGGGTCACCCTCCCTCAAAGTTCCAGCCCTGAGAGCCGCCTCCAGTTTCCAGCCTGCAGGGTTGGGGCGCCTGCTTTCTTTTTCTTCCCTTCCCTTTCCTTCTTTCTCCCTCCTGCCCCCAAAATTCAGAATCCTGCCGGCTCTCGCCTCGATTCTTCCCCCCAAGCCCCTTTTCGGGGGCTCTAATTAGTAACGCTGCTTCCCCAGCGTAGCCCTCCTCATAAATTATCCGCCCTGACAAGCCCGATTCACGGCTCCTACTGCCATCCTCTACCTCTCTGCGTCTTGCTCAGCTGGCCTAACCCGGGAGCGCGTTCCAAGGCGTGGGGTTCCAGAGGGGTTTTTTGCTTCCAGCCCCTTTCAACGTCTAAACTGGCCAAGCGAACGCCTATTTCCCCCACTATTTGTGAGCGCGGGGTGCTTGCAAAGAAGAGGAGGAAGGAGGAAGGCAGAGGAGGGAGAACGGCAAGGAGAGGCTCCGCAGGGCTGGGAGAAATGAGACCAGGAGAGAGACTGGGAGAGGGCGGCAGAGGAGAAAGGGGGGACCGAGAGCCGCGTCCCCGCGGTCGCGTGGATTTAGAAAAAGGCTGGCTTTACCATGACTTATGTGCAGCTTGCGCATCCAGGGGTAGATCTGGGGTTGGGCGGGCGGCGCCGGGCTCGGCTCGCTCTGCGCACTCGCCTGCTCGCTGCTGGCAGGGGCGTCCTCCTCGGCTCCGGACGCCGTGCCAACCCCCTCTCTGCTGCTGATGTGGGTGCTGCCGGCGTTGGCCGAGGCGCCGCTGGAGTTGCTCAGGGAGTTTTTCCCGCCGTGGTGGCTGTCGCTGCCGGGCGAGGGGGCCACGGCGGAGCAGGGCAGCGGGTCGGGCGGAGGCGAGTGCGTGGACGTGGCCGGCTGGCTGTACCTGGGCTCGGCGGGCGCCGCGCTGGCGCTGGCCGCGTAGCTGCGGGCGCGCTCTCCGGAGCCAAAGTGGCCGGAGCCCGAGCGGCCGACGCTGAGATCCATGCCATTGTAGCCGTAGCCGTACCTGCCGGAGTGCATGCTCGCCGAGTCCCTGAATTGCTCGCTCACGGAACTATGATCTCCATAATTATGCAACTGGTAGTCCGGGCCATTTGGATAGCGACCGCAAAATGAGTTTACAAAATAAGAGCTCATTTGTTTTTTGATATGTGTGCTTGATTTGTGGCTCGCGGTCGTTTGTGCGTCTATAGCACCTTTGCACAATTTATGATGAATTATGGAAATGACTGGGACATGTACTTGGTTCCCTCCTACGTAGGCACCCAAATATGGGGTACGACTTCGAATCACGTGCTTTTGTTGTCCAGTCGTAAATCCTGCCTGATGACCTCTAGAGGTAAACTCGTGCACTAATGGGGGAGTTGGGTGGAGGCGAGAGGGGTGGCGCGCGCGCCTCGGGCGCGTGCCCGCCGCCAGTTGCCGCCGTTCAGTCGGACTCGAGCGCCACCCGCTGGAGGCAGGGTGCATCGCCCAGTCTCCGACCGGGGGCTGCAAGGGCCGGGGTCGAATTGAGGTTACAGCCCATTATGGCAAAATTATTGCATTTCCCTCGCAGTTCCATTAGGATGTACCAATTGTTAGGCCGTCAGCTGCCGATCGCGCGCCCGGCGAGGATGCAGAGGATTGGGGGAAGGTGGTGACTTGCATTTTATTTACAACAACTTTATTTCCCCCGTTTTGCAGCCCCTCTTATTTTTGTGTCGAGGTTGGGGTCGGTTCTGCCCGTCCTGCCAGCAGCTCTGAATTTTGAAAATACAGATATCACCTTCGGGGAAGGGGGAAAGCCATTTAGCCAACTGGATAAATAAATCCTGCCCGCAGCAGTAGCAGCTACAGTTACGGCTCTGTTTTTGCGAGCGCATGAGGGACAGTGTCCCTGCCGCTCTTAAATGACAGGCGTCTATTAAAGATAGCTTTTGTGTAGTGTTTCTGCAAGGCGAGGTCAAATTCCATACACTTTTATAACCGTAGTCGATTTTTCTCTCGTGTGAATATGGTTTTCGTGTCATTAGTTTGCTATTTGATTTGCTTATGTATCCAGCCTGGAAAATCTTCACCACAGGGTCCGATTCCTCGAGCCAGCCGGACCCCAAGTTGGAGGGTTCTCCTTGAACCCAGCGAGTGAGCCCAGGCTCCCTGCAGCCACAGAGGCTGCTTGGGGTCTGGGGATCCGTGGGGCCGGTTACTGGGGTCTTGCTTAGACCTCCAGGAGTAAAATGAGGGCGATAATGGAAGCATTTCGTGGCAGTGCGTAGTATCTCTGTAGTTATTTTCCACGGCTCCGAAAGACTCAAGTAAATCACAAATATAGCTGAGAGGCAAGTGGAGTCTCCCCGCTGGAGGCCCCGCGTTGCAGGCGCCCCTGGCACGTCTGGAAGCCAGGACTCTGGCGGCTTCCATGGCCCTGGGCCCCTCATTGGGTCCTGAACGCTGCTGTGGCGGCGACGCGGGCGCTATCGGAGGCAGGGAGCGAGAATTCGGAGCCGGGGGCCTGAGGGATCCCAGGGGCTCCCCGGGCTGTAATGTTCCACCCGCGCCCAGGTTAGCTTGCCTCGGCTGAGGCTGCTTCTTTTCCACTGACGGTTGCACACGCAGGACCGAGAGACTGGGCTCTGTTGGGGCCCCCTTTGTTCCTTGAGCTTCCTGTTCTGGGAGGCCGCTTGGGAGGCCGCAACAAGGCCGGGCTCCAGCACTTAGACCCCCTCTTTCCACTGGTCAGAGATAATTTGATGATGCCCTTCGGGACCTACTGGCGAGGGACCTAGGCACAGACTCCCAGACGCGAAACGGGGCTCGGCCCAGGGTTCTTTCCTCCCTAGCAGCTCAGCGTTCCGAGGTCGGGGAGCTCAGAGGCACTAGCACAGCAGCCCCGGACGCATTCAGGGCGCACCCCAGAACTCGGGAGCCGGTTTGAGCAGCCTTGTGGAGCGGGACTGGGTGTGTGCAATGCGCCCCGCTCCACCGCCGGTATTGGCTGTGTGTGAGGTTTTGTTTTGTTTTGTTTTTTAAGAAATAAATGCACAGACGCTTGCAAAGCTCCTGGCTCCCCTGAAGTTGCGGAAGCCCCTGATGGGAGCAGGCGGGGAGAAAAGTTGGGGAGCAGGCGAGGGCAAGGGGGCAAAGCCGAAGGAGGTTGCAGCGCTGGCCTGGTCCCTGCCCAGGCGTCTACTCGCCCGCCTTTGCCTCTGAGTCCTCCCCGCTGGGCTGCGTGGAATTGATGAGCTTGTTTTCCTTTTTCCACTTCATGCGGCGGTTCTGGAACCAGATCTTGATCTGGCGCTCAGTGAGGCAGAGCGCGTTGGCGATCTCGATGCGGCGGCGCCGTGTCAGGTAGCGGTTGAAGTGGAACTCCTTCTCCAGCTCCAGTGTCTGGTAGCGCGTGTAGGTCTGGCGGCCTCGGCGCCCATGGCTCCCGTACACAGCACCTGCGAGCAGAAACAGCCGGGCGCCGGTAAGCCAGGACCTGGATGGTTGACCCAGTCAGCCCAGTGCCTCCCACAAGGGGCATATGAACTGAAAACCACACCGCCTCCACTCCAGCCTCTCCTACTATGTCTGGGGCCCAAAGCATACTGAATGGGAGATTATTTCATACCAAGCGAGATGTTTTCCACCTATAACGACTTGGGGTGGACATTATTGTTTTTGAAAAATCTGCCTCATAGGAAAATCATTACAATCAAAATAACAGAATGGGCATTCTTAATTTGGGATGCCCAGGTCGTGTTTTTGTGGGGATGCAGGGTGTGTGTGTGGGGCGGGGGGGAGGTGTGGAACCACATAAGTAGTGTACACACTCTGAATTCGTAGTGGTCTCTCTGAGGATGCTACTGTGACCAGCCATGTCAGAACTCAACACATTTTTTGAAGAGTTAAAAATGGTCAGCCCTCTTGAATCTTTACACATTCTCCCATATTATATGACCCTTCTGAGAAATGCAGAACTCACCCAAGGATAAAGTGGATTTTAACGCAAAACATTATAATTTTAACAATCCGCATTAGGCTCTGTCCTAGGGAATTCCTAGGAGTCTTTGGGATTCCCTGTGGAGTCTTTGGAAACCAGAGGCTAAGAGATGGAGCTATAGTTAGTCTAGGATTTCTAGCAATGTAGGATTGTGTTGGGCTGTCTGATCTGTGCCAAAGATCCCCAAGGGTGGTGGGGATCCCTCCAAGACAGGTGTATGAACTCAGGCATGGGCTCAGAAGAAGGCAGAAGTTGGCTAAGAGTGAGCAGTTGAGTGGAAGGGGGAGGAGGTGAGGGAGGAGAGAGAAAAAAAAATCCTGAGTCTGGGGCTGTGGCCCTCCAAGGCTTTGGGGAGACACTAGAAGAGGCCAAATGGCCACCTCTCTCTGTACGGGTTTCTAAAGGGCAGAAAGGAGAGGGGTTTGGGAAGCAAAGGGTATTTATCAGTGACCAGGGCAGAAGGCCCTCTGGCTTGGGAAGCTGAGCAGGGTACCCAGGGTGCATGGGTCCCCACCAGCCTCTCTCTCTTCAGGCTGTCCCTGTCACAGGTCTCATATACGTCTCAGTGCCCCCATCCTCCCCTAAAGTGTCACCTTACATGGACACTGGGGGCCTGCTCTTCCTCTGCCATGGCCTGATTGCCCCATTGGGAACTGATTTTTTCTTCTCTTTTAAAAAGCCAAAGAAACTTTGCTAGTTCTTTCCTCCTCTCTCTCTATTCCTCTTTCTACTCGGTTTCCTCCTTCTTTCTTTCTTTTCCTGCCTCCTTTCCCCTCTCCCTCCACTGTCTTGGGATATGCCTTACCCGCGCAGGAGTTCATCCGCTGCATCCAAGGGTAAACGGGACTCGTGTACTTCCGGTCGGCGCCTTCGTCATGGAGTGCTTTGCCCTGCCCGCTGCTGCTGTCGGGTTTGTACTGCTGCTCGGGAGAAAAGTGCAGGTAGTCCCCGGGGCCCCTCTGCTTGCCACTGCCCGAGGGCGAGGCGCCACTGAGGTCCTTATCAGAATAGAAACACGAGGCCCCGTACTCGTAGGACGCCCGGTTGCAGGCCAGGACAGAGTTGGACTGTTGGTAGAAACAAGGTGAGGTGTACGTCTTGTCCGGGAGACTCGACGCCCCGTACGAGGCCGGGAAGGGCCTCAGCGCGTCATAGCCGGCCTGGTAGAGGGGCAGCTGGCCCAAGAAGGAGTCCTGGCCGCTGGGCAGGCTCCCGGGGAAAGTGGGATTCACAAAATAGGAACTCATTTGCGCGCCCCTCTGCAGGACTGTGATTTGTTGTGTATTAGTACATCTGGCTATAACTATTAGTAGTCATCGAACTGGTTTGTTTCTGGATGGCCGAACGCCAAAAGCGACAGCAGCAAATCGCACCAGCTGACGCCGCGGCGGCCAATGGGAGCGAGCGCCGGAGCCCGCTCCCCAGGGACCGCGGCGACCGAGGCAGCAAAGTTACAAACAGCCCCCAGCTCGCCCGCCCGCCGCCCGCCCGGCAGATTAATGGGCGCGCACAGCCAGCCGGCCCGGCTCTCTTCCCGAACGCCAGCGGCGGGCACTGCCCGTTCAGGGGCGAGCCGATCAGGCCAGAGTAGGGACACTAACGCTCGGGCCGCTGCAAAGGCCCCGCCAGGCCCCCTCCTTCCTCCTCCCTTTTTTGCTTTATTGAATTTTGCGGGTTCCCCACCCCTCCTCTTCCAAACGGGAAACCTGAAGGTCCTGCGCCAGGAGGGGCGGTGACAAAGGTGGCTTTGCTCCCTGCTGGCCTGCACTCCAGGCATGGCCCCGAGTTGCCCCTCCCCTAGCGCTCCCCTATTAGTGGGTGCGAGTTCTTGAGCTGGAGCAAGGGCCATGAGAAATCAGGCCTTCACTCTATGCTCTTCACTCGTGCGCCTTAGCAATCGGTGAACTCCGTTATTCTCTCCTTCTCCACTCGCACCAGGGGCCTGGGCCTTGCAGCCCAGAGCTGAAGGATCACCTCGAGCTGACCAGGACTCAGCCAAACGTAGGTTCTTCCCACCCATTCCCTCCTCCCACATACACATCCTGTTTGAGTCCCAAGGGGCTCAATGGCCGGCGCCTGCCTGGTCTTAAAGCACCCCTTCCAGCTGGGCGTCCCCATCCTACCTTTGAACCCAGGGAATTAAGAGGCCAGAAACCACTGGTTTTAACAAGAAAGGACCGACAGAGCAGCGGCCTTGAGACTGGGCTCCTAAGCCAGCCGAGGGACCTACTCCCCTGCCCAGCGCCTGGGGACTCGGCATCTGCTGCGAGAACCGCTCAGAGCTGAGGCGGATAAAAGTCCAGATGTGGAATCTTTCTGTCCACATTCCAGAGGCACAGAAGACGCAGGGGCCCTGGCCAAGCTGGGCACAGAGGGCAGCTCTGCAGGGCCCAAGGCCGCGGGATAATTGATGGGCTCGGTTTCCGGGGCGCCCGACAACCGGCACTGTCCTGGGGCCGCCCTCTTTACTGCCCTTCCTGGGATCGCACGGAGGGCTGCCGCCCCTCAGTCTCTCCGGAACCGGGAATAGTTGTCTCACCGGCTCCAGAAATCCTGAATTGTTTTCACTGCTGTTCCAGGCCTGGCGGTCCCCAGACAGGACATTAGAAGCCTGTCCTGGACTGCTCACTCTTGCCTGAGAGGTGTGCCTTCGAGATAGTTGACTTTTACAACACATGGATCAATCTCGTTTTGAAAAATGTGATAGCAGCCCAGTGGCATTTTTACAACTGTGTTTGTTGGGCTTGTAAAACCCCTTGAATTAGCTTTAAAATCCTCAATTCTGTGGAGGTTGAAGAAAGACTATTTACGTGATTTGGATGGATTTCTGGAGACTGTTTACAGATCTGTAAAACCCTGGCCAATGCAGGCTCACCGGTTCCGGACTTAGTGGGGAGGTGGCAATTGGCAGTGTTCCAGTAGGAATCTAGTAATGACTTAGTCTCTTCCTTGCTTTTCCAATTTTTTTTCCTGAGCTCTCCTCCCCCAAAGAGAAAAAATTGGGAAAGGACTGGCCTAAGGTCGACCTCCAAAGAGCCCAAGAGGCACTCCTGGAAGGCGGCTACTAGCCTGGCAGTGGGGGCTACCCCTGGAAGCTGGATGCCTGTTCCCCAATCTGTCCTAGAATGGGTTTACTTTGCATATAAAGCAGGGCCTTGAATAAGAGGATAGAATTGGGCATTTCCTACAGATTACTTCAGGGAAAGAATTCAATAGGTGAAAATGAAAACTGGAGTCAAAAAATTAAAAGGGACTTTTAAAAATAGCTGTTTGAAGAAAATCACGTTTGTGTTTTTTTTTTTCTTGAAATTATCAGACTACAGTGATTTTAAGCAAGTTATTGTTTAAGATGAAAATAACCATTTGGAGATGTCAATGTTTACATTTATAATTTCCTTTTCATTCCTCCATGTCCCACACAGTGGTGGGGTTGGTGTCAATTTACTGTTGTTATTATTATTTGTCATGCCTTGACTAGGATTCTCGATCTAATTATTGTTCCAGCTGACGAGAGAATTTGATTTCTCAGCTAAGAGCCAGAAAACATTATATTTCTAGCTTCTATAGGCCCTAAGATGGAAAAATACATATTACATTGGAATCTTTACATGTTAGCCAAGGCTAGTGCATATCAAGTTGGCAGCTGACCAATTCATTTCTCCAACCAGATATACACACACACACACACACACACACACACACACACCTCTCTCTCTCTCTCTCTCTCTCTCTCTCTCTCTCTCTCTCAGAGAGAGGATCATTCCGGCAAGAATAGGCAGCCCAGACCCTCCAGAGAGCCTCTCCTGCCATGGTGAGAATGGCCACCCCAGGGCTCTCTCTCTTCCCTGCCAAAGCCACGCAGAAAGCGACTTACCTTACAGTTTCTCTCCAAGGCGGGCAGGATGGCGAGCTGGGCCCCACCGTCTGCCCTTGCCCTGGGCTGCCCATTGAACAGCTCCACCTTCGCCAGCCTGGAGGGTGGTCTGGGAGTATGTAGGTGTGGTACCTTGAAGGCCACCTCAGTCCATCCAGCTCGCTAGCCCAGGCCAGAGCCCAAAGCACACAGGTGCGGCCTCTGCCCTTCACAGGCCCTCGCCTGGAGCCAAAGCCGTCCTTCTTTGCCATAGCCCATCCTCCTCAGATCCGCCAGGCCTACAAGCCTCAGGACTACAGGTAGTCTCTCCGATATCAGAATCGCAAAGACAGAGTGTTCCCTGAACCAGCGTGCGCCCCCAGGACGCCTTGGGACGTGCAGTTTGGGCAGAAGCAGCCATGACGTGCCAGGCGGCCTGTGCAACCAGTCTCCATGGTGCTGGAGTGGGGGTGGGGGAAGGACCCGAGTCTATACCGGCGTTCAGCTGCGGTCAGGGGTAGCCGAGGCGGGGAGATTTCCCGGCCAAATAGGCTCTGGGTGATAGCCCCTCAGGTCCCCTTTCGTCCCCCTCTACCCTGCTTGCTGGGAAATCTCTGAGGGGCCCGTACAGCAGTCGCGCCAGGCTGCAAGAGGCGGGCTGCGGCTGGCGCCGGTCCCGGCGACGGCCACGGCGTGGCAGCAGCGAGCGCCAGCACGGTTGCAATAAATAATCCGCCAGCGGCAGCCGCAGGCAGGAAGGCAGCGACCCTAGGATGCAAATACGCCTCTTTATCCGCCCCGAGCGCACCCAGAGCACGGGCGAACGTCCCAGACATCCACAGCCCCTTCCTATTTATCGAATCCATACCAAGATATTGTTTCAAGATGGGGAAACAACAACCCAAACAAAAAATAAACAAAAAGAACCTCGGACTCCTTTCTTGTCGCTGTCCGGGGAGTTCCCAGGGCAAATCTGGTCTGACACGCACTTAGGCCGAGCTACAGTTCGAGCCACCGCGCTACGCAAAGCCACAGCCAGCAGCACGCTCCGCGCTTCCTCCCGGGCAGCTCCACAGTCCTCTCCCCGCTCGCGGGAGGTGGGGAGTGCGGTCGCCAGTCCGTTGCGCCAAGGTGGATTGGGGGGTCCCCCTATCGCCCAGACTCGGTTTGCGTCCTTCCTTCAACCTTAACTGCGGGCCCCTGCCACCCGCACTAACACCATCACGTCCTCTGCACCGAAACTTCCCACCAAGTAACACCCAATTAACTCCATCCTCTCCTCCAACACAGAATTCCACCCACACACTTATTCCCTCTCCCAGCGCTTCAGACACCTCTCTCATCGAAAAACCGGGCGAAAGGAAGCCATCAACGAGCGGAGAACTCTGGCTGAATTAGTAAGTTTTTCTCTGTTTCTCCCTTTTACCTTTCTCTCTGAAACCAATTCCCACTGAGTAGAAAGTGCTGTGCTGATGCTAATAAAATGACTGTGGATTAATGCACTTCGCCCTCACCTCTTCCCACCTTCCCAGGTCAAGAACGGTTTCCTATTGTTGGGGAATCCAACAAAACCAAATAGGGCCATGAATGAAAACATAAAAATCCAAACCTAAGGAGCTAGCGGGGAATACAGTGTGCCGGGTCACTTCCTTTTGGGCTTCACGGGGTCGCTGGGGAAGGGGAGAGAGACGACCCAAGGGATGCTGCCCTGTGCCTGGGCGCTGTGCCACGGAGGGCCGAGGGAAGGCGGGCACTTACTGCCAAGGCGAGCCAGGGAGGAGAGAGAAAGGGAGTGGTGGGTGTGCGTGTGTGCGCGCGCGTGTGTGCCTGTGTGTGTGACGTGTGTGTGCTGTAGTGTGTGATGGGGGCGAGTGTGAATGGGTGAGTATGGTAAGGGGGAGTGTGCCCCTCTTAAAGCCTCCCTGGGTGCCCTCTCCCACCGCTGCCGCCGCCAGCTGTCACCTCACCACCTTTACTCCTATCTCCTCCCCACATGTCTCACCTTCAGACGGCGACTCCCAGAAGCTCCTGCCCCTGTGACAGCTGTCGCTTGGGCAGCCCGAGAGACGAATTGTCCTCCTTCCTGGTGCCAGAGGACACAGGAAATTAGCCAGGTTGCGAGTTGCAAAGCTGCCGCCGCGGCGCCGGGAACGGGGCGCGCCCCATCTCCAGCGGGAGCCGCCAGGCCTGGCCTGGCCAGGGCTTCCCTTCGCTCGCCATCTCCGGACAAAGCGCAGCCGAGCCAGGCTCCAAGGCAGAGCTCCGAAGCAGGCAGGACGGAGCGGAGCAAAAGAATGCGGCTCTATTCTCGCAAGGGAAATTATAAAAAAGTTCATGTTCACGGTTCTCATCCACATGACCGACAGCGGCCAATGGAAGGGCCGAACAACTCATAAAGTTGTATTGCAAAGTTGTAAATTTTCATAAACAACAACGGATTTATGACCCTTTCCCCATCACTGAGAGGAGGCAGCTCTTACACAGGCGCCATCTTACCACCGAGGCCGCCCAGACTTGGGGCCTCAGGTTTTACAGACCCTTTTGGGCCCGGTTTTACTAAAAGAGCCATAAGAAGCGGACCCAACCCAGGCAGGAGACTGGAGATGAGGTCTTGCAGGCGGAACTCAGGATGCTCTGAGCTGCCCGCACAATCCCTCGCCCTTCGCCCCTCGCCCCTTCCCTGCACCCAGATGCCCCAGCCCCTGCCCAGGCTGCGCAGCCCAGCGAGGGTCTGCGGTCCTAGCCCCTCCCTGCGCCACCTACAGCAGTGCGGTACCCTGGGACGCCCTTGCCTCTCCTGCAGGCGGGGTGGGGGCCTTAAATCCCATTTCCTAGCCTGGGGCTGGGTTCAGGGCGCATGCGAAATCCGTAATCAGCCTCTGGGTAATGCCCCTTTCCAAGCCCACTGCGCAGCCTTAGAGGAAAGGGTGGATTTGAAATTTCCTCATGGAATTTATGGAGATTTTTAGGGAGCTTCATAGAATATAACGTATCTACCAGAGATTCCGTTTTCAAGGGATCTAGATGTTAGTGCACACACAAAAACCAGACAAACGTCTCTACACGGATAAAGGCACATATACAATTATGCACACAGGGAAGGGCATACACTCTTGTGGGCACAGAATGACATGCAATTATGGACACACAGAAACACATGCACCCAATTATGGACACCAAAATATACACAATTGTGAAAATAGGTAAAAACACACACACAGAAATACATAAACAGAAAAATAAGCACATACTCATACAAATACACACATAAAAATACATTAAAAATACATGACACCAATACATGAGCATCCAACACTTGGACCATCACAAGGACAGCCACCCCACTTTTGCTTCCTCACTTCCCCTTTCCCAGTCTCCTCTGGATAAGGTAGTCCACGTTTTTCTTTGTCACCAAGCATCTTTATTTTTCAGTTACATAAAACACAGCTGGGCTGGGAAGTGTACCTTCCCTGAACCCCAGGATGGAGCTGAGGGGGATACAGGACAACACAGGAGATGAAGGGCATTGCGGAGGGCATTGGACCTCCCCACCCACTAGTTAGCTCAAGACAACATACCATGCTACAAAGTCACCCCATTAACACATCCTTTCGAAGTCAAGACACTGCCTTACAAATGAACTCCAAGACTATAGAAACGATCAAACAAAAAAATCTTGTTCAAATATACAGTATCTGCTATTATAGGAAACGTCAGGGCATACATATTTAACACAGCTGAACAGTAAGATACAGGAGCCAGAGGAAAGGACAGCGAAGCTGGGAGCATCTCCACAGTCCTACTAAGCAGAAGCTAACCCAGAGATCTGCAGCCAGCTCAGGAACATTCCCCTCCAGAAGTGGGGGTTGATGGGCCTGAACTTTGGGTGCCAAGCCAGAGAAGGAGGGATTGATTCTAGGGTGCAGCACTTAGAATGCTTTTTGGAATAAATATATTATTTTTCAATTTAAATAGATGCCAATACCCTGATCCTGAACCTCAGCACATTCTCAGGGCAGCCTCAGGGACCCCAAAAGCTGCGAGCTGTAAGCAGCAGGGGCCTTGCCTGGGAGCAGTCGGCACTAGGTAGCAGGCAAGCCAGCCAGCACAAAATAGGTAGTTTTAGGGGAGTAGGTAGTAGTGAGATTCACGTTCTTGCGGATCTGGGAGGGTGGTGCTGGGTGTCTGCCAGTGCTGGGATATATAGGGGCTTCCTGGGAATGGAGGCCCTCTGGGCTGGATACATAGGTAGTTTGGGGGTGCCTCGAGCAGAGGCCTGTGCTAGGTAGTATTTTGGCCGCGCCAGCGCAGGGCCGGCTGACCTGGAGTTGGGGGTGTCTTTTGGGGTCCTCGGAGGCAGAGGGAATCCAAGGCGACCCAGTCGCTGCGGCCGCTCAGTCCACAAAAGTTGGGAGCTGGAGTAGGTGATGGGGGCCGGGTAGAGTGCAGGTTGGGGACTGTTTTGTTTGTTCGGTTTTTTTTTTTTTTTTTTTTTTTTACATTTTCTTTTATTTTTCCCATTTTTGTAAATAAAACCAGTGAGTCTCTTAAAGACGCTTTTCCGACTGTCCGGTGCAGCGAGGGCCCCGGCTCAGCCCCTCATTCCTCCTCGTCTTCCTCTTCTTCATCATCGTCCTCCTCCTCAGCCTTGTCCGCGGCAGCGGTGGCAGCGGCAGAGGGCACGGCGCCCTCGGGAGCTGCTGCGGCAGCCGGACCTTCGTCCTTATGCTCTTTCTTCCACTTCATGCGGCGGTTCTGGAACCAGATCTTGATCTGGCGTTCGGTGAGGCAGAGCGCGTGGGCGATTTCAATGCGGCGGCGCCGCGTCAGGTAGCGGTTGAAGTGGAATTCCTTCTCCAGCTCCAGTGTCTGGTAGCGCGTGTAGGTCTGGCGGCCCCGCTTCCTGTCAGGTCCTGAGGACAGACATGCAGACACAGGAACACACGGACAGACAAGTAGACAGGGCACTCGTTAGGCTGCTGTCCCAGAGCCCACACCTTCCTCCTGGCCTAGTCCCAGGCGAGCATCCCCCTCTGCCCCAGGCCCCAAACTGAGCTAGGGGAGGAGGGGGGGGTGTTAGGGAAAGACCCCAACTGCAGTGCCAGACGCGCAGGCAGCTCTGTAATCAGCAAAGGCACAGAATCCCAACTTTACAACCGCCTTTTCCAGCCGGCTAAGCTTCCACAATGTCCTGCTTCCCCTGACAAAGGAAAACTGTAAATATAGAGTGTGGGCAAGTGGGAAAAGCTGCACTTTTGCCATTCAAAGATGAGCCCGGCCATTCCCCCACCTTGCTAGGCAAGTGGGCGACCCTTCCCAGCAGCCTGAGACCTCAATCCCCAGGACCTTCCTAGGGTACCCCGACCCTCTGGCCTCATTCCCTGGCCCCCATCTTAAAATGGCCCCTGGCACAGGGTCGGGTGAGAGGCCTTGCAGGGCTTGGCTCGCCCAGCTTTTGAGGAAGAAAAGACAGGCAGCAAGGAAAAGGAGGAGGAAGAGAAGAAAGGGAGGGAGGGTGACAGAAGAGGGAGAAAGAGAGAATAGCGAACAAACTTAATGTTAAAATTCCAAGGCAAATGGAGTTAAATAAATTTACGAGGATCGAACCCATTAATTGGACCATAAAAAGTTTTATGAGCCTCATTTACATACAATGCTATGGGCTCCACGCAATGGCGCCTCCGCTGTAATTAAAACCAGAAAGGCTGCGCCGGGAGTCACGGGGCTGCCGGCTCGCAACAGCCTGGCTCCGCTCTTCCGGCCCCCGGCTCCGCGCTCACCAGCGCCGCGCTCCCCGCTCCCGGTCCCGCTCCACCAGCCCGGCCAGCCTAGCGACTGCGCCTACCTGAAGACCGCATCCAGGGGTAGATGCGGAAATTGGCTTCGGCTGGGCCGTGCAGCACGCCCTCGTCCGCCTTGTCGCAGGCGCCTTTGGCGAGGTCACTGCAGAGCCCGGGGATGTTTTGGTCGTAGGAGGCGCAGGGCAGGTTGCTGTAGGCGTCGGCGCCCAGACCGTAGCCGGATGCAAAGGGGCTCTGATAAAGGGGGCTGTTGACATTGTATAAGCCCGGAACGGTCGAGGCGAAGGCGCCGGCGCCCGCCCCGTAGCCGCTTCTCTGTGAGTTGGGCGCAAAGGAGCAAGAAGTCGGCTCGGCATTTTGGAACAGAGAAGCCCCCGCCGTATATTTACTAAAAAGCGCGTTCACATAATACGAAGAACTCATAATTTTGACCTGTGATTTGTTGTCCGGCAGCTTTCAGTGTCGGTTTTACGAGGTAGCGTGATATATGATAACATTACACCCCCAGATTTACACCAAACCCCATTTTCTTTTGGACTGAGCTCGACGCAGCACGTGACCGCCCACATGACCGCCTCCGCCAATCTCAGCAGCCCTCACAGGTGGTCTCGCTCCGCTGGGCCCGCGGCCGCCTAGAATGGAAGGGGAAGAGGCTCAAATATGCGGCCAACGAATCCGCCCGCGCCCGGTGGGCCTGGCGCGTCGGGCGGAAAAAGACCCGGAGGCTCCGCGGGAGCGCCCAGCTGGCCGCCAACCTCGGCACTGGGGTCTGCAGACGCCGGGCGGCCCCGGCCTCGCGCAACTCCCCCATTCCTGCTAGTGAGCCCTGGACCCAGCTTGGGATCCTCCCCATCCCTCTCCTGTCCGCTTGCCCAGCCCCTGGAAGGATCTCTGTTCCCCGCAACAGCCTGCCCTTCGGTGGCCTTGTGGGCAGGACTCAGCTATGAGCAGATCGACTCTGCCCAAGTCTTCTCTCATCCAGGTCCAATGGGCGACACGCCGGACTTAGACTCGGATCCAGACGGGGAAAGCGCAGCGTCGCTTGCAGCTGCAGCGAGAATGCCACCGCAAACTGGAACCATGTGGTTCGAATAAAGTCAACGTCTCTCAGCTTCCTTTCCTTAATCGGAGGCACACTGTTTATCCGCCCTAAAGGAAACAGTGAAATATTTATCTATTAATGAGACTCATTTGCCAACAGATTTATTAACGTGGGGTTCCTCTCCCTCCTCCCGGACGCTGTAGTGTTGCAGGCTCTGTGCCTTCGCTCCTGGGCACCTGGCTGGCTCCAGCAGTCCGATAAATGTCTAAAGATTCTTTTGTCCTTGTCACAACTTCTGGTTCCCCTCTGGCGAGTGGGTAGCCAGGGCTGTTTCCCCCAGCTTGGAGAAATCTCAGGCCTGCACCCTTCCAGGCACTCCCAACAGTGGAAGGTTTCTGGTAGCCTTCACCTCAGCCACCCTTAGGCCTCCATCTCCTAGGTGGGGTGCCTGGGAACAATACATGCTTTAGAGCCGAGAGTGGAGAGTGGGCTCTTGCGTCTAGGGACTGCAACCCCCTGTGGACTTCCATTTCTTTTGAAGACACCAAAAACAAATAGGGGGACCACCCCCTAAATGCCACCCAGCTGTGGAGGCTTCACCTATCCAAATACCAGCTCACACGGAGCTGAGCGCACGGTGGTCTCCCTCCCATCCAGGCCCCCAATTCCTGCCTTCCCAGGCCTCCGACCCCTGCACCATGTTGGACCAGCTGAAGCCCCTGCCGCCCACCGCTCAGAGGAGGATAGTGGGGAGAACCCTTCCCCTAAACGCCTCATAAACTGCCCGGCTGCTCTGGAAGCCCAGCCACCTTTTACTGCTCAGCTCCATTACACACCATAAACTCGACCTCACAATGGAATTGCCCCGGAAATTCTCCTGTAAATTATAGAGTTGAGTTCCTTGTGTACAAAGCACTTCCCATCACTTTCAGAGGGTCCAGGCCGCCCCCGTTTACCGCACCCTCTCAGGGGGTCCCAGGAATACAAAAGGTGGAGGGAGGGTTCAGACTGGGACGCCATGGAGCCCCAGTCCCTGCGCAGTGAACCACCCGGGCTTGGGAGTGAAGGTGGGGGCTGGTGGGGCAGGTGGGCCCTGGGCTGCCTCCTCCCGTGCCACGGAAGTCCAGGGGTAGGGGTGTGGGGTGGGGGACAATATCCGGAGATGCCTTTATGGCAGATCAGATGATATCGTGTCTCCGATGGAGAATAGAGAGAGTAAGACAAAAAGAAAAAACCTAAATAATGCCTGTCGCATCGCCTTCTGGAAGGAAATAAAAACCTAAGAAAGTTAAAGGAAGATGAAACAAACAAGAAGGCTAGGAGATCAAAGAGGCAGAATTACACCGCTTTAGACCAATAAATTGTTCCTGGGGTGACACAGAGCAAGATGCAAAGAGAAAAGACCAAGGCCCCCGCCGCCGCCGCCGTCTGTCTAGACTCAAGCGGCTGGAGGGGCTGACAGAGCTGGTGTTTAAAGTAGAACCTGCCCAGTCCAACAGCCCGAGCGGGGAGCGATTTCGGGGAGTGCGGGAAGGAACGCACTTCGCCAAGGGAGGGCTGGGCGCCCTCGCCACCAGCTCATCCCTGCCCCGGTTTTGCCCGGCGCGTGTCCAGGAGGTTCTGGCAGGACACACTGCCCCTCCGCCCTGGCCAAGGAGGATCCGGATACCGCTTGCAAGGCTTCGGCCAAGTCAGCCAACTGGGCCCAGTCCTGCGGACACCGAAACCTCTCTTTAGTTTCCAGGCTTCTTTCTCCCCTCCTGCCCTGTGTGGTCTGATTTAAAACGAAAAGGTCGGATAAAATCAGGCTTTCAATAAGGCTTCTTAAACTGCGTGTTCTCAATTCATTGTTTCTCTACTTATTTGACTGAAAAGACACAAATGCACTAGGTTATATGAGATAATTTTCACAGAAATACTCATTAACCCTCAGCCTGAAGCAGGCACATGTAGGCGGGTTTCTAATCAGCCGAGCTATCTTTAGATAGATATTTTCAACTGCTGTCCCTGAGCTTCCTTCCTACCTACTGGCAGAGCGTGTTCACCCTGCTTCTTGTTACCAAATACCAATATTTAAATTCAATTATGAAGGTAAAGCCAGCTCTAGGCAGGGAATAGCGCCTTCCAGAGATTTGGTGGGTGGCTGGCGAATTGCTTCCTCAAGGTTTCCACCCTTGCCTCTCTCACCGGCTGCATCTGTTCCCCACCCAGTCAGTGAGTGATCCCTGGCCTGGGCGCAAAGACAAACCCGTCCCCGTCGCGTACAAATGAGATTGGGTTGGCGCGGCGCGGGGTCTTGCCTAGGTGAAGGCCTGCTGCGGGGAAACCACTCCCAGGCTTCCCAGAGGAAAAGCAGACTCCCAGTCACCAGCCTGCCAAGGGCAAGGGAGGCGCCTTTGGACAGTCCACCCAGGCCTGGGAGACCCTTGGCTGCCTGCACCCACCTGAGGCCTCCGTGATCGGTGGAGAGACGCAGTCGCCACCGATCTGTGATTTCATTTATTTGTAGTCACACAAATCGAGCTTTCTCTCTGAATCTACAGATCTGCGACTTCACCATTTATTTGTAGTTAAAGAAATTGAGCTATCTGCGGCTTGAATACAAAGCCACGGTTGACTCCCGGGGAAGCTATAAAACCCTTCTTACAATCAGATGTTGTGAAATTATATACGGAAATATAACGAAGGCGTGTGTCTGTAATATCGATGTGTGTGTGTGTGTATATATATACACACACACACATATATGAGATGAGAGAGGGAGAGAGAGAAAGGAGAGATATTGTGTGTGTGTGTGTGTGTGTGTGTGTGTGTGTGTGTGTGTGTGTGTGTGAGAGAGAGAGAGAGAGAGAGAGAGAGAGAGAAAGGAGAGAGAGAGCAAACACCCGGGAGAGACATCAGCCAAAATCCAGTCCCCAGTTTTACAGCGTGTACAGCGCGGAGATGCGGGCCGTAAACATTTTGTGGGCTTGGCGGAGACTATTACGACCCAAATAAATGCAATGTGCTGCGTGTTCACAGGACTCTGGGACGCTTCGAAAGGTTGTCTGTTTGCTTTTGCGTTTTCCCTCTGGAACCATTCGACATCCGTGGCTGATGCTCCCACCCGAGAGGAGGCCGCAGCGTGTTCCCCGCCTAGGGTCCCGGAGAGGCTGGAGCTGGATTGGGGTCCCCTCCCTTCTGGCCTCCTGATGGGTGAACGCCTGAGCAGCCTCGGTTCCTCTACGGCGGAGGACGTGCCGCGGCTAGAGACAGCCCGGGCGGCTTCCACACCGTGTGCGACACTTTTTGTGCTACGGTGTGATTGTTATATTAAACATCACATTAAAAAAATAATCAAAGCAGTCCCTGGTTTGTCCCCCGGGATTCTCTTCCCAGTCAACTCGGCCCGGCCCCTAGACCTACAGTGGACAGACACCGAGATTGCCTTTACTCCCAATGTTCACCGCCTAATTTTACTGTCTCGATTCAAGTCAGCCGAGTCTCGGGGTCCTGGATCTGTCTCGGGTTCTGACTCGCCGGGCCCTGACCCAGGTCGCAGGTTTCGAGGGCCTCCTGGGCGGCCGCGGGACCCGGGCCACGGTGTGCGCCCTCGGCACGCACTGTCCACACCCTCTGGGCGGTCATCAGGTCTGGGGGCTGCAGGCGTTCCTCCTGTGTCCAACAGTCAGCCGGGGCTCCCTGGAGCCTGGTTGTGTCAGGCCTGTCTCAGCTGAGGACGGTGACCCTGGAGCCGCGCCGGCGCCTGGAGCTGCTGCCCCGCGGCTGCCCGGACAGCTGCAGCCCGGCTCGCTGGGCCCTCAGGGTGGGGTCAGGGAGGCGCGAGCGATGAGGGTCGGGCAAGACCCCGCCGATTCCTTGTTTCCCAGCGAGGCTTCTAGCCAGGCGTGAGGAGCACCGAAAATATAGGGCGCCTGTTCACTAAAATCTGGGGCTCCCATTCCAGAAAGGCTCGTGTCAAGTCGACATCTTAGGAACTTCCCAGGGCTGCGGAGGCGGGAGATGGCGGCGCGGAAGCCTCTTGCATGGAGCCACACTGCCATCTGCTGGCCATTATTCGGTACTGCAGTCTCAGCTACCACGGCCAGCCTGAGCTTTGGGAGCCGCCGGCTAGCCCACCGCACTCCACTCCCAGAGGTCGGGCGTGGGCCTAGGTTCTGGGGAGTCTGCGTGGAGCCCGGAATCTACTGCAGAGGAGGCAATGCCAATAAAAGAGCTGTTTCCGCAGTCGCTTTATCGGCGGCAGACAGAACAAATGAACAAATGAAAGGGCTTTGGTGGAATATCCTAATTAGGGCTGGACAGTTGTAAACTCATTAAGGGACGAATTCCAGACAGTTCGCAGTCCCGGCCTTTATGGCACACTCTTACTGCCTATTCTTTGAAGTTCCTTCTGTCTGCAACAACAGAGGGCGTCCCAGCCTGGTGGCGAGGTGGGGGTGGGTGTAAGGAGACGCCTCATCCACCCGCGCCCTGGTTCCCCTTTTAAACTTAGAACACATCCAACTTTGCAGAAGTCGTGGAGTGGGAGAGGGGGAAGGGCGAGAGAAGCAAGGGAGTGGAAGCGAGGCCGAACCCTCCGGCCACATCTGGAAAGCGCTTAGGCCTCCGAAGTTGTGGCCGTTCCCCCCGCAGCCCTTTACACCCCATAAACGGTAACAGCCCTCATTTTCTTTTATGGCGCTTCGGGGCTAGTCTGTTGCCTCAGCCCTGCCTCTGTTAGGACTTGTGCTCGGGAGGGGCTTGCAGTGCAGGACCCAGATTCCCTTGGGCCAGGCTGGCAGGACGCCGCGGGGGAGGGTGGTGAGCGGTGCGAGGATGCAGGGCTTTGTTCCTTTGCAAGCCCCCAAAATGTTTGCCTGCATGGCCGCGTTGGGCCGGTGGGGCTCCTATTTCCCTCTTCAGAGGCTGCTTAGAAGGCGGTCCCCAGCTCTATCCTGCCACCTTCTCCCCCTTTTCCCCACCAAGCTAACGAAGGCCCAGGTTTGGGAATTTTCTCGGGGGCACCAAGGTGAAAGGGTCGTTTTTCCACCGCTACTGGCCAGCCCAGCCCAGCTTCTCAGGGGCTTCTCAGCCGTCCCGCACATAGACACAAAGCCGGGAGCCTGGTTCCGCCGCCGGGTTTCCCAGATTTTCTCGCCGCCAGGCAGCTGGCCTGTTTGGGAGAGCTTAGCTCGGCGGACTGGTTGTGGCAGGTCCCGCTCCTGAAAGCCAGCCAGAGGCAAAATTGGGGCTCTTTCTCCCCATCCCAGCCCGCCCTTACCCAGAGACTCTACACAGGCTCCCCTGACCCAGAGAATAAGGTGCAAAGAGCAGACCCGCAAAAAATAGAAAAGAATCAATATATTTTATTTGGCAAAAAGTTAAATATCATCTCAACACAACAATTTGGTCAGTAGGCCTTGAGGTAACTATTGCAAAATATACAGTGTAGGTTCAGTCTGATGGAAACCCCAGATTCATCAAGGATACAAATCTACAGTAGCCCAGTGGCGGTTTCATAGTGTATAATTTATTATCAATAAAATTAACTCCGTTACAATCAGCATCCATTTCCTCTGATTAAAATTAAGCACAAACCCTAGGTAGTAACCTTCTGCACATATGTATAGCTCCAAATTTCCTCACTGTTTGTCTGGTGCAAAAACAATATTCAAGCTTGTCTGATTATGTATATTTTCTTTGATTATATAGAGTATATATACAATAGACAAGACAGGACTACAGATCATGGAAAGACGAAAATGCCCGCATTTTTAATGTGGAGAAAACGATGAATCTATGCATCCCCGAGAACACTTAAAAAATTTTTTTTTATTTCACTGGGAAATCCTTACAGCTAGTTTACAATCATAGGTTAACAGCCTAGTTATACAGAAGACATATTCCACTACAGAGCTATACTCTATGCAACTGTTTTTTCCCCTCATAAACAACCTGAGTTCAAATTGAATTCTATCTTCCACAATCACAACGGGTGCATCACCCAGTACACAGAAGTTTGAGTCACAAAACATAATTACCACAATAAAACACAGTGTTCAAGTATCTTGGCAGAGCGATCTGCCGCACAAACAGCAAATTAAATTAACTACACAGACTAAAAACTATACAGCCTACCATCAACAGTTGTGCATTATAAAAAGGTAGTTTCTTTCCTTTTCTTTTAAGTCAGGAACAGGTAGATTTTTAAAAATATATATACAAGGTAGCACACACATCTATCAGCACTAATGCCCCCCCCTCCTTTTTTTTTTTTTTTTTTCTTATAGAAAATGGAAAGCTTACAATACCTCCTCCATCAAAGCGGCAGGCCTATGAGCCAGCCTGAACAGGGTTTGCCTTGGGGGAGATGTGGCCTGAGGTTTAGAGCCGCTTTGTGCGGGGATGGTGGAGGCTAGGGTGGGGGTGAGAGAAGGAAGAAGGCGGAAGGGGGACGGGCAGTTCTCTTTCTCTCTAGCTCACCCTTTTTTCTAAATAAACCCAAATGGCATCACTCGTCTTTTGCTCGGTCTTTGTTGATTTTCTTCATTTTCATCCTGCGGTTCTGGAACCAGATCTTGACCTGCCTTTCGGTGAGGTTGAGCAGTCGGGCCACCTCGTACCTGCGGTCCCTGGTGAGGTACATGTTGAACAGAAACTCTTTCTCCAGTTCCAGGGTCTGGTGTTTTGTATAGGGGCAGCGCTTTTTCCGAGTGGAGCGTGCATGAAGCCAGTTGGCCGCTGGGTTATCTGTGGAGAAGAGAAACACTGGGTTTAGGAGGAGGATACGCACACCCTGCTGGGGGCAAAGGAACCTCCTGGGTGGGGTCTCTGGCCGAAGTGCAGAACTCTGCTGAATTGGTTAGGAAAGGCAGTCAGGCCTCAGACACAATGGAACCCTGGCAAACAGAAGCACAGAGGGTCACTTACAATTGCACGCAGTAAAACTTCGGCTTCCCCTCCCCTCCGAGACCCTCCTTTCTCATACTCCGTCCTCTTGTCCCCCTTCTCCTTCCTCCCACTCCCCGAACGCTGTATAGAATGAAATTTGGAAACAGATCTCCTTGCCACGCAGGCGGAAAGCATGCTGCCTTGTGTCCTGTAGCAAGATTAGGATTCCTCTGTCCCGTTCGCTGACTCGTCTTTCCTTCCCAACCTTTCCCTCTACGCTCTCACCCCCCACTCCTTATTTGACCTTCCTGGAAGGCCTTCGGAGCTGGGCATGCCGTCAGGGCGCCCCGAGGCCGTTGATCACGTCTGTGGCTTATTTGAATAATCTGGCATGGGGACCCTTGTGGCCCGGGTCGATCGCGCCTTATCTTGGCAGGATTTACGCCGCCACTGGCCGAAGGCAAGAAGTGGAAGGAAATCGGCCGTCTTCCCCAGCGTCCTGGCTCCGGCTGCCCTGGCTGCCGCCGCTCACGGACAATCTAGTTGCACAAAAGGCTCTCTGGGCTGCATTGCTTTCGAAGAACGGCCCAAAGTATCTCGGTCCTGAGCCCGGGCAACCAGGGAGAGGGGCGGCCAGTCGTGGCTCAGCCCGAAGTGCCCGCCCCGCCCCCTGTCGCTGCAGCAGCAGCAGCCTCCTCTCCCGTAGCCCTGCGGGCCACTCTTCACGGCTCTCCGGACTTTGGGCCCTATCTGAGGCGTCCCAAACACCAACTTCTGGCTCCTGGCCCCAACTTGAGAGGCTCCTAGCGAGGACGAAGGCAGGCTCGAGAGAAAGCTGGCGGGCCAGCAGATCCGGGAGGCCGGCATGGAGGCGGTGGTGGCGGCTGATTTGAAGGGAGGAGACACTTACTGGGATCGATGGGGGGCTTGTCTCCGCCGCTCTCATTCTCAGCATTGTTTTCGGAGAAGGCGCCTTCGCTGGGTTGTTTTTCTCTATCAACTGGAGGAGAACCACAAGCATAGTCAGTCAGGGACAAAGTGTGAGTGTCAAGCGTGGGACAGTCACCCCTTCTGGCCGACAGCGGTTCAGGTTTAATGCCATAAGGCCGGCTGGAGGGCAAGCCCGCGAAGGAGAGCGCACCGGGCGTGGGCTCCAGCCAGGAGCGCATGTACCTGCCGTCCGGCGCCGCCGCCGCCACGGGCGCCTGGGGGTGCACGTAGGGGTGGTGGTGATGGTGGTGGTACACCGCAGCGGGTACAGCGTTGGCGCCCGCCGCGTGCACCGGGTTCCACGAGGCGCCGAATACTGCCGCCTTGGACTGGAAGCTGCACGGGCTGAAGTCAGGGTGCTCAGCCAGCGTCGCCGCCTGCCGGGGGGGCTGGCCCAGGGTCCCCGGCGCATAGCGGCCAGAGCTCAGCTCATCGGCGGCGTCGGCGCCCAGCAGGAAAGAGTCCACGTAGTAGTTGCCCAGGGCCCCAGTGGTGGCCATCGCCGTGCCCAGCGCCTGGCCGGCCCGGCCCGACCCACGGAAATTATGAAACTGCAGATTTCATGTAACAACTTGGTGGCACCAGGGGGGGAAGTACAGTCACCTAATAAGTTGCCGGCGCCTGCGCCCCCATTGGCCGTGCGCGTCACGTGCCCGCCCAGCAGAACAATAACGCGTAAATCACTCCGCACGCTATTAATGGCCCAGTGTTTTGCAGTCATAATTTTTATAGCAAAAGCCATATGTTTTTATGTAAAGGGATCGTGCCGCTCTACGATCGGGTTTGTTTTAATTGTGGCCAACGAATATTAAAAGATCAAATCTAGCCTTGCCTCTGTACTCCCCCTTCCCCCCCACCCCATACACACACTTCTTAAGCGGACTATTTTATATCACAATTAATCACGCCATCAGGGAGGCGCGGGTCCCGCGTGCGAGTGCGGCCAGCGGAGCCCCTCACATAAAATTAGACAATAATTGAAGCCATAAAAAAGCAGCCAAATCGCATTCTCGCTCTACTGTATTTAAATCTATATTTATGATATTTCATAAGGAGTTATTGTTTCAGAAGCCACACAGGCTGGCGGGAAGTCGGGAACGACCAACAGATTCGTTTGCCTCGCCCTGGCTCCCAGCAGTAAAAATTTACGAGGACTTGGAAAGGTTAGACTGTTGTGTTTGGTTGGCGAGCTCCCTGTAAATAATCCCTGCGGTCCCCGGGAGAGGCGAGTTTACCCCCGGCCTCCTGCGAAAAGTCAAATTCAACGCAGGATCCGTCCCAAACGAAGCAGCCGCCGGCCCTACCAGGGCACTCCAGGCAGGGACTGGCCGCTGGGGAGTACCACGGGTGTAGGTCCCCACGGTTACCCGCCTGGAGCGAGGGGCGCAAGAGCAGTCCTTAAATTCGCCTTTGCTGCGAGGACCCCACTGAGGAGCTGGCCAGGAGGGAGCGGCCAGTCGCCCCCAGGGCGAAGGGTTTGAGGGCCTGGTTGGTTGTGTGGGGCGCTCGGCCCCCGGCCGTCGACCCCACGCAAACGCGCGCCCAGCTCGCCCTTCTCATTGAGCTGGAAATCAGGATTCCTAGGCGCAGGCGGCTGGCGACCCAGCCCTGTGTTCCAGCCTCAGAGGCTCTAACCCTGAGTGCTGCAAGCCTAGTTGAGCTCCCTGAACCCCAACTGGGGAAAAAACTCCAAGTGGCATCAACGGAAGGAGAGTTCGGCTTGGGGAAAGGCAGCCTCGCCTGAGACCCCGCGGCTCCGGCGGCTGGGAGGCCCGCACCGATGTGGCCTGTCCCAGGGCTGTGTGAGCCTTTCAGGGCTCCTTCCCCCCTTTCCAGCTACTACTCCGGGCCTCGCCTTGGTTACCTACGGACCCGGCGACTCGGCAGAGAGGTACAAGGCCCAAAGAGAGGCAACCACAGCTCAAGGCCAGGGCTGGAAATTAGAACGGCGAGGGGCACAAGGGCATCGACTCCAGTCCCATTCCTGGGCCTGGCCACATTGGGGAAGTTTATTTCTCACCCATTGCAGGTAAATTAAAAGGTCACAGGCACTCTGTTAATTGGAAGGAAACTCCCCCCCACCCCCAATTCCTAACAGAAAGCGGCGACTCCTAGAAAAGGGGTAATCAAATTCATGTGTGGATACTGTGCCTGCAACAGTGTGTTTTTCATTAGCCCACTTCCCTGGCAGCGAGGCTGGCGGACTCGGGCGCTTCCCTCCCTCTCTTTTTTGCCTTCATCCTCACCAGCAGTTCCAGTAATCCCCCCCCCCCAAAACACCCTGACACACTTCCGGCTGGGACTCTCATATACCAGTGAGGTTGTCAAGCCGGGCGGATACCGACAGAGTGCCCCTTCCTGCACCCACGCCTGGAAGAGGGAAGCGGCCGACACAATGAACTCCGACATGGCCCTCTCTTGTCCGCCTCATCTCCCTCCCCCTAATATTTTCCTTGCCCTATAAATTCCTCTAGGTCATGCCCACCCCCACCACAGTCCACCCTGTCCTAAACACTTTGCGGTCCGCCAGGCCTCTGAGATTTTCATTTAAAAAATTAACCCTGGAGGAAACCCTGGCTCCTAATTTTAAGTGTCTGCAAATGGGCTGGGCATGTCTGGCTGCCTTTTTCACTTTTTATACCAGAGAAGACACTGATTATTTTAGTATTTTTAAAGTACAAAAGCTGTTCCTTTAAACAGCCTTAGCCCCCAAATAAGAGAATTGCTGAACAATTAGCAGGCCTTGAGTGTTAAGCAGATGTTACTGGTGCCTAGAAAGAGGAGAAAAATCAGAAAACCAAATATTGTCTCACTTCAGCCCAAAGGTTTGGAGCCAGAATATTCAGACTTTTTTGTCTGCTTTTATTTTGGAAGCGAAAGAGATTGCGTATCATAAAGAAATAGTAAATGACTATAATTTAAAACCGCCCCTTCTCGACTGAGATTTCTAAAACTGTGATCTCTGAAATTAATAAATACCCTGGTCCAGAAAATGGCACGGAGGAGTTGAAGGGAATGGGGTATGTGGTCCTTTCAGACAGCAGACCGGTGGCTGTGCAACGGAACAGTTCCTGGGCCTCCAGTCCAGGCAGGGAAGGGAAACAGCTCTGTGGGCACGAATCTGTAACTGTGTGTGTTGGGGGTAGGGAGAGATAGTTTGTTTTCTGTTTTCTGGAGTGAAAATGGTCAGACTGGCTCCCATCTGTAGACTACAAATTGGAACGATGACCCAAGTTTATATCAATGGCTCTGGAATTTGGGATTCTTTTTGCCCATTTGAAACATACTGGCTCTGGTAAGGGTCCCCTTCTCCAGTACCCAGAGGCAAAAAGGTGCCGTATGGAACATATTTTGTACCTAATAGAAGCCACTAGCAAGCGAGCAGTCAAGCTTTGCCCTAGCCAGTCTCCCTCAATGCGGTCAAACCCCAAGCTGTGACCGGCAGGCGGGGAAGAGCCGGCTAAGAGCTTCCCAGAGAATGGCCAGGCTCCAGCGAGGCTGGTTGGGCCTCAGCTCCAGTTCCCAGTGAGGCTAGCGAAGGCCTCCCTGCCCTCGATATGGGCACGCAAAGCTGCAGCGAATGCCCCCTAATCAGATCTCCTAGTCAGCCTTTAGCGACAGGCGGAGACGAAACGCAAGGCCGCCGCCATCCGGTCGTGATCATAACCGAGGCCTTGTCTGCACAGTAACACACCAGGCCCAAACCCACCGCCCTCGGCAGCCGCCCCACGCGGGCCCTTCCTCAGCAGACTTCCCAACCTCTACTTGAGACACAGAGGAAAGTGAGACTCCCTAGGCTCTCCTGAAGCCAGCCCTGAGCCTCTCCCCAAGGATGCTTTGGGAAGGAGATAAGGAGGTGAGATAGAATCTGGCAGAGATGGAAGATGAAAAAAAGACAAACGGAAGAAAAGAAAGCAGGAAGGAGCAAAGGAAAGAAGAAAAAAGAAAGAAGGGATAAAAGAGGAAGGGAAGAGAGGGAAAAGAAGGAAGAAAAGAGAAAGAAGCGACTCCTAGCAGAGGCCGGGCTTACAGAGAGAAGGGTAAGTGACAAGGCCAGGATCCCAACCTCTGCCTGCCCTATCTTCCTAGTCCAGCCTGAGTCTCCACTGGAAGAAGATTCTTTCCTGAGCTCACACCCGGGACTGGTGTGTGTGTGTGTGTGTGTGCGTGCACGCGCGCGTGTGTGTGTGTTCCAGCCTTACAAGAGACTGGCAGGAGGTCCCTGGGCAGGCGCAGGCCTCTAGTGGGGGAGGCTCAGGATGGAAGCGTGCGCCCCTGACCTTGAATGGCCCAAGGCCCTGAATTCCTACCACGCCCCCGGCGTCCGCGAAGGAGCAGCCAACCTGACCCTACCTGCTGTGGGCCAGGTGGAGGTGTGTGGTGGAAGGGGAGAGCCGGCCGGCTGGCAGAGCGCTACGGAGAAAGACACAAGGCTCCTGCGCAGGGAAAGCCGAGGATGCCACCGCAGGCCTGGCACGACCAGGGCCGTGATGTCCCGCCCGGCCCGACCCCGGCGCGCAGAGTACCTGGAGACGATTTCAACTGAAGTAATGAAGGCAGTGTCGTGCTGTCGAGAGAAAGGTGGATCCCAACAACAGGAAACTACCTAAATCACCGACCAGTTCTGGTGCTGCCCGCGCAGGGCTGCCTCGCCCGCCGCCGATGCCGCCTCCGCCGCCGCCGCTGCCGCCGCCGCCGCCGCCAGGAGAGAACCCTGCGATCGCGCCTGGCCCAGCGCAGCCCCTAGGCAACCTGCGCCCGCCGCTGCAACGGAATGCCCCAGGCAGCCGCAAATGTGTCACTGAAGGGGAAGCCACAGGCCCCAGTAAGGTATGCCGTGGAGGGAGAGGGAGGAAAAGAGAGCGAGGAAAGGCAGGAAGAGAGGAATAAAGGCGGGGAGCAGGCGAGACGAGAGTAGCTCCGAGGAGCAGTGTGCACGCTGCTTTCCCAAATCTTGCAGCCCAGCGAGCCGGCGCCAAGCGGCGGTAGCCGTGTAAGGCTCGAAAGCGCCAGGGACAGTACAGAGCCCGGCTCCCTGTCTGGCCCCGGCCTCCCGCCGCTCGCTCTCCCGCCTCTGCCTCCTAGCTGCCCTCCCGCCGGGGCGCGCGCTCTCGCGCCCCCTCCCCCTAGCGCTCCCCCCCCCCCACACACACACACAACTCTGGCCAGCAGGAAACGCGTGGCCCTACGGAGGGCCGCCAGGTGGGGGAGGCCGTACTGGGGGAGGGGGCGGCCCCCATGCCGCCCAGCCCGGGTCCACCTAACGACTACCTCCAGCGGCTAGGGATGCGCTGTGGGCCAGGCCTGCTCCCCGATTCAGATTGAGGGTCATCTGAGACTCAAACACCCGCAAAATAACCGGCCTCTGCAAGCCTCCCTGGGGCTCCCGAAAGAAATCCTGTTTGGCTTCCTCTGTCTATGCAGCTCCCCTCTCAACTGAAATCACTGGTCCAAGACAGCCACAATCCAGATATACTAGCAAGCCATAAAACTGAACAAAAGCCGACAAACCTTACGGCACCAGGGCTATAGGGCCCAGACAAATTACGACCGTCTAGGTAATATTTAAATAGATGCCTAAAGTAATTGCAGGGGGCTCGGGTTAGTCCTCCTGTTGTAAAAGTGGTGAACGGGATAAAGTGGAAGGTGAAGATAAGAAGTCAAAAAAGAGGTAAAATTAAAAAGCTTCATTCCACAGCTTTTATTCTATTAGAACATAAACATCGTCTTTTTCCACGCACAGCAGCAATACAATATTAATTTATTCTGATTTAAGGTTAGAAGTAAATAGAGCTAGAACTAACATTTATAATAACGATAGAATGCATTTGCTTAAAACAAGATTGGCAATTCTTCATAATAATAGACATTTATACAGATTTGTATTTATAGTTTTTTTTTCTTCTTCTGCATCTACAGGTTTGACCCTTTTATGCAAGTAACTTCACAGTATAAAGGAAATCCAAACAATGTCTCCCTTCTCTAGTTTATTCAGCTTACCCCAGTCCTCCTAGGCTTCTGTGAATTTCAGAAAGCAAAAATAAAAATAAAAAAAACTTCTTGTTCAAGGCGATTTTTAAAAAACAGCTTCACAAGATAGGGAGAATTGTGGTGTGCTTGTCGCATGTTACCAGTGGTAACAATTTTAATGACAAAAAAATCCACTAATTCCAAATGTATAAACAAAACTACATTATTTATCTACAGCTAGAAGGATATGGAAATTTAGAGGTAAATGAAACATTTTAGTCAAGCAATGTAAGACCTTACAGAAACTGGAAAAGCAGTCCCCTTCTGTTGGTAATTTTTTTTTTCTTTTGAAAGCTGAGATATCTTACAGAGGAAGGAAAAATTACTCTTTTTTACTTTCTTTCTTACTTTTTAAATCAGCCAAAGTCAAGCCCGTTTGCCAACCTGCATGTCCATGCCTGTAAGCCCTTCTCTTGGCCAAGGAAGAAAGGAAGAAAGAAAAAAGAAACCCAGGGGCCTGTATCCCCTGATTAAACACAGCACAGCACTCCAGGCAGACATGCCCGGTGGCGGCTCCTTGCACCATTGACCTCAGGCCAGACACCTCAGCGCCAACAATGGGACCTCGGCCTTCCGGCTAGGTTTGCCCCAGGCTGGGCAGGAAACCAGCTCGGCCGAACACAGGGGCCATTTCAAGCAGTAGGACCCCAAGACAGCAAACCCAGCCCAGTCACGACTTGACACTTAGGACAATATCTATCTCTATAGAATTTTAGCACGATATGGCTTTTTCCCCCAGAAAACAACAAATAAACCAGCACCAAGCAAACACAAAGAAACAAAAAGTCAGAACAAACCAGCCCTGCACAGATGTAACGGCCCAGGAGATGACGAGCGTGGGAGGGAAGAACAGGGCTCCAGCACAGGTGCGAGTTCCTGGGCAGAGGCTGAAGACAGAGGGAAGGGACCAGCGCTCAGGAAGTGAAAAAACCGCGTCGCCTGGAGATTCATCAGGAAAAATTAAAATTGGCTGTGAGCTCCCGAATCCGGTTTTCTCGATTCATTTTCTTCAGTTTCATCCTGCGGTTCTGAAACCAGATTTTCACTTGTCTGTCCGTGAGGTGGACGCTGCGGCTAATCTCTAGGCGCCGCTCACGAGTAAGGTACATGTTGAACAGAAACTCCTTCTCCAGCTCCAGTGTCTGGTGCTTCGTGTAGGGGCAGCGCTTCTTCCGACCACTCTTTGCCGTGAGCCAGTTGGCTGCGTTTTCACCTTTGGAATTGCCTGGCATGTAAAAGAATAAAGAGGGGATGATTAAGTCGAGGCTACACGGGCTGCCCGCGGGAGTGAATTGCCTCCGTTTCTCCCATAAGAGAGATGTCCCAAGTCACAGAGAAGAGAGTCGTGCCCCCGTTTTTGGCTTGCTGAGAGCAAGCAGTTCCTCCAAAAGTCGTGACAAAAATCGAGTGGGCCTTCAATCTACATGATCCTTCCAATTTACATTTCTCCCACTTTCCCAAACACCTGTTTTAGCATTAAGCTGTAGATGCTTGCAGAAGGAAAGGCCTGGGAGGGCAGATTGTACATCTTGAACTTAACGCTTTTCTTTGCTTCTTGCCATATGGCAGACAAATATTTCCTGTAGCCCCCAGGCTAGGAGCGCGGGGTGCTTACTTGGAAGGAGGGCCAGGCAGCTTGGCTGTCTCACCCCAGGGCCCTGATTGCCCAAGACTCGATAAGGGGAGAAAGAAGGGCATCATTGGTCCAATGGGGAAGAGGAGGAGAAACCTATTCTGGGGTCCAGGGCCCTCCCTCAAGTTTCTCCAGGAGCCAGGGGTAGATAGCTGGGCGATTCCGAGGTCCAGGTGAAGCGAAATGTCCCTTCTCTGGCTCTCAGCTCAGGGCCCCCAGCTTCCAGGCTGGATTTGCCTTTTCTTCTTCCCGCAACGAAGATTCCCGCCCCTCAGCAACTTTGAAAAAAGCATGGGGGATCGTAAACTCGAACTTCGCCGGTTAATGGGCTTATTTATTGGCGCTGGCGGCTGCTTATTTTGGATGCCTTACAAACATCCGCGCTATCTGCGGCCGAGCTACTTTCCCTCCCTCCCCCTCCCCCCGCGTGGGCCGCGCCGCGAAGGCTGGGCAGGGACCAGGGCTCTGGGTGCTCCCGGCCACAGGGAAGAGCGCACAGGAGGGGGCCTGCTCGCTGGTGTCCTCGCCCCAGTCAGGGGAAGCTGAGGCCAGCGCCGAGGACGTCTTGCTGTGGGGCGCTAAGCCGGACATGAATTTTACTGCGTCCCCACGCCCAAATATTAAAAAGCAAGTTCACAAGGTCAGCCTGCCTGCAGCTTGGGCCAAGGCCGGCCGGCTGCTGCGCGGGCTCCTAGTTCTCTGATCCTTCTCCTCCTTGCGTCTGCCTCTCTGCCCGCCTGACTGCAGCCCTCTGCAGCCCTGCTTACCCAGGGAGTCCTTCTCCGGCGAGGCTTTGCTGCTCTCGGAAGGGGCCGGGGAGAGCTCCTCCGCGGCCGAGGACGACGCGTGCGCCTCCTCGTCGCCCTGCGAGCCCCCGCCGCTGCCGCAAGCCAGCGTGGGGGGCGGCGGCGAATCGAGGGCTCGCTCCTTCCGGGCCGCATCGGCCGAGCCAGAGGCCAGCGCCGGCGGCGGATCGAAGCCTCGCCCCGGGGGCTGCGCGGGGAACGGGCCGGCCCCGAGTTGCTGCGCGCCGCCGCCGCCGCTGCCATAGCCCTTGGCCGTGCCGTAGGCCTGAGAAAGGCGGAAGTAGCCAGGCACTGGCACCCCGCTGGAGGCGCCCAGGGCACAGCCGTCGGGCGGCGGGCCCCGCGGGAAAGGAGCCAGTTCGGCAGCGGTGGCCGAGCTTTTGGGGCATTTGTCCGCCGAGTCGTAGAGGCAGTAGGAGTTCTCTTCTTTGATGTTCTGCGCGAAAGAGCACGAGGTGGCCTGAGGCGGGGGCTGGGGTGGTTGCGGCGGGGGCGGCGGCTGCTGCTGGGGCGGCGGTGGCGGCCCCTCAGGCGGCTCCATCCGGCAAGACCGGGGCGCGTCTAGCCACAGGTCTATGGGCGCGGGCCCGTAGCCGTGCACCCCGGAACCTAGACCCCCGCCACCGCCACCGCCGCCTGGCGACGCAGCCTCATTGCGCTTGCCGCCCAGCGCGGGGAAGAGCCCGCAGCTCTGCAGCCCGTAGGGCAGGTCGGCGGCCGGCGGCAGGTAGACCCCGCCGTGGGCGTAGTAACCACCACTGCCGCCGCCCCCCGCGCCGCCACCACCGCCGCCCGCCTCGCCTCTGCTAGAGTTGATGAGCGAGTCGACCAAAAAAGAGTTCGCGGCGGGGCTCTCCGAGCATGACATTGTTGTGGGATAATTTGGCGAAGGGAGCAGATAGCCCTTTCTGGCTGACATTTCTTGTGCAAAACATGCTGAATACGATTAGCAATCCCCCCGCACCGCGGCGGGCGCCCGCAGCCAATCCCGAGCCAGAGTTTCCGCGCGACCACTCCCAGTTTGGTTTCGTAGGCGCGGGGCCGCTCTCCGAGGGCGCCCTCGAAGCCCGCGATTGATATAAATATGTAATCTGTATTGATGGGCCAGGAGATGCACGCCCGGCACCTTGGCCCGAAGGCCAGGAGCTGTGGGGGCTGCCGCAACGTGGCTGGTGGGGGGCCTGGCCACTGGGCTCGCCCCGCCCCTACCCGGACGTGAGCCCCATACCGGGGTTCGTTTGAAGCGCCCTTGGGCCCCGCACAGTTAACGAGTGGGGTGTTTATGGCGCGCGCCCAGTCTGCCTTGGGTGCTCACCATCCCTGTCGCAGAAACTGCCACTAGTCCCCGGTGTACTCTGACCACTGGCCATGTCGGGGACTCACGCGCTTCCCATTCAGCTCTGGATCAGGAGCTGGCCCCTTGTCTGAATTCTGCATCCTCAAAATGACCTGGCCCTATGGCTGTCAAAATCCTCAGAGTGTCAGGAGCCCAGAGTGAACTGGAAGCCGACTTTCCCACAGATTTCTCCTCAAAATGCAATGGTTGTTCCCTAGCCCCTAACCCCCAACACTTTTCTCCCCCAGTCCCTTGATCCAGTTAGGATCTTCTTCTGTGGTGGTGTGCTCATCTGGCTTGCCTTCTCTACAGCTCCTATCAGCGGACTTTGGTGGGCTGGCAGGACTGGGGGTGGGAAGCTGCTGCCAACCTTGACGGAAAGACGGCCCCACTCCCACTCCCAAGGCCAGAGCCAGGTCCATGCATCCCCTCATCACGTAGGGAAGACTCTAAGCCCACGGTCATTTCAGGGAAGTAAAATGCTGGCCCTGGGGTCCTTGGCTGGACCAAAGTGAGAGACTTCGAGGGGTGTGCCCGGTGTACACCTCTGCTGCCTTATGTTCCTGCTCTCCTGTTAGCTTTGGCACTCATATGCTCCTGGAGGCTACAACAAGAACCAGTGTCACTACACTCTTGCCTCTCTGTCCCCTCCCCTCTTCCCCTCCCTCCCATATCCTCAGCTAGGGCAGTCCTTGCTCCTGCAGTGTGTTCATTTTAACGAGGCCCCGGTGAGGAAATCCTTTCCCTGCAAGGCCGGGCTAGGCTCATGGCCCTGTTATAAGAGCATGTGGAGGCCAGGCCCTTTGCTCAGCAGACTCAGGGGCTCTGTTTTAGCCAACTGGAAATAGCCGGCCTGGGGTGCTAGCCCCCAAGTGTGAGCCTCATGCTAGTCTCAGGAAATGCAACCTTTTCCGGGCAGATCCAGTGGAGCCCGGGAGGTCACTGCCTTGCCCCTGGCCTGTGGGCTACAGGTCTCCAGGATACTCCAGGCCGCCCGCCCCTCCGGCTCCACTCGGAGGTGGCATTGCTGAACGTCGGCATCCCAGGAAACAGACCGCTCAGGCCGCTGCCTTCAGCTGGGAAAGACTGTTGCGTCCAGGTCATACGCGGCACTTTGTCTCCTTCCTCCCAATGTGAATCCAGCCCAAGGTAGAAGAGGAGCCTGAGAGGACCCTGAAAGCGCACGAGAGAGCTGGCTAGGTAGAGCCCCAGGTCTGGCTTCTGAGATTCAAGCAGCTGTGGTCGCGGCGGGCCGTGGCTGCTCCGAGCTCCGGGCCCAGAAGGCCGCGCCATCGCTAGCGCGGAGCTCCGGCCACTTCAACCTCGGCGCCCCACGGTGACCGGGCCTTGAGGACTGAGCATCAGGGTGCCGAGGAGGATGGAGAGAAAAAGAGAGAGATAGAAGGAGAGACGGACAGAGGGAGAGAAAAGAGAGAGAGAAACAGGAGGGGAGAGAGCATAAGAAAGCCAGTTCTCTCCAGCCTGACAGGGTCTTGAAGCTGCAGCAGCGGCTTAGAAGAATCAAGACCGAGAGATTAACTCTCCTTCGCTCTTCGCATGCTCCTGCGCCCAAGGCCAAGGCAAATTCTCTACCTGCTAGGCCCATGAGGCAGACGAACCTGAATGCAGAAAAGCTTCAGAGCACCGCAGTCAATGGCCCTATCTTTAGCTTTCTGGATCTGCCTGGTCTTTACCCTGCTCACCAGATGGGTGGAACTGGCTGGGACTGTTGCCCTTAGCAATGCCACCTGGAAATGCCACAGAGCTGGGGACTGCCTAGGAAGGAAGCTTTGCTCTTCAGCACTGCCCATGCCTCTCAGAAAAAGCTGTGTCATTTGGGAAGTGGGTCGCAAGAGCATCGAGGTTTCCTCTTGGATAATGAGCCATAGCAGGTCAGTGGGCCAGGACTTGGGCCTAGAGTCATGCCTCTCCAGGCTAAATGCAGAAAGCAGCTTCCCAGGCCAACATCTGGGAAGGTCCAGTATATGTTTGAGATAGTGGAGGCTATACAAATAAAGTAAAAGACAATGATCTTAACTTATCTTTCCTAATCTTTTAGGGAGTCAGGACCCTTCTGGAAAATCTAAGTAAGTTTTGACTCATTCTGTGAAAAATGCATATCAGTATATTCCCACAATTTGACCCATCATTTCAAAGGAGTTCACACACCCCTCAGTCTTTTCCTTAGGTCCTCCAGAGTCCCCCAGTCTCCTGGGACTTGGGGGCCCTGCCAATTTGGCTGGTAAGACAAGCTGGGTGCCCTGCGGCAGACAGCTCAGGTCAGGGCCCTGTAGGGCAGCCAAATGGGCTTCTAGGCTGGATAGAATCCAGGGACCTGCACGTGCCAACCAAGGTTACAAAAGTCAGTTTGTACTGCATCTGCTACAAAAGGCTGCCTCAGCCGAAGAGTAGAGGAGGTGGAAGGCCTGCTATGGGCCTCGCAGGCCGTGGCATTGGCACTTGGGTCTTCAGTGACCTTTGTGGTGAGCCAGATGTGTTTCTTTAGCATGACTTTTCCCCCTTGTAATAAACCAAACGGGATGTTGGGCTTGAGCTCTTTCTTGCTTTTAAAAAGAGTATGTAAGCTCGTGTATGGCAGCCCTTCTCTGGCCCAGGACTGCCTTCCAACTCCCACCAGGGCTTGCTGAGCGGGAAACATAGCGAGACACTGTCCCTGAGCCGGCTGGCTGCAGGCGGGCCTGCTGCTGCTGGTTCAAATGAGAGGATACCAACGCAGCAGAAGCTCAAGTTAAACGCCTCCCTGGCCCTCTCGGTTGGTCTCCTAGCCCCCAGCATCCCTGACCGATCCCCAAGGCTCCCACGCTCTCTAGACTTTAACACTGAAGTGTTAGGTTTCTCAATAAAATATGCCAGTTATTGAGCGCTTAGGCTTTCCTGAGATTCGCTACCCCAAGAGATTAAGAAAGCGATTCAATTGTAGTGTGGGTTGGCTTCCAACCACTTTTCCTCCCTCGTGTTCGTTTGCCTTCTTTCTTTTTTGCCATTCTTCCCAGCTACTAAATTTCTCCCTCTCCCTCAGGGTACCTTTGACCTAAATCTTCATTGCCTGCTTGCCTCAACCAGGCCTTATGCAGCGGTTACACAGTCACCTCCAGAGCCCATGTTTAATTTAGGAGGAAATACTGCCCATTTCTACCTGGGTAATAGCCCGCCAGCCCTATGGGGCCAAAATAAACACCAGGCCCATGGATTAAGGCCTTCGGCAAGGATTAGGCTGCAGTTCACTAGGTACTCCTTCTGAGTAGGCCCTTGTAAGCAATGAGAAATAAACTATTATGAAAAACAAGTTCCTAAAGAAAAAATACCAGGTCCTGAGATCGAAACTGCTGGTAAACAATTTGTGTCTGGAGGGCACTCTCAATGCTTTCAAGGCTCTGAATTATCCAGCGGCGGAGTTGGGCTGCAACCCCACAGAAGAAAAATAAAGTCTGCTTTTACATATCTGGCTTTAGCAGAAAAAAATTTTAAAAATCAGAGCTTCTCAGATCTATGCATTTATGCATAGTTAGAAAATTTTTCCACAAGCAATGACGTTCTTTTCTGATTCATCTTTAAGAATGTCAACATTTTCAGGGATATTTGACGCGTCTGTTTTGAATCTATCAGGTGCAATCTATTACTAAACAACAACTTTTAAACTTTTTCTAAATCCAACCATTGAGATGGCCCCAACCCTGTTAGGGAAGTGTTGGGGCCTTTTCACACACCCTTTGAATTGCAATATTCTTAGTTTTGTTCATAACAAACCGCCTCTTGCCTTAGAACTGGAGGCAGCTCGGGCATTGTAGGGCGGGCTCCCGCTGCAGAGAGCAGCTCACTGGGTGAGCGCTCATTTCTTGCCTTGTTGCTTTGCTCCGGCATAGTTTGGGAGCCAGCTTTCAGCAAAGACTAACTATGATAGGCAAAATTTACACAACAGGGAGTGCCTACTTTCTCTGGGATTCCCCCCATTCACCATGCACTGTATATTTGGGAAAAGAAAAAGATGTGGGAAACTAATGGAAAAATAGTATTAAAAAATAAATATAGGAGAAAGAGGGAATTTGAATCGGCCCTCCAAAATGTACGTGAATTTTTATCATTTAAAATGTGTTTGATGACAACCCCGATGGAGTGATTGCTCCATCAAAATTTATCCTTGGCCCCAGCTTTTTAAAAAAAGTGTTAGTATTTACCAATACATTTTTGCATATCTTTTACAAAAGATCTAATTTTCACAAGTAAGAAATTGCTGCAAAATCGCGGGGTTTATAACAGCGTACTCCAAGTATGCAGCACAGAGGCTGGTCTGGCACTCTCAAAAATCACATGCGACTTCTCCGAATTGGCCTTCTTCGGAACAAAGGTTTTCTCCAAGCTACTGGGCAGACCTAGAGATGCACCTAGTAGGAAACCAGTGACCTCCAGGATGTCTGCCCCTGGGAATGTGCTCACCTTAGCGGCCGCAGACTTCTACCACCCCATTGTTTAGAATGGAAACTTTCTGTTTTCCTCAACCCCCGATCATCTCTGTCTCTCTTTTTTTCCCCTCCCACAGCCCCCTATCCCAGCACAGCTGGAACCCTTTCGCCTAGATACCTCTCATCCCTAGCCCATTCTATTCTGAATATTTCTACAAAAATCGAACGATTCGCCTTGGGTGAAATGCTAGCGCAAGGAAATAAAATCCTCAACTTTTCCACTTAGGCCTCCCCCTGCTTTCCAACCCTCGGGAGCAATGGGGTGGGGGCTCCCTACCGCATCACCCCACAAACCCAGCCACGTTCCCGAGAACCCTGCTTAGACATCGGCCACCTTCCCACTCGCGCCCCACCAGACTGAAATTGCTAAACTTGTGGCCTCTTACCTTGACACATTTCCGAAATCACTGCCAAGGGGCAGCTGGCTTCTCCGCGCAGCGACGCTCGCGAGGCCTAGCGAATGCGCGTTGCTTTAAATTACAATACTAACCACTTCTTGAGGGTGAGCCCCCTTTTTCTGATACGAAGGGGAGCGGGACAAGTGAAATAATGTACCGTGCTGCTCTTAGTATCAGAAACGAACAAAGGCCAAGAATCACGCTGGGGTTCCCGGCTCCCCGGCGGCTTTGACATTGATCGGAAGTGCGCCATCTCGTGGCGGCTGCGCGCCTAGGTTGGGCCGGAGCTCCAGCTCCGAGCCGAGAGAAGGAAACCGGCTCCGGGCAGAGAGGGAGAGAGGAGAGGATGTGCCCAGCCCGCTGCTATTGAGATCTCATTTTTACATCTAAGAAATCGCTGCAAAACCCCAGCCGGGTTTATAGCGGCGCATTCCAAATATGCAAATTCGCCGGCCCCGGACGGGTTTACGACCACATTGTCACAGCCATCGGAGGATGGGCTTTTATAGGGCTCAGAAATCAAACCCTCGCCCGCCCGCCGCCCGCCCGCGAGCAGTCCTCCTGACTAGACTCTCTCTAGCAACTTGAGAGACTTTGGTTAATCTTTAACCATCCCAAAGGAAGTCTTTCCCTAAACCCAGGCTTCCCAGCCCGCCCCCTCCCTGCCCCCCAGGGAGGGCCCTTGTTCGTCTCTGCGTGTCTGCCTATCAACCTAGACATTCATCTCGGGGTCTGTCCCACTCCCCTTTAGCTCGATTTCCCCAGTCGCGCCAGTTAGACAAACACACAAACAAATAAACAGAGTGGGGTCTGGGGCCTCTCTCCAAATGCGACCCTATCTGCTGCTCTGGCCCTGCCTGGGTGGCTGAAGAGAGGGTGGGGTGGGCAACAAAGGGCTCTGTCCTTTCAGCCCTTCTCCTCAAGGTTATGGGTGATGTCCAATTTTAAGGCAGAAGTTCAAAGGCAGCAAACAAAGAGGAAACCGGCATCCTTTTTTTTTTTTTTTTTCTTTTTTCCCAAAGGGAAAAAGCAGCCTCAGCTGGGAGCTGGGGAGAAAGCACCCTTAGAGGCTCCTGGGAGTCTGCTCTGCCTTGGAACCCAGACCGGGCTTGATGAAGCCTCCACGGGCCCCTGGACGGTCCCATTGTAGGCCTAGCGGTCCTGAGGTGAGCGAGGGCAGCCTGGGGTCTGACCTGTTGGCCACCTCAGGCCCCAAGGCCCTCTCCAGGGCTGAGGTCAGTCTGAGGGGATAAAGTCCATTATTCCAGGCCCTGAGATACCCCATCCCCAGGTCCCTGCTTCCCACAAGGACATAGCCAACCACCTTGGCTTCCTAAGTCTGGCTTCTATTGTAGCCAATTCCTGACTTAGTCACCTTCTCACCCTTTCAGGGGCCTGATAACTTGCCCCTCAACTAGGTAGGGCGTTTTTTTGGGGGGTGGGTGGGGGAGGGGGGCAGACATTTGGCAGTAAAAGGCGATCAGGGAGAGGAATGTCACACCAGGATACTCCAATTTCCACCGTCTTTATTTTCCTTGTGCCCAGTTGCCTGTATACATGCTGCAACACACACGGTGGGTAAGAACCAGAATTGAGGACAGGCCAACACTCCCAGTACAAATGGAGCCAATAGATATTTCTTAATACAGGGAGGAAAAGGAGATTCAATGGGAGGGTGCCTGGCTTTCCCAGATGAGATCCCCAGTCTGGGCAGGCCGACTGCCTCTGAGCATTTCCCTAACACTTTCCAAATGTTGCAAGAGATTAAAAAGACCATTCTCAATACCTTTTCCACCCCCTCCAACACCCCAAAGGAAATCAACTAATGGCAAAAAAGAGAAAGAAAGAAAGAAAAAAAGAAAGCAAGAAAGGAAGGAAGGAAGGAAGGAAGGAAGGAAGGAAGGAAGGAAGGAAAACAAAATTGGTTATGGTTTCTTTATTTACAAGTTTTTTGAACACCATCCCTGTATGAAGCATACATTCAAATATTCTTAGCAGTGAGTGAGTTTAACCATGGAACACTGTAAACAGATAGAGCCTTTAAATATTTTCATCATCTCTTTTCCCCTCTACATTGCATCTTTTAAAATTCGCTTTGGTTCCTTCAGGGAAATATATATATAATATAATATTTATCTTTTAAAATAATTCCACCTCACTCTCAGGCTCTTGGAAGGTCACCAGAAGCTTCCAAACTCAGTTCAGGAGCCAATGAGGGTAGAGTGTGGTGCTGGAACCCGGTGTTTTGGGGGACTCAAGGCCCTCATAGCCAAAGCTGGAGACCTGCTGGCCAGGCCTGCTGCTCCGCAGCCAGACACTGAGCAAATCCAAGCTTCATTACATGTGGTGGAGAGTTTGCCAAACTGCCGCACTCCACAGCCATTTCCTGCAGAGATCTCAGGGGCCAGTGGCCTGGCCGCAGCTTCTTGGCTTTTCCATATCTCCCACCTCAGGGAACAGTCCACTCTGCGACAAGGCTTTGGGCCTGAGTGGTAGGCTGGAACCAAGACCCTCATTTGGTAGAAAGAAAAGCCAGGTGGGCTGTAGGAGGCGGTGGCTAGGAACTCAGGGCTGGATAAGTGTAGTGGGTGGCTAGGAGGAGTGGAAAGACACTGACACCACCTAGAATCACAGATTTCTTTTCCCACAAGGATTTGCAGCCCTCTTCCACCTCATAGCCACCTCTAAGTCCAGCCGCCGCCGTTCACATTGGCTTTGGAAAGCAGCCTCATTCTGGGCACCTAGTAATCCTACCCCTTCCTCCTGCCCCTGTCCCCAAGCTGAACTGGTCTTGGAGAGCACACAGCTTTTTGACTCAGGGGTCCTGGGGGTGGGTAGGCTCCCAGTAGAGGGAGGATGTGGAGGGGTTAGCCTCCAGGGGGTCTGGCAGGGGGCCCAGTCCCCAGTGGAGACCACACCCAGCCCGCAGCTCTGCAGGCTCCAAGAGTGAACCACCAGGGGTCCCAAACCTGTCATTCTAGCTGATACACAGCTCTCAGAATCCAATGATTATTAGGAATCTTAACCACTGAGATCTTAATCAAGAGAGTCCCAGGCCGCCTCGTGTGGGGCTATCTCCATGCATCCCTCTCTTGCACACTTCTTTTCAAAAGTCACCATGTGGCTTGACCTTGTCAAGGGCAAAATCTGCATATTATCTCATGTGTATGAAGCCCCCCACCCAGTTCCAGCCGCTGGAGCCTTAGAGGAGTGGATTCGCTGAGTAGTACTGTAAACGGTCTCTGTTAATTTTTTTTTCCTTCATTCTCCTGTTCTGAAACCAGATTTTGACTTGACGATCAGTGAGGTTGAGCATGCGGGACAGTTGCAGGCGCTTCTCTTTGTTGATGTAGACACTGAAGAAGAACTCTCGCTCCAGCTCTCGGATCTGGTACTTTGTATAGGGGCAGCGCTTTTTGCGGGTGCGTTGGCCACCTGTGAAGGGAGAAAAGGCAGGGGGTGAGTCCCGTGTGGGGCTGCAATCCACCCCAGAGCCCATAGCTGAGGAGAAGGGCTGCCACAGGGACTGGTGGTCCAGCCCAAGCCCCGTCAAAGTCTCCCCAGGCCCCTGCCTTTAACGCTATGACTGCATGCTTGGAACCGTCGCAGTTGGAGGCTCAGCCACAGATAAAAGCCAGCTCCCTAGATAGGCCCCCGGGGAAGCTGCTCCCGCTGCCCCCAGAACAGAAAGGAGGGCTTCGCACAGCAACAGGCGAGTTTGCGCTGCCTAAGCCTCTTTGAAAGCAGCCGAGTGGGGGTTGCCGGCTGCCTCTCGCCGGCCAGACTAAACAAACAGCCGCCTGCGGACATTTCACCTTCCAGCACCTGGGCTGCCCCTTCCCAAGGCAGTAAAGGCGGCTCCAGTCCCAATCTTTCCAGGCTGCGGCCAAGACTGGGCAGTCGTTAACATCTGGGACGGCTGCCGGGTCTTTGTCAGCCTGAGTCCTGGCCACCAGCTCCTGCCTCCCCAGCCAGCCTCCCGGCTCCCCCGAGGTGGGGAGGTGGCAGCGGAAGCCCCCTACCCCAGGCCTTCGCTGAGCACCACGGACACACCGTCACCCTGCACACGGCAGAGCAGCGGCGCTATCTTAGGTAGGGTGAAGGCAAAGGGGGCTTCCCGAAGCTGCGGGCAGGCTATACTTGATCCCCCTTGAAAAAAAAAAAAAAAAGACCCACAAGACAAGAAAAAAAATCGCTTTTGACAGATTGGATAACAATTGTGAATAACATGCAGTTGGGCAGAAGGAGGCACGTAATTGCCACCACGCCAGACGAAAATGGCTTCCTTTGGACAAAAAGGCCAACTTTGGGTTAATTTGTTTCTTTTAATATATTGCTGGAGCTAAGCGGGCTACTTTATCTGTTAAATGCGCTCCTAGCGCCGTCGTTAAACAGCGACGCCTTTGAATCCCGGCCGGACTGGAGTCCCGGCGCAACACATGGCTTTTATAAAAATCTCCGGATTACCTCGCTATCAAAGGCTCCCGAAGCCCTTGCAGGGGGAATTTACAGGCGCCCACCTCTGGCTCCCCAGCCCGGAGCTGGCCCCGAGCGGGGTCGAGCTGCCGGGCTTGGGAGCTGAGAAGGGAAAAAAGCAAAAAGAGGAGTTGTTTTTTTTTTGCAGGCATGCCTTGGCCGGTGGGTATTTCACGGCCAATTTCAGCACTCGCCACGTGATCCCGCCTTTTATAACAAAGTTTTGTTGGGGGAAACCTAAAGGCCCTTCATAAACCTTATATGCTTATAAAACAGCATATAAAAATTTAACAGCGGTGCTGCGCTAGATTTCCAACTCCCCTTTCATAAAGCGCAGAGCCCTGCCTTTATACGTACTGGAGCCGCCGGCCTTGTCCTCAGTGTGGCCGGAAGACGACTCTGGGCTGCTGCTGCTCTCGGGGCGCCGCCGCCGCTCTTTCTCCTCCGCCGCCGCCGCAGTCTCCCGGCAGCCGCCGCCGCCGCTGTCCGAACTTGAAGTTGCCGGCGCGCCCGTGGCTGCCGCCGCCGCGGAGGTCGCCGTGGCCGCCGGGGGCCCCTTCTCGGCGCTCTTGTCCCCGGGGTAGTCGGAGGCGGCGAGGTTTTCCGGGGTGCCGTAGGCTGTCTCGAAAAACTGGTCGAAAGCCTGTGGCAGGACGCCGTTCCTGCCCACGGTGCTATAGAAATTGGATGAGACGGCGGGGGTGGGGTGGTGGTAGACGTTGGCGGAGCTCTTGGCCAGCACGTCGCCAGGCACGCCGGCCGCGCTGGGTGCCTGCAGGCAGTCTCTGTGCACGAGCTCCTCCGCGGAGTAGCAGTGGGCCAGATTGCCGCGGGGGTGCCATTTAGTGGCGGGCTCAATGGCGTACTCTCTGAAGGTCACTTCGCGCACGGGTTGGACCTGGGGCAGGTTGGAGGAGTAGGAGTATGTCATTGGGCGCGAAGACGGGGTCTGGGGCAGAAAAGAAGGGAGGCTGGAGAAATCTGGACCCGAGACGTAGTAAGTACAACTTGGCAAATACATGTTAGAGGAGCAGGGACCACGCTCATCAAAATCCATCATTGGGCTACCTTGGGCTCTCCGCAGTAGCCGAGCTTAACATGATTCTCCACTGCAGCTGCCTCTTTGAAGCGGATCCGTGAAGTAGAAATTTGGAGACGTAAGCTGACGTGGAAATCTATCCCCATCCTTAGCAGGGAGGTGCTGGTCATGTGACCCGATGTTGAAATTGACAAGCTGCGAGCTAGTCCGGGCCTTTTTCCCCCCCCGCTTTCCTTTTTTTTTTTTTCCTCCTCTCCCCTCCCTCCCGGCTTCCTTTCTTTGTAGCCACCTCAGGGGAAGCAACAGATCGTCACTCGGTGTTCTCACCGAAAGCACGTAATCGCCGGTGTAACTCATGTTCGCTGGGGGCCTCCCGGCGCGCGGAGAGGCTGGGGTGCGCCCCCATGCAGCATGCTTGTGCTCAATTGCAGGGTCCTGATTCTCGAGTGTGCAGAGGGCGGTGAGAGCTCAACTCTCGTCCCCACCTCCCACCCGCAGCTCCCCGGGTGGGTGAGGGGTGCCCTGGACTGGGGATAGCCAGGTGGGAGCCCGTCGCTGTGTGGCTTGTGGTCTCGGAGTCTGTTCTCCTGGAGGCTCGCATTTACACCCCGTTCTTCGCAGTCCCCCTCCCATAGACTTGCTCTGGGAAGCGCCTCTGCCTCCGACCCTAGCCGGCACCCCTTCGGGGCCAGAGTTCGAAGCCGTGGATGTGCCTGCCTCGTGGCTTGTCCGATTTGCACGGTGACTTGATTACACTCTCTCATTCATGGTCACTTCCGAAGCGCTTTAGTGCCTTCCGTCCCTAAACCGCCCACAGCCAGAACGGCTTCTCCCCGCGGTTTGTCACTGATCCGCAGGGCCCGGAAGGTCCTTCGTCTTACCCGGGATCCACCTCTCCCCTCATCTTCCCTGCCTGCCTCCTCATCCCACCTTCTGTCCTTGGAGAAACCCCCTCCTCCTCGCTGCCTGCCGGGCTTCGGAGTGACTCGGCAGAGACAGAGGCACAGGGGCTGCCCCGCTGCTCACCGGTCCACCCATCTGCCTGGTCTTCTGGAGCTGAGGACGCGGGAAACCATGCAATTGAGGCAACCCTTGGGCTGCTTTAGAGGCGCTGACATCCGAGGAGCCTTCTCCTGGGTATGCTGCATCTTCGTGGGGGGCCCACCAGGCTGCTTGCAGAGCTCCACGGGTGTGGGGAGAATGGGGGTGGAAAGGACGGGCTGAGGGCCAAGGAGAGGTGGCTGAGAAAGGGGTAACTCGCCTACTCTCCTGCTCTCCTTCTCTCTTTCCTTGCAATGTGTGAGAGTGAAAGCAAGGGATGTGCAGGGCAAAAACTCAGAGAGCTCTGTGCCTTTCCTACTGTTCATTCCACAGAAGGAATACAATGCCAGAGAAAGGAGAGGTGCTTCCCCAACTCCCTGCACCTGGGAAGACAGGGATGCCTTTAAAAGGCTAGGTTTGTGCTAAGGATAAAGAGAGACCATAGCAATACTCTGAGTCTAGCTTTCTTGAGAAGAGGAAAAAAATACATTAAGAAGGCAAAATATGCTCCACAACCTGCAGGATTGAAGGAGCAATGTTTGGAGGAAGCGAAAGAAGGGAGAGGACACAGAGCAGCCAGGCAGGGCCAGGAGCTGAGAGGGGCCCAGACCTGAGGCCTCCCAACAACTCTCTTCTTGGAAGGATCTGGGGTGTTGCTGAAGGAAAATAAAAGATATATAAAAAGATAACCATTTGCTTTTTCCTCTCCAGGAAATAGCCAAAGGTATTTACATATTTTGGGGGAGATTTAGAGTATAAACTCTAAGATCTTTGGTATATAAGTGTCAACATCGATTTATTTATTTATTGCTGAGCTGACTGTAACTGACTCAATAACAAATCTAATCATGTATTGCACTGGAAAAGAAATATTCTCATTATGTATTTTCTCCAAATAATGGCCTACCATTGCATTTGAATATCTGCTGTAAATATCAATAATATCGAGTAATTACTCTGTAGTCGAGTAAACTAATTTACTAGCATTAATGTTTCTGTGGCTCTCCACCTCCCCCCACTACCACCTTTACAAGGATTGCTTATCACAAATCAAGCTACTTGGACACATTGGTTTAATGAACTCTTTATTCAAGATTTGCTGCAAGAACTTTCATGTCCCTTGAATCCCTGAGAACTGAATTTGAAATTATTTGTGCATCTTCAGCTTGACATATTTGTCCACTGTGGCTTGTCCAGAGGGCAGCAGTGCTGTGAGTGAGAAGTTCCAATGAGAAGGAAGGTTATTGGAGAAGAGTAGCTTCAGACCTCCTAAAGCTGGGAAGCACATTTACAGAACTGCCCTGCGGCAAAAAAACTTCTATTTCCAGCGGTGATCAACAAGGCTAAATATTTGTTTCTCCACAGCATCTCTTTTTTAGAGACAGAATACAAAAGACAGAAGGAGAGGTTTCAAACAAAGGTATTCCAGCTGTTCCCTGGCTTGATTTTGGCTATCCCAAACTCTCTCTCTGCAGCCCACCCAGTCCTCACCACCCCTACCTTCGAACAAAAGGAATGCATGAAGGGTTTCAGTGACTTTGCCATAACAAAGGCGCCACCATTGCGGGGCTCGCCCCGCCCCTGGGTGAAGGCAGACAAATTCTTGCACTTGTATTAGGGCTTTTAAGACCATAATTGAACCCGGGGGCGTCTAGGAAAACCGAAAACAGTTCTAGACAGACCTGCGGTTTTATAGCAGTTTTGGCAGTCAACTTCAGCTTGTGCCTGAACAGACGGGGCTGTGGTGGCCTGCCAGCGGGGGATGCCAGGCCACCTCCCCCAGCGGCACGCAGCCCCTCTCTTAATTAGATCGGTTTTCCCCTGGTGTCAGGGAGAGCGGTCCCGGCAGAAAGGTCGGTATGGGGGTGTGCGCTGTTCCGCATAACCATTGCCTCCCATGTCCTCCTGGAGAGCCAGACCGAGAGGGTGCTGGCAGGGCTGGATCCCATGGGTGTCCACAGGAGACAAAGGCGAATTCCGGATAAAAGGCTCGGGGTGAAAAAGGCGCTCCGGGAGGGCATTTCGGCAGGCTGCACCGAAGCCGGGTGCCCGGAGGGACTTGCAGCCTGGAAGTGGGTGTGTGGGGGCGCTGCCGTGAAGATGGATGAGGGAAAAGGCTTTTGATATCAGCAGAAGGGAAAAAGCCTGAAGTGACCGAACGCTTTTAGTTGCCCAGCAGGAATAGGAGAAGGGTACTCAGGTCCCCAAGACTTCGCAATGTCCCAGTTTTGCCCGCTCCTGCCCTCGTGTGCGGAATACGCTGGCGGTGTGAATGTGAAGGTTTCTCCAGGCAGGCGGCTGGGGTGAGGGGTGGGCGCAGCTCTGACGATCAGACCAAATTCAGGGGAAGAAGGGAAGGCAGACCTTCAGGTCCTTGGTTTTCACTTTGCTCTGATCCTATGATTGACTCTTCCGCTTTGCAGGATGTCCAACAGCCGAGCGTAACCCACTGGGCTCTGGGAAAGACCCGACTGAGGCTAAAGCCGCCCCGGAAGGCCAAGTCCGAGTTCCATTTCTTGAAGAGGCCGGCGCGGGTAAGGCTGTGACATTGGCCCTGGCTACTGGCTTCCCAGGAGCTGTTCTTTCTCAGGAGCTCCAGAGCTCGCGCCATCTCCAGAAAACTGTTCAGGGTGTATTTCCTTTTATCGTCAACCCAGAGCCCCACCGCGGCTAATGCAAGAGACCAAAAAATGTTTGGAGGAAGAAAAACAAAGGCAGGAAGTGGCGGCGGCCTGACGGTGCGTGTGTGTCTGCAGAGAAGGGAGGGAACCGGTTCAGTCTCTTCTTGTTTTTCCAAATTTCAAGGTCCAGGCAACCCTCTGCAAGGCCGGGCCCCATCGCTCCCGGCACGGCATTTGGAGGTGGCCACCCGGAGAGTAGAAGGCCGACGCCCGCGCCAGGCTTGTCAGGCGGAAACGGCTAACAAGGAGATTTGGTCAGCAAAACAGACCGAGCCTTTCCGAGGCTTCGTCTGATTTGGCCCGAAAGGTTGGGGAGGGGGGGCTTGCGCAGCGCCTCCGGGACCCTCCTCTCTGGGGACGACCATCCCTGAGCCTTACGCTTCGTTCCACCGCCTTTGCAGGCGGAATATCGGAATAAAGTGGGTCCAGGCGCCTCTGCCGCCTCCGCTTCTTCTTGCAGCCGGAGGGGTCCGGGAGGCAGCGGGAGGGCGCCGGCGGGCAGTGCCCAGGCGGGGTGGCCTTGAAGCCGTCGGTGCGCACCGGGCAATGCGAGGCCTTGTTACCGTGGTGGTTGTGCTGGGGGCGTTTCCAGCACAGTCATTCAAGGGACGTGAGCTGCAAGGATCGTCACTTGACAGGCAGCTTAACACCCTCTCACTCCAAGGGAGGATAGAGCTGGGTGGCCGGGAGCACCTCCACACTCCAGGCTTCCCAGCTCCAACTGACAAAGCTGCTGGGCCACCCTCTTCTCTCCTTGGGGCTAGCTTGGGAGGCAGCAGCTGCTCCTTGTCCCAGAAATCTGAGAATGCGAAGTCCCCAGTACTTGCACATGCAGGCCTTTGAATGCTCGGCATTTGTCCACAGTCTCAATGTCAATGCCAAGCTGCCCCAGTCACCACTGTCCTTCTCAAGGGGGTCCTGTCCCCCTACAGTTCCTGATCCTGCTCCTGTCCCCCCTAAAGTTCCTGTCTCCTGCCCTGCCTCCTTCCAGCCATTCTCACCTGCTGGGACTCTTCCCTACCTTTTTTGATGCCTCTGCTAGACTGAGCAAGGGCTGAGGTGCCACTGGAGGGCACCCAATACTCAGGTGCAGAGCAGAGGGGCTGTTAGGTCCCTGACTATCCCCCAACTTCGGGCCTCCACCAGAGCCTGAACTAAGTCTCCCACCTCCTTCTTTGGAATACTCCACCCCAAGGCCCCACCAAATCTGGCTTATCTCCCTTCCTCTCCCCTCCCTTCTTTAGCCTCCTTTCTTCCCCAACACTTCCTCCTTCTCTTCTGCAGACCCAGCTGCTGCTTTTCTAGGCTGGGCAACCCAGATGGGATAGGCCTGGCAGGGGTGAGGACCCACTTGACAGACTGAATCTCACTCCCAGATGGCTACAGTTAAGTTTCTCTCCTGTTGGATTGCTTAGGGTACCATCAATATTTTGCCTCCTCCTGCTTGCCTAAGCCCTTACTTTCCTCTGTCCACAAATGTCGCACTGTTTCTAGAAAGCTACACAGAAGAGTATTTCAACCCTGGTGATCATACTGCACACAGGTGCAAGAACTGGCCGGGAGGCCCTGGGTAGAAACGGCAACAGAGCTCTTCTCCTCCATTTCAGGAATATCTCCTTCCAAATAGAAGGGTTCCTGTGGGCACCTCTGTTTTCTATGGTGAGCTGGGGAGGTGAGTTGCCTGGGAAGGCCCAGGAGATCTCCCAGTATTTGTTCTCAGGACATGGCTTATTGCCAGATCATTGCCAATCTATCACATTTTCCAGGTGCTGCACAAAGGCAGCACTGAGGCTTCGATAAAAAATCAAGAGATCACCTCTGTCACTACCAGGTGGAGGCAGGGGTTAATTTGTCCCTTTGCTGAGACACCCACCCTCCCCCAAGGTCCCCTACACTTCCTAAAAGCTCAGAAATAGGTAGTGCCCTGAAGTTGACCTCATAATTCTGCTTGGTCTGACTGGCAGTTACAGTCATCCTTCAAAGCCCCTAAATATCTGAAAAGGCCCATACCCTTCCCCTGGCCACTGCAGAGTAGGGCACAGGGCTCAGCTGAGGGTCTCAAGTACCCAAGCAATCTGGTTATCATTTACATTAGTGGATCCCAAACTGAAGGGAGAAGAGACGATTACTTCCTTTATTAACTATTTTTATTGTTGCCAATTATTAGACTTCTTTTTCCTATAGAGTGGGAACAAATGGGGTGGGGGAGACTTTGAAGGGTGAAGCCCTAGTTCTCAGGATCTGCCTTCCATTCCCGGTGCAGCTTTGGCCCAAACGGGTTTCCCAGCAGAGTGTGTCTGAGATAAAGAAGACAAAAGGGGATGGCCCAACCCGAAGGTTGGCTCTGGTCCTTGGGCCTCGGTCCCCACAGCTGTAGCTCACAGGAAGCCCCCATGCCACAAAGCTCCAACTGCTTCCTAGGGCAGCTCCATTTCCACTCAGTGCTCGTGGTGGCTCACGTTCCAGGCTTGAGAAGAACCATCACCGCATCCAGCCCTCCTCCCCTACACACCCTGCCAGGCATTTCTGCTACCCATTCACAGACAATTGTTTCTGCTACATATGCCCCCACAGCCCAGCCCATCCATGTAGCCCTAGGGGTACAACTCAGATTTTTCGCTTCCGCGAAAAGAAATCCCTTGCACATCCTCTTTGGTTCACCTGGAGAGACAGGCTCAGCGGCAGATTAGGCTTAAGCTAACTGTTTACCGCAGGGCCTGATGCTCTGACCTGTTAGAGGCAGGCTATAGGCAGGAGGTAAGGGGCTTTCTCCCTCGCAGAGTGCAGTGAAGGATTCTTGGGGGCTGGGAGTCAAGGGTTTTTACCTTGGAAGATTGCGCCTCACATCTCAGTGTGGATTTTAGGCAGGAGAAGAGCATCAAGGGTCTCACCAAAGGCCTGCTACGCACTACGGAGGGGCCTGGACTCAGGGACCCCAGAAGAGGCTTTCCAGCAGGGTCTTGGCTCCCCTATCCTCTTCCCCACCAAGTTGGCCCTGCTCGGCCCTATGTTCCTACCAGGACCCAGAACTCCCATCCAGCCACGTCCTCTCCCCTGGGCTTGCAGGCGCTCCCTCTCGCCCCTGCTAGGCCTCAGCGGGCTCCGAAGTCTGCTGGACTGGGGCAAATGCCGCTCTTCTGGGACGGGGACACAGCCTGGGCCACCCGTGGCTGCCAGGACTCCTTTCTAACAAGGCTGGGAATGGGAGAGTTGGAAATCAAGAAAGAACCTCTGTCTCCAGTGCACGAGCCCAGAGCCCAGGCTACCAGAACCCGCTTGCAGCAAGCTAACTGCGCGTCCTGTGCCTTCTTGAGACCGCGGCAGCGACCGGCCCTGACCATGGAGGCGGCCGTGGCGCTGAGGACTTGACCTTTAAGGCGAGAGAGAAGGGCGCTCGCTGAGCGGCGGGGAGGGGGACTCTGCTCTCTCCAGCCTCCTCCACCCAATAGCAGTCCGCTCGACCCACGCCTGCTATGCGCTCACCCCCTTTCCCCCTCCATTTTGTGCAGAGTCCGCAGACCCGAGGCCGGAAACAAAGCCCCCAGTCCTGCTCTCACCACCCTTCTTGCAAGCGGCTGTTGCCAACCCCCCCAGACCAGAGGCTCAGAGCTAACGCCAAGCTCTTTAAGGCCCTCTCTCCAGGGCCCTCTTCTCTCGCCTGACCCCAGCCTCCCTCAGCCAGCGCCTGGGTACCAATCTGGGTGCCAACCGGGACCTGCCGGTGCCACAGTCCCATGCGCGGGGTCCCGACCTCGGGCTGCGGGCGGCGCCGGGGCCTACAGCCCAGCGGCGCGGAGCGTGGTAGAGGCGCGGGGCGCAGCGGAGCCCGAGGCTGCCTCCCGCCCGGGCGGCCGGCGCGGCCGGTGGGGTGCACAGCGTGGCCTCGCGTGCCCGGCTTGCTCTCCGCTCCCTCGGATCGCTCCCTCCCCTCGGCTCCGGGTTCAGAAAGCGGAAGTATTTGGTAGAGAAAAACATGGTTTCTTTTCAGCTCCTCTCAAAATCCCTTTTAGAGAAAATGCTCCTGTCAAGTTTTATTTCCCGTTGCAAACCACCTTCCACGCTGCCAAGAATTAAGACCGGGAGAGATTAAATACCGGATTATTCTCTTGGGGAGGGCGGGGCGGGGCGGGGAAGTGGGCACCCGCACCAAACATTCCTTGAAGTCGGCTTGTGCTGATCCAGCCGCGCCCGGGGAGTCCCGCGAAGGCCCGCGCGGCCTGCGGTGACGTCAGCCTGCAGTTGCAGGGCCACTCACCCGCACAGACCCGGCCCTCGCGGTTCCGCGCTGGGACCTCAGCCCGCCGTCCTACCGCAGCCCCGACCGGCCGGCGTGCCGTCTGAGGGAGGCCGGCTTTGCACCGGCCTGAGCCTCCATTTTGAGTAGGGGGTACTTGTAGAAGCGTGGAGGGTTTGGGGCCGCGCCTCAGTCCCTGAGGGGCGCGACATCAGGTAGCTCTCGGAGTTCACACCCCAGTATCTGAGGGAGGTCCTATGTTGCCGCACAACCGCCCTCAGAGGTTTGGAAATCTCTGAGACCCGTTGTAATTATTTCTGCCCGGTGGATCCGGCTCTTCAGCGCCACGAGAGCCGGGCAGAAATGAAATCAACTGTGGCAAGGCCTTGGCTGCTTTCATGGAGGAATTTTTCTGCGCCAGTGTCTTTTTTTCTTCCCTTTAAAATAAAATTAAAAATAGCAAGCACTATTCAGGCATTCATCAGAGATAGGTAGATGCACAAAGATTGAGTGGGCATTTTCATAAAGAATGAGGCTGGCTGTTACGGACCCGGCGGCCTAGCAGATGAAAACTTAATTAGCGTGCCTGTCCTAAAACCTAGGCATAAATCTCCCTCTGCCTTTTGGATAACTCTACATCTTCGCTTATGAGAAACGGGATGTGAGCAACTCGCTGCACATTTCTCTGATTCTCCAGGTCTTGGTCGGCTGACACGCATTCGATCAAGTTTAAAGGAATGCGCATAAATCAGCAAGCCCCTACCGTCTCCTTGGGAGAGGTCCGCAAATCCAGGAGGGCGCCTCTGAACCCACCGGGTCTGGGGATTAGCAGTCCAGGGCAACCTCCGTCTGGGCTCCTGAACTCGGGAATTCGCAGAGGAAGCAAGACACTGCATCTTCACCGAGCCCTCCAAACACATGCAGTAGAGTGCAATCTGCACTTACATCTATTACAAAGTGAAATCTGTGTCAACTCTCCACACACAAATGTTGCATCTGCAGCTGAATTTCGCTGCCTAGTGGTGAATTTTTAAGAAAAGATTTCAACTAGGTTGTTTTAATTTTTTTCTTTCCTTTTCTGTTATTTATTTTTAACCCACAACTTGAATGGGTGGCTTCAGCTCTGCATCAGTCACAAATAGGAGTAAAATGCACAGCGACATTTAACAATCATCCACTTAAAGTAACTAAATAAATATGACAGTACTGAGAGCAGATAGAAAAAGTAGGGTTTTTTTTTAAGTCCTATTTTTATTATTTTTTATTCAGGAAGAGTTTTCTTTTTAGAAAAAAATACTTCAGTCAGGTTTTCAACAACATTATTCATGGATCAGTGGCTGATACTATTATTCCTGTTTTTCAGGAGGTGGCTGGTCTCTCCTTGGACATTTTTTTTCCTTTCTTTCAGGTTTTGGACTGATTGCTATTTGGGCATTAAAGGAGCCATCATAAATAATCCATGCCCACCTCTGGTTATCTGGTAGATCCATAGAAATTTTAAATAGAAGGAGAGTTAGGTAAGATCGATACTATCAATGACCGTTTTAGAACTGGGGGCAAAAAACCCCACAACAACCCTGAAATATCTTCTGTCATTACAGTTTCAAAAACTAGAGAGAAAAAAAGAAGGCTACTACTTTACCCAGGGTTCCTGCAGTGGTGATGGCTTTCGAAAGGGGCGGTATCCCGGCTGGAGAGCTGCTGTTGGCCTCCTTCCTAGGCTCGAGGCTCAGAATATTTCTTACATCTAAAGAAAAATATCCCCCGTCAACAGAAGAGTCCCTTTTGGAGCTGTTCTTAAACACACAGTTTGATCCAGCTTTGAGGGGATTTTCCACCACTTTAAACATTTTGGGAGAAAGTTGTTACTTTGGCTTGATGGCAGCTCATTTGGAAATGGAGTACTGTTTGGAACAAGAGGTGGAGAGGTGGGTCTGAAGCAACATTATCATTTGTTTCCACAAGTGGAGTGAAAATCCTCAGGGCAGCAAAATATAATTGAATTTCTCAAGCCCTTTCGATATGTATGTTTCAACACCAGCCTGTTTTTGAGACAGCTTTAGAGACTCTTTCCATAATTCTCATCTATAAAGAAGCTGTGAGTCCTCAGGAGAGGTTGGAGAGGTTTCCGGCAACCACTTTTGTAACCAATCAATAATATTTTCCATAAAATGTTGAATCTGGTTCTTCCATTCACTGTTACTTTCCTCTAATATAAAGATAAAATTAGCCTGCATCTCACAATTCTGCATCCCACGGCTACTGGTTCCACCAACATTTTAATACATATGTGCATAGCATAGATTTGACAAAAACACATTATCCTATGTGTGTATTAAATATACAAACATACTTATGTATTCTTTATGACTCTGAATACAGCACCTGATTGTTGTTAGAGGTCAACAGCAGATATATTATTATTATAGTTTTGATGGAAGTTGTTAATATTAAACATATTTATTTATCCTACAAATAAAATGGCAGATTCACAAGCATCAATATAAGATTGCACACCACCCTGGAGCAGTACTCAGCTCTGAGTTATCCAGGATAACTCAGATCTGTATCCAATCCTGTGGTCATTTTGTAGATATGAAATATTAAGTCCTCTTTATTGACCTCTCAAGAGCGGTTTCTTAGAATTTCTGAAACGTAACTCTAAAACTCTAGAATTAGCAAGGCATCTGAATCTTAATTTGCTGTAAAGACTCCTCAGTAGCTCTAATTAGAATTCGAGACCACATTGGAGGGTGAGGACCAGGAAAGAATGGTGATTTAAGAACACATCTTTGACTGTAACAAAAATGTACAGCTTTAAAGCAGATCTGCAGAAATCTGATGCAGAGAAAGCCACTGTGAAGACAAATCGAACTTAGCCATTAGAGAAAAGGAACAAGGCTTCATCTTGTAAAGTACATTTTGTACCTCAACTCTAGGAATCACCTTAAATTACAATATCTTGGGTCATTAGCAATTAATGATACGATATCTGTACAGATTCTACAAATATATATACAAGCACACACAAGCACTAATATGCAAATGTATACATGTGTACACATATGATATATATTTACATATATACAGGGACATGTATAATTTACATATATTCAAATTTGCTGCATCCGGAGCCAAATAATTGAGTACTGAATCTCTAAAGTCAAGGAGGTAAGAGCTCTTGATTCCCTTGGTTGAAAAATTACAAGGAGGCTTGACAACGCGAGGTGGCGCCCTTGATCTACTAATCCAGCTAAGGCCAATTCATGAGCTGTCAAAAGTCAAGGTCACAAATTGTCTTTTTTCGTCAAGGTCAAGGTTTAAGGCCTTTCGTAGTCCTGTCATTTCAACAGATATCAAAACCTGCCCTCTCAGACACATGCAGACCCAACAGCAGATTTTAAAATACGACAGCCTAGGCATTGCTGATACAAAACAACTGGTTTTCATTTTCCACAGGGAGCCTGGGAATTCATACTATCTCTTCCTCCTTTCTTTTCTCTCCCTTTTGGAATATCTGACACTTTAAACTCCTTGAAGCACTTATCATTTTTTAGGATTTTAGTTATGAGGGGTTTCTCCCTTTTCTTAAAAATTTGGTAGCAAAAAAAAGTACTGAATAATAATAAAGAATGGTCCTTGGTTTATATAAGACAAACCTGCTCCTTTTCTTTCTGTGCAGTGCACATTTAGCATAGGAAAGAAAAGAGTATTTTCTGCAGATTTTAATGGCAGTGACTATTTTATTAACAGAATTAATACCACTACATCACTATCAACAGGTCTAAGGTTTTTTTTTTTTTTTCATTTTTAGTAGAAATATTTAAAAAGCAGGTGCACAAATACATTTTCACAGTGTGCTGAGTGTCTTTATTTACAAGATATCATTCTATAGTGAATATGAACAAAACGAATGTGCTGGTTGAAATAACTGCTTAAAAATGTGCTGTGAAGATGAATCACTAATCTTTCTAATGCAGTCTGATAAAACAATAAACATGGAAAAATACTAATCTCTTAATAGATCAAAATATAGAATGAAGACGCCTAAATATTTCAGGGGAATGAATTTTCATTTTGAGTTTTCTAAAAAAGAAAAAAGAAAAATGATTTCTCCAGCAAATGTTTAGCAAATATTGTGAAATGCCAATTCAAATGAAAAAACGAATTGTGTTCAAACCGAAGTCCATCATATTGGGATGGAAACTTTCGGGATTTCTCAAATAAAGTGAATTCTGCGGATCTTCTGATGATTTAAACATTTTCAAAAAGATACCAAATCCTTCGGAAAATAACGGATATTGGGGCAGTAAATATAGTCCAAATGCCACAAAATATGCTTGTTATAAGCAATTAAAAATTATTCTGAAAAGGACATTACCAACTCGGTTTCTCTTGTAGCCTGAAAGGTTCAGCTGGTTGGTTTTACTATACTACCAAGACAAATGATCCTCAGAAGAGTTTTCTCTCCCGTTTTCCCTTCACAGCAAATATTCCAAGATTATTATTTCAGTACCTTCTCGTTTCCCCTCTAAATCTATACATAAAATGTTTTGCAGAACATACAACAACGGTAGGAATTTCACTAAGATTTACCTGAGCAGACGCTTAACATGCAAAGGGAATGGCGACCTAAGAAGGACAAGCAGATGTTTACAATGGCCTCTTGCTTTTGTAACCAACTTCCAGATTATTACCATCTAACGCAGTGTCCTAAAATATAACGATCACATAAATACTTACAAGATTTCAGTAACTGTGTAACTTATCTGAAATTGCGTATTTTGGGGGTTGACGTTTGACATTTAACGGGCTGGGCTGGTGGGGTTGGCGAAAGAACTGGCAGTCTTTACCTTTCTTAAAGTTTTAAAACAGTTGTAGATTCCATTAAAGAGAAAGAGATCTCCTTCAGGAGAGCAAAATGCCAGTGTCTGTCTCTTTCTCTTTCCCATTCTTCAATTATTATTAAGCATTATTATCATTATCTGGGCAAAGCAACAAGTTCTGAAGCGTTTCTTCAAGTTGCCTTCTTGTTCCATTTTTAATCCATTAACTAGTGGTTTTCAGTTTGTTGATGACTTTTTTCTCTTTAACCCTCCTGTTCTGGAACCAGATTGTGACCTGCCGCTCAGAGAGATTCGTCGTGGCTGATATCCGCCTCCGTTTGTCCTTAGTAATGAATTTGTTCGTGGCGTATTCCCGTTCAAGTTCTTTTAATTGCACTTTGGTATAAGGCACGCGCTTCTTTCTCCCCCTCCTATAAGAGCTGGCATCCGAGGGATGGGAGACCACGTCTAGAAGATAAGGGAGAAGGCAAGTTACACAGGGATCGGACCCCAGCCAGGGCATAGGCGACAGCTCGATCTGAGCCACCCGCCTTGCAGCGCCCGGCTGCTCTTTGCCACGCGCTGTACAATCCGGCCTTCTGCCAAAGCCTAGAGGGTCAGTGGGGAAGGTGGTTAGTTCTGAACTCAAATGAAATCGCCCAGGGCTCCAGTGACGTCCCCAACCCGGCCATCCTGCAGGAGCAACGCGTAGGCAGCTTCGAGAGATAGCCTGGTCCAGCGGCCCACACCTTAGCGCCAGGCTCAAGGTACAACACTTCTGTGCCTGGCTCCTTTCTGGGTGCCCGTCCCAATACTCGAAGCTTCTACACTGAAGCCATTTTTGAGAGAATGAATAGGGAGGGGCAATTTGGGGAGCTGTTTTCTGGTAAATTTCTCATCCTTAAATTGGTGTCAGGGGCTGGGGAGGGCGGGGCGCAGAGGGAGAGGGAAGCTAGCCGCGGTCCCCATAAGTTCTCTCCCAGCCACCCCTCACCCAGGGAGGGCCAGGGACCAGCTCAACTCAAGGCAGTGCAGGCAGCCCCAGCCAGCCATGCTTGGGCTCCCAGGGGTGCAGAGCCGCTAGGGCAGACCAGGAAAAGAACAGAAGGGAACCCGGGATCGCCCGGGTGCGAGCGGAGGAGAAGCTGGAGCAGAGCCGGAAGACCAGGGCTGGGAATATGTCGCCATTTACCAGGCAGAGTGGACTTCCAGAGGTGGGGAGGCTGCGCCTGCTCTTTGGGGCAGTACATTTGGCCGTTCCAGCCGTTGGGCAGCGCCCAGGGCTGGTAGCTTTCCATGGGAAGACCCAGGGGCTCGTGGCGCGACTCGCCGGGGCCCCCGAGGCCAGGCACCACTGGCATATCCAGGTAGCCAGGCATGGGCTGATGGTGGTGGTAAGGCCCGGCTGCGTAGCCCTGGTGGTAGAAGGCGAACTCCTTAGCGCGGGAGCTGAACTCCTCGGCCGCTGGGCCGGCGGTATCCATGTACTTGTCCGCGAAGGCGGCGGCGGCGGCGGCGGCCGAGGCGGGCTGCGCGCACGACTTGATGGCGTTGGGGTGCGGGCCCATGCGGGCGCACGGGTAGTAGCCGCTGCCGAAGTAGCCATAGGGCAGCGCCGCGGGCCCCGACGAGCTCTGCGCCGCTGCCGAGCAGGGACTGCATTGCTTGGCGGCCTCTGCGCCCGCCGGGCCCGCCGGGCCGGGCCCTCCTGAGGACGACGCGGCGGCGGCGGCGGCGGCGGCAGCGGCAGCGGCGGCAGCAGCGGCGGCAGCAGACGGGGGCGCCTCGCCGGGGGCGCTGCTGTAGGCGGACGCGGCTCCTGGCGCCAAGGGCGCCGGGTGCGCCATCAGGTTGCGGCACTGGTTGGCCGCCGCCGCCGCCGCGGCCGCGGCCGCTGCCGCCACCGAGAAGTTGCCCCCTGCCGCTGCCGCCGCCGCCGCTGGGTGGGGGAAGCCCCCGCCCCCGGCCCCGGCCGCCGCCGCCGCTGCCGCCGCTGCTGCAGCCGCCGCCGCCCCTTCCATGTTCTTGTTGAGGTCGTCGGCCACCAAGCCGCCGCCGTTGTCGTAGAGAAACATGACGGTGGGCTCGATCCAGCGGGGGTGGAGGAGCACGGAGGCTGTCATAGCCCGAGCCGCATGGAGAAGACCCCAGTGGCGCTGTTTTAAAAAGCCCCCAAGAAGTGAAGAGCGCGCGGCGCGGGGCCGGGGCCCGAGCGAGGGGGGCGGATCGCGCCCCGCGGGGTCGCGCCAGGCGGCCGCCCATTGGCCCGGCCCCCCCGCTCCGCCCACGGCGTATGCAAAGCGGGCGGCTCCGACTCCAGCTCTGCACGGTGCACCCGCCGTCCCCGCCGCGGCCCGCGCCATCCCCAGCGCCAGCGCCAGCCGCGCTGCCGCGCAGCATTCACCGGGGGGAGAGGCGGGGGAACGTGCGGGTGGGGCAGGGAAGGAAGGGCGGCCCCATCTCCGCCCCCCTTCCCTCCCTTTATCCCAGTGGGGCCCAGACCCGCGCAACCAGGCGGGGAGGGGAGGTGGGCTCGCGAATGGGTTGCGATCTGGAGCGGTGGGGACAGGTCAGGTAATTGTGCCGGCCGTCAGGGATGGGAGAGTGGGGAGGACGGGACCAGCCTAGCTCAGAATGGGTGTTTCTTAAGGCCTCTGGGGCTGTTTTCTTTCCAGGAACCGGCGCGTATTTCTGCAGTGAGACCCTAGGACGGACATCGGCGCCTTCGGCTTCCATGGAGTTGCGATTTTGCTCTTTCCAGGGAAACAGTGGCAGGGTGTTCGCTGCTTGTCGGTTCCTGCGGATATCCTAGGACATTCCACTGGAGGCTTGGACTGCATTTAGGAGCCCCTATCCCTTCCCTGTCCACACTGTTAGTGAGCAATTTCATATGTTTGCATTTAGACCCATAGACTCAGAACGACTCATCACACACACAAACATCGTGTACACTGACACACTCACTCGCATTCACACACTTAAGTATACAGCCTGTTCCTTGCTCTGACCCTGTAACAACGCTTCCTTCTCCAGAGACTTTGAGATAGAGTGAGTGATCCGTGTGCATCATTCATCCATGCTCCCACCTTGCCAGTGTGACTGGCTTGTTCTGGAAGGGGCTTAAGAGGAACAAGCCCCAGCTGTGCTTCTGGCTGTGACTCAAGCCCCCCTTCTGGGCTCTAACGCCTCCAGCTTCTTTGTGGACCGGACCTGACTCTCCAGGAACCTGGGAATCCACTGTTTCACTCTATTTTGGGACAAGAAAAAGGGGCTATTTGGGGCCGCTTCCTGCCTTCCCCTCAAGTAGGATCTCCAGCCTGCAGAGGGTGCCTAGTCCTTCTTTGCCCAAGAACCAGCCCAAGAAGCTTTTCCTCTGTGCCTGGGAAATGCAACCTTTTATTGGTAGCATGGCAGGGTGTTGGTGCTGAAGAACCAAGCAGCGACCCCTCTTGCAGCTGCCATGTTTTGACGAGGGGCTCTGGGGGTCCTGCTGCTTTAGGGTCACATACTTCCACTTCCTGATTCACTACTGTGAGCTGGTGAGATGCCTAGAAGAGGAACAAGCGTTCAAAGTGAAAGTGGGCACATTACCGGAATAGTGCTGGGGAGAGTGCTGGATTCTTTTCCACCCTAGGCTGACTGGTGAGAAGCCAGGTTTGGACCTGTCCTCTGCTCCTAGCTTGCACACTCAGCCCTAAACTCAGAGCAGCACGCATACCACCACCCCCACCCCCCACCCCCACCATCTGCTCTCTAAGGCCCCTGGGCTTCCTGCAGGGTCCAGACCAATGCGGCTGGGCTTGGGCTTTTATCTGTCCTGATCCTGGGTTTGTCCTGACCAATGTAAGTGTCGCCCAATAAAACCTTCTATGACCACCACACCAGCCAACCCCCGCCCTTCCAAGTTTGCCCTTTCCTTCTTGACTTTTTAGCAGTTCTGGGTAAATATTGATTTGCCCCCAGTTTACCTTCTCCCTGACTGGTCATTTGCAGACTCAGGAACTAGCTTCTGTAGGGACCTGACTTTTCTGTTACTTTCTGGCCCTTTCACCACCCCCCTTCCTCCCTCCAAGTGGCATTGTAAAACTCACAGTGACAAAGAGACAGAGTAGGGTTCGAGGCCCCTGTTCCTGGGGACTTGAAGGCGGTTTTACATACGGGTCAGACACGGCTGGAGGCCAAGGTCAAGTTGAAAGTTGCAGTCTAGCCAGCATGAGAACTACCATGCAAGCGTGGAGACCCAGGCAGCAGCAAAAGGCCCACTGCCCGCATGCCCTCATGCTTAATTTTCTCTCTCTTTTTAAAGTTCTCGGCTCTGACTCAGTTCGGCTGCCCAGAATTTTTTGGTGCCTTCGTGGGGTTTTTGGGGCGGTGTTTACCGACTCTTCTCTGCCTCCGCCCTACTCAGCCAGGGCTTTGAGCGTCTTCGGTTTTCCAGCCAGACCCGGAAAAACGAAAATACAGCTTGGGGAGCCCCCACTAGCCTGCGCCTGTGCCAGCTCACCTCTGGCCATGGCGCAGCTGTCGGTGCACACCACGGCCAAGGCAGGCTCCACATTCTTCCCTCCCCCTTCCACTTCACCGGAGCCCCGAACCCTGCGCACAGAGAAAGGGCCTCGGCTCCACAGACGACTGGGTCCCTCCTCACCAAAACTGGTGAGACAAGATTTCATCTTGTCGGCCGAGGAGCCACAAGCAGGTTTGTCTGGAAGGGATGGTGCTGGGGGAAGGCTTTGGATTGCATCTCAAATTAAGCTTTGTTCCTTAAATGTGGCGCTCTCTCCAAGAGCGAGCTTGGGGCCTGAATTATTGAGATTTATGGTGCACCTTTAGTGATCAAATTTATCTGGGCTTTTTTTAGCTCCCCCATGTTAAAACAATAACAACAACAACCACAAAAACAAAACAAAAAAAAACCCTCTCAAAACATGCTTACTTAGAAGAACGCACCCTGCTTGTTCGCTTCTTGTCTTGGATCTCAATATATATTTTATTTTTCTACCAGACAGGTCCATGGCGTCCTGGCATGCCCCCACTGTTTTCAAATGTCTACATGTCCTGTCAGTATTGAGTTGTAGCCACCAATCAGTGGAGGTGGTTTATAGAAGAAGAACAAGCTCTGAATAATTTTGGGTCTGAGTTTCAGAATTTCTACTCGCTTTTAAGCAAGAATAATCTTCCTTCCCTGTCTTCTGCTGAGGGAGATAAGACATTTCTTAATGGTTCCCAATATAATTTCTTTCCCTGCCAGGCAGCCAACAAATTGACTTGCTGTGGCAAAAGAAAGGTTGGAGGACAATTAAGGCGAGTGTGCTCTGGGAGGCAAGCACAGACCCTCCTAGCATTCTTCCTCTTTTCCCAACGGCAAGGTCAAGATTTGCTCGCCTGCCAAAGTAATGGGTCCTGACCTTCTGAGCTGTCTGTCCCTCTGATTTTTTGTTCTCCAGGCTCAGGAATTCCTATAGGATTGCATAGAGGCACCATCAACCTGACAATTTTATATTCTCAGACTCCTCATGGGTTAGACTGGGGAAGCCAGGGCACCCATTAGGATCGGCCGGCCGCGGTGGCACCTTAGGCATGACAGCCAAGCAAAGTGCTGCATGAGTAGAGGTGGGAAAGGTGGGAGAGGCTGCAGTCATTTCCCAGGTACTGCGTGGTGCACCGATTTCCCCAGAGGAGCCCTGAGAGGGCAGTGCAGGAAGGACTGGAGGGTAGTTTCTGCAGCAGGGCCTTTGTTTAAGGAATTACCAGAGCATTTCTCAGTGTTCCAAAATGCCTTGGCTGACAAGGCTTCTTACCTCCTGGGATAGGCCAGGGTGCCCTGCAGGGTTTGGTTGCCCAAAAGCTTCTCACTGAAGAAAAAGACTATGGCTCGCTTTTTCTGGTTGGGGGACTGGATGCCAGCCTGGTCCATGGGGCTCTGGGCTCCCAGCGTTGGAGGAGAAAAGGACAAAGGGAAACCAGGTTTTAATCGAGTTTGATTTTCATTAGCAAATGAAATTTACCTGCTCTCACTTTAACTCCGAGGAGGCTGTCAGCGCTGCTCCCTGGCACCCTTTCTTTGCATTCATCCAGCATTAGGATAAACACTCCTTGGTTGGTTCTAAAGACACTTTGTATTTCAGGATATTCATGTGCTTTTAATGTATCCAAGCAGCTTTACAAGCCACTTTTGCAGAACATCTTAACCCACTCTCTCCCACCCTAGGTGGGCTGGGGCACAGAGATAATGTCAAAGGAAGAAAGATCCAGAGGAAAAACTGGTTGAGGGGCTGAGGAGAGAGAAAGAGAAAAGATAAAACCATCAAACAGTGTAGCACCTCTGAAGACAAACTTGAGCAGATCATTTGGGAAAGGAGCAAGTGGGGGACTGCTCTGCCTACGGAGGGAATTTTGTGTGTCCCCATCAGGTGGAAGCTGTACCCTCTTTCTTAAGGGGAAAGGGTTGGTAGGTCCTGAGATCTGGGTTGAAGGTAGCCAGTGGACAGGGAAATGGCGCATTGAGTCACTCACTCAAGCTTTTGTTCTAGATTTTTGTGCATTTGAAACAATAATAAGGCAGTAAAAGGCTTGAGGCTGTGGGGATAGTTTTGGGCTACGGTCACGGTGGTGACCAAATGTTAACATGGTGAAAGTGGAAGTGCAAGGTCCAGGAAGATCCACAGGGACCCCCACTTTGCCTTTAAGATCCCTTCATGGGGTGGATCTCAAGGACAGCAGATTTTTGGAGGAGCAGCTGTCCTGCTGCCTGTAGAGTTCTTTTTTTTTTTCTTTTTTTTTCCCCCAGGTACCACAAAGCCACTAGTGCACAGGGCCTCAGAAAATACGGCAGGAGCTCAAGGAAAACTCCAATTTGAGTACAGCCCTGCCCTGTTTCCCCCAGAGAGTCTCTGAGCAAGGAGATCTCCACCCGACACACACCATTTCAGAACAACCAGGTTCCAGACTCCCATGAGGAGCATCCTCCACTGCAAAGCCTTGGCCAGCCGCGCCTGGACTCCCCAGAGTTGGCGCAAACTCCGGCCTCCAAAACTCGGCTCTGGGAGGCCTAGGTGACTCCGAAGCCGGCGGCGGCCGCGGCAGCGGCGGCGGTGGTGGAAGAGCTCTTTCCTCCGACAGTGCCACTGATCGCTCTTCACTGGAGCTGGAGACAGCCTTCGCGTAAAGGACCGGAGCGTGAGTTAGAAGCAGAGGGAGCTTGGAGAAGGGCTCGGCCGGAA